CAAAAATTTTCCCACCTTCACTCAGCACAAACACTGACCACAGTAAATCTAGAATGTCAAGTTAGTTTTTTTCCTGAAAAAAGAAAAAAAAAAAAAGACTTTACATTGCATCATATAGCAGAAATACTACATCAGTCAAATTACCAGAAGAAACGTGGTGTATAGTCTTAAAATTTACCCTATTAAAGTTTCCTGGTCAGAAAATATATTTCATGCAAAAAAATGTATGTGTCTTTTTCCTTCTCACATTTCACTACTTTGCATATTAGATCAAAATTCATTTAAAATATCTGCTATACTTTTTTAAAAAGCTGAAATTTCAGTAACTTTTATTCACTGTCTTTTAAAAGCCCCATGCTGCAGCTTTATAGGGCACAATAGACCAGCTCATTGGTCAAAGCATTCTACGTCATCAGTTTGAACTTTTAGTGAAACAGTTACAGTATCAAAAGAGTTAAGGCAGCTGAATCAAGAAGATATAACAATTCTAAATACACCAATATCAACAAATGACATAGAAGATGTAATTAAAAACCTGCCAACAAAGAAAAGTCCAGGCCCAGATGGATTTACTAGTCAATTCCATAAGAAATTTAGAGGAGACCTAACATGGTTACTTCTCAAACTCTTTTATAAAATTGAAAGGGAGGCAATACTCCCAAATTCATTCCTGGATGCAAGCACTACCCTGATATCAAAACTGGAGAAAGACTCAACTAAGAAAGAGAACCACAGGCTGATCTCCCTAATGAACATAGAAGAAAAAAATCTTCAATAAGATCCTGGCAAATCATTGAGATTATAAACAATGACTAAGTGGGGTTCATTCCAAGGATGCAGGGATAGTTCAACATGCATAGATCAAAAAATTTAACAGACCATATTAACAGAGTCAAGGACAAAAATCATATGATCATCTCAATAGATGCAGAAAAAGCTTTTGATAGAGTCCAGCACCCATTCATAATAAAAATCCTACAGAAAGTTGGAATAGATGGTCTTTATTTCAATCTGATAAAAACTCTCTATGACAAACCAACAGCCAACATCATACTAAAATGGACAAAAACTAAAAGCTTTCTCTCTAAAATCAGGAACACGACAAGGATGTCTGTTGTCTCCAATCTTATTTAACATAGCCCTGGAAATTTTAGCCAGAGCAATTAGATGAGAGAAAGAAATACAAAGCATAATGATACAAAAGGAAGAAGTTAAATTATCATATGTGGAAGACATGATACACTACATAGAAGACCCCAAAAACTGCACTAAAAATCTGCTAGATTCAATAAGGAAATTCAGTAGCATAGTTAGATACAAAGTCAACATTCAAAAATCAGTAGCATTCCTGTGTATGAATAACAAACTCACTTAGAGGGAAGTCAGGGAAACAATACCTTTCACAATAGCATCCAAAAAATGAAATGTCTAGGAATCATTCTAACACAGGATGTAAAAGACCTCTACATTGAAAATTACAGTTCTCTGAAAAAGGAGATTAAAGAAGATATCTGAAAACGGAAAGATATCCCTTACTCTTGGGTAGGAAGAATCAATATAGTGAAAATGTATGGAAGTATATAGCTATACTTCCAAAACTATTATATAGATTTAGTGCAATTCTGATCACAATTCCAATAGTACATCTCATAGAATTAGAGAAAACAATCCTAAAATTCATTTGGAACCAAAAGACACCTAGAATAACAAAGGCAATTCTGGGCAACAAAAGGCAAGGCAGGGGGCATCACAATCCCTGACTTGAAATTGTACTATTAAACTACTATGATAAAAACAGTATGGTACTAGCAAAAAAGAAAAGAAAAGAAAATCAACCAACCAAACAACCAACCAACCAAACAAACAAACAAATCAGACTAGAAGATAAAAGGAACAGACTAGAAGATACAGAAACAATTCTAAACACGCTCAGCCACCTTCAAAGGTGCCAAACACATTCACTGGAAGAAAGCCTCTTTTATTTATTTAATAAGTAGTATTGAAAAAACTGACTTTGCACATGCTGAAGATTAAAATTGAACACATACATTTCACCACACACTAAACTAAAACTGAAACAGATCTAAGATCAAAAACAAAGATTTTATGAACAGAGCCTTTGCAACTATCACAAAGAATCAACAACTGGGATCTCAACTTGCTAGAAAGCTTTTACACAACAAAATAAATCACCAACTTAGTGAAAAAAATAACTCACAGAATAGGAAAAAATTATAGTCAGTTATCCCTGACAAAGGATTTATATCTAGAATTTAATAAAGAATTGAAAAAAAATCAGGCCCCCCAAATTAAAAAAACCCAATCAAAGACTCAACCCAAAAATGGGCATCTGAGATGAAGACATACTTCTCAGATGAAGAAACACAAATGGCAAATAAAGATATGAAAAAGTGTTCAACATCATTTATCATTTGAGAGATATAAATTAACATGACACTGAGATTCTGTCTTACTTCTGAAAGAATGACTATCATCAAGAAATCAATAACAAATACTGGAGGGGCTGTGGGGAAACTCCCATGTTGGTAGGAGTACAGACTGGTATAATCACTATTAAACTCAGTGTGGAAATTTCTCTTTTAAAAAACTAGGATCAAGGGGCTGGGGATTTAGCTCAGCGGCATAAGCGCCTGCCTTTCAAGCAGGCAGTCCTGAGTTTGATCCCCGGTACCGATAAAAAGGAAAAAAGATAAAAAAAAGGGAAAAAACAAAAACAAAAACTAGGATCAGAGGTTCCATTCAACCTAGCTATTCTCCTCTGAGTATGTTTCCAGAAGAATTAAAAACATCAGACCACAGCATCATATGTGTACCCATGTTTATAGCAGCACAATTTGTAATAGCTAAATCTTGTGAATGACTCCAGTGCTCATCAACTGAGGAATGTATAAAAAAGGTGTAGTCTTTTTATACAATGGAGTTAAACTCAGCCATTAGTAAGGATAAACTGGAGACTTTTATAGGTAAATGAATGCAACATGTGACCATACTCTTAAATGAAGTAAACCAGACACACATTTGTAAACATTGTATTGTCTGCCTAGTGTGAGAAATTAAAAAAATAAGTAAGATTCAAAATGTACAATAGATATGGTGAAATGGGAAGAAACTTCAAAAGGAAAGAGAAACTGGGATGGGGGAATAGAGAAATGGAAGAGAAAAGCCAAAAGCAAAACCAAACCAAATAACACCAAAAAACAAAATATATGTGTTTGTATAAAAGATAGTTAAGATATATACTACTAATTTCTCTTAGTCCATTGAAAAGAAAGTATTGTGCTAATATTGTTTGGAAAATTAAATGCCAATATCTTGTACTCTTAATAACTAATTTACAGATAACAATATGCAATGTATTAATCATTATACTCTCCTATTATCTTGTTTTATTTTTTTCTCCTTAGAAAAAAAAGTCAAAGTGGAATTCATAGAAAAGTATATGGCACTTCACACTGCATAGAAAGAAAAATGGTAAGCTAAGAAAAAAGACATCAAAGGCAACACTGAATTACAGCAATAGTCACACAGCATGCACAGAGCACCATGGATAAAGTTGAACGATTTTGACTTCAAAAAGCCCATTTTACACATCTGAAAAAATTGAAGTTTTTCTCTCTCTTTAGCATCATAATATTTGATAAAGTTTTTTTTGTTTTTGTTTTTTGCTTTGTACTAAAATAAACCTGACTAGAGGAACAGCAACTAGATAAATTTAAGGGTTTATGCACATTTTAGGATTTACAAGGCCAGTGATATAGCTCAGTGGCATCAGTACCAAAATAAACAAACATTGTTTTTTGATGTACAATACCCAGAACAACTAATTTTGATGTACAATACCCAGAACAACTAAACCTATAGATCACAATAGTTGGAACTTCGGAAAGGCAGACCACCAACTTGTAACTACCCTGGTTTCTGCACATCTGATGTGCCTGCCCACAATTCCCTACAGAAGCCTTGTGCCTGCAGCCCCTGTGCAAAGGGGTTTTTGCTGGATAGCCTCCGTCCTCTTTTGTTTGCTAGATTCTCAAATAAATCTTTTTCCTTGCCCTAACAACTTGTCCTGGAGTCATTGGTCTTTGAGGGGTAACAATGAATTTGGGCTGAGGATTACAACACGATTCAGCATTTATAGAACGATTCGACACAAATTTGCCTCATAAAACAGTGTTTTGATTTTTTAAATGAATAAACCAACCTGAAGCCATCTCTTTTGTAAAATAAGGATGAGGGTAGGTTGGGGTGGAGGTGGAAATGCGTCTTTGAAAAGAAGTTGCCAAAGAGGAAGACACCAGGAGTCACCCAAATGGAAAAAGCATTCTGACAAGCAAGCATTCGCTGACACCCAGAGAATAATACAGCTTCTGTTTCAGTTTCGCCCATAATCAATCCAATTTTTTGTAATGGTAAATAGCATCTACTAATAGGGTTATTGTGAATGTTAAGAAAATTAACCACATTGATAAAAGCAGCTACTTTATTATTAAAATATTTATATTAGTGACACACATTATAAATTCACTTAAAGCTGATAATGAATCATGGTGACAGAACATTGTTTTAATTTCTCCCCATTCACAGCCCTGTGAACTCTGGTGATTACCACTTATTGCCTCTACGGAGTTCCCAACTTTGGCCTTCAACTAGCAAGGAATAGATAAGGGGATTTCAGGGTATACATCTAATGCATCATTAGCATAAAAAGAACCGAGCGCACTATACTTTACAGTCTTGCTGACTGTGGGAGGGTAGGGAATGTTAATAAGAGTTGGGACGCCCAAACTGAAACCCTGATTTGCACTTCCTTGTGCACACGGTCCGAAGCTCCTCCGCAGGAATCCCGCGTTGGACACTGGAGGCACTATGGGCGTCTCGCAGGGAGACTCGGGAGCCAGCGGGGAGACCAGGCCTGTGCACGCGCGCCCCCTGGCGGCGACTCATCGCCTGCCCGTACGCCGTGGCACGCCGGGAAGTGAAGGAAAAGCGCGTGGGGCCGCGGGGCCGCGGGGCGGAGCCTGTCGCAGCCCGATGGATGGCGACGTGCCCGGCTTCTTGCTGGCCCTCCAGGCTCGGGGCAGACCCGAGGCGGTTCGGTCGCGGGTGCAGGAGCAGGAGTTACGACAGTGGGGCCTGACGGGTGAGTGGCTCGGGGACCGCCCGGAGCGCTGACCCGGTTGGGGCGCCGGCGGGGGGGAGTTCCGGGCCGCCGCGAGACTGAGGCGGGGCCGGGCCTGGGGATCGGCGGGTCGGCGGCGGGGACCGTGGGAAGTGAGAAGTCGCAGTCTTTGCGGAGACGGCGCCCGCATTTCGACTGTGCGTCCCGGTCGTCTGCGACCGGCCACGCGGTCTTAGCTGCTTCCGGGCGCCTCTGAAAATCGCATTGCACTTTAGGTTTCCTTCTCCGTGGACTCTGCGCGCGCGGTCGTGGGACAGACCGCCCTGAGCCCGCCTTCCCCGAGCCCGTCCTCCCCGACGCTGGACTCGGACGCACGCGGCAGACGCTGTGTCACGCCGCCCCGTCCCCGTCCCCGTCCCCGTCCCTGTCCCCGTCCCAGTCCCAGTCCCTGTCCCCTCCCCCTGCGCCCGACCTCCGGGTTCTCCGCTGGAGACGCAGCGGTGCAGTGCGGCGGCGGAGTCGCTCATCTGGACCGGGGTCAGGGTCCAGTCGGTATTCACGACTTTACCGAAATACCTTGGAGAGTGCGCCCTTGGGTGCTCAGTAGGGATGAGCAAAAGGCATGTGAGCCGACCCAGAGTTTCTAGGCTAGCGAAGGAGCGCTCTTAAAAGTATAAGCAAGTACTTGTTTAGCTCACGCTGTGCTAAACACCACGGCAGTCAGAGGTTATTCTCGAAGGGGTGCAAGTGGAAGGGGTGCCGTGTTTAGCCTAGAAGAGGTGCAGGTGAGTGGAAAAGGCGCAGATGTGAGACGAAGGCCTGTCCCACCTTCAGTCCCAGAGTTCAGAGGCGTGTATAATTCCGTTCAAGTATGAGATTGTGGAGCAACCTTTGTTTTCGGCATATTTTAAGGTATACTTTTTGTTGTATGTAGTTCAGCATGCTGCAAGTGCCGACTGTCACAGCTTCCTGATTGCTGGAATTATAAACTTGGGCCAACACACCCGGCTTGAAGTGTGTGTATTTATGTGTTGCCCGTTCTTCCAAGTGGTGTCAGGAATGGTAGCTTCATAAGCGTGTGAGAGAGGTCTCAGCAAGGTGTGCACATTGATAGTCAGCGGCAGGTCGTAAGAAACATCCTTGTGAACTTGTGTGGTTTATTGAGGCGAGTGGGCAAGAGATTGCAGGCTTGCGTGGATAGGATAGTGTGTGTAAATACAGAAGATTACTGTATGGGAAACATGAAGGGGAAAATGTGTTTATTAACTGGTAATAAGGAAGGAGGGAAACAAAACAAAAGTAACCAAAGGAATAACTGCTGATTATTCTAACTTGTAATTTCTATTTCTGTTTGTCAAAATAAATATTTTCCGTCTCTGTTGTTTTTGATTTTATTTTAAAAAATCCAGGCTGATTTTTTCTTTATTACAGAATACATGTTCTCTGCAAAACATTTGAGGAAATAGCCCATGGGTTAAAAAAAAAAAGAAATTTTAATTTCCACAATCCTATTAATTGTTAACATGTTTTCTATCCTGCTGGTCATTGGTGTGTGTGTATGTGGTGTGTTACGTGGGTGTGAATCTCTAGTTTCCTTTCTTTCTGGGGGGAGTAGGGAGCACAAAAATAGGGTTTTATTATATACCTTTTTTAAATCATGATTTTGGGTGATTTCATATAATAATGTTCTGTAGTTTATCTGGTCCTTCTTAGGTATTTACTTAGGTTTCATATTTTTTTTTTTGCAATTGTGTGAAATTATATCCACAAAGATAATGGAATTTAATACTTAAGAGTCAACTGCAAAAAACAGAATTGCTTTAGGTAGGATTTAACATAAGGTATTAAGTCACCACAAAATTGTTGAAGGGCTGGAGAACTATTCTCCAGGTTTAGCTTCACCAACAACTGCTTAATTAATACTAACAAATGTCTTTATAAGTAAATATTTATTGTGGTATGGATTCTTAATCCCTCAAAGGCAGTATTTTTAAAAGAGAATGTGGAAAATATTTGTACATATCTTTATTCATCCAACATGCTGGTATTTCCTAAATTGAGAAGTCAAAATTGCCCTTTTATTGTTTAAGTTAATGTTTATTTGGTTACTAGTAATGATGGACATTGGATATTTTGGATCTTTGAATTAGAAAGGTATTTGTGACCTTTTCTTTTTTTGTGTGTGGGGATACTGGGAATCAAATTCACGACCTTGTGCTTGCTAGGAAGATGCTTAGGATGCTGTGCTATATCCTCAGCCCTATGTGACCTTTTTCTTTCTAGAATATGCAGACCTATCTCTTCATGATTTTTTTCACTAAATGTTATCTCTGAGGAGCAGGCAAGGCACTCTACAATCTGGAGGTTAGAAAACAAATGACTACTTTTCCCAGACTCCTTGTGATTCTGTGGTAACTTGACTCTAGCCAAATGGAGATTACAAAGAGAAGCACCACAGAAGTTGGGGAGAATTTGGATTTTTCAGCTTCCCTCTTAACTGCTACTTTGTTGGGAAGTATGTGAAGCATCTGTTTTGCTGTCATGGATTGCAGCAGAGGTGATTAGATCTAGAGCTGACAGTTGGTGCCATGGGCTCCTGGTTGGTTCCTGGCTTCCTAGTCAGAGATAGACTTCTTTGGTGAGCCAGTTCGGTGATACAGATTCAGCAGTTGTTGGTGAAACAAAACCTGGAGAGTAGTTCTTCAGCCCTTTCAACAGTTTTGTGGTGACCTAATTTCTTACATTAAATCCTATCTATCTAAGGTAATTCTGGTTTTTTGCAATTGACTCCTAAGTGTTAAATTCTGTAATCATTGTGGATATAATTTGATATCATTTTTAAAAGTTAAACTTTTTACTATATAATTCAAGATTCACATGCAGTTGTAAGAAATAATACAGCAGGATCTGTGTAACCTCTACTTAGTTTTCTCCATGGCAGAATAGTGACATCTTGTAAAACTATAGCAGGGTCACAGCTTCAGTGTTGACACTGACACAGTCAAGATCCAGAACATTTCCGTCTCTACAAGAATTCCTCCAGTGGCCCTTTGTTTGCTACATTCACTTATCGTCTACCCCATCATTTCCTTAACTCCTGAAGACTGCTTGTCTTTTTATGGTGTTGTCATTTTTGAAAATGATATGTAACTTGTATCATATGTTTTGTAGGGATTGACCTTTTTCTTTTTTTTTATGGTTATCTATCTTATACACTTAGATATAAATGCAGTTATATTCTTTAGAGCACTTTCTTTTCCTTTCTTTTGTACAACGACAATTACACGTTTTAGGTTTTATTACTCCCACAGTTCTTATTACTTTTTTTTGAAGAGAGTAAAACCAAATGTTTACAGAACAGAGTCAGTCAAATCAAAAGGATGGACATAATACATGATGTAAAAACAAAATACTAGGTGATCAACAATGGTTACCATACTGCCTGTTGCATTCTTAAAAAGAATTGCCTATATCATCAGTTATAATAAAATTGAACAAAACAGTAAAGAATAAAACCAAAACATTGGAGACATTACAGGACTTTAAAAGAAGATAATAGTCAATCGGAATGGGCGTCATAATGAATCTTATTGTCTTCACAGTTTTGCCTATACTTTCGAACTTGGTACTATCAAGCAAAGCAGAATAGAGGAAAATCAGCCAAAGCAAGAGGTGAGGACTATACAGGGTTTCAAATCAAGTTAATAGGAAATTAAAGTAGGTTACTATAATGTATCCTGCTATTTTTTATTTTTCCCTTAATTAAAAGGATAAAAATAAAAAAGTAAATAATTTTTTAAAAAAGGAGATTTAGATAAAAGAGGGCATAACAACAAAACAGTGCAGGTCAAAGCATAACCATTTAATGTTTCACAAGATATCCTGACATAAAAGTAGTTACCATAGTGTCTCTTTCCTTGAAATCTCTGAGTATAACTTCGTATACTGTAGCACCAAACATATCAAGACAATGTAAAACCATTCAAGAGAATGACAGTATTATAGGGTATTTAGAACCAACTATCAGAAAGTGAACAATGGTTTCTGTATAATCTCCTTGTCTATAAAAGTTTTTGCTTATATTATCACATATAATAAAATCCAATAAGGTACAACCTGTTAAGACCGATAGAGACAGAAGAATAAAAGCTTGATGGGACTTCAAAGCAAGATGATGCTAAATCAGCACTAGTTATTATGATGTCTTGTTTTCTCCAAAATAGCTGTTCCTACCATCCAATCTTCTCTGCCTCATTTCTGTTGAACTCTTTTTCTGTCGTTTGTTGTCAGTTTGTCTTTTTCATTTTGCTTTCTGCTTCAGTCATTGTGGCCTCTCTGCCACTGTTTCTGAAGTCTTGGTATTTTCCTTTTTTAGAATATCCTGCAGTATTCTCTGTAGAGTTGAATTGGTGGTTGCAAATTCTCCTAGTTCCTCTTTATCCTGGAAGCACCTTGTTTTTCCATCAATTTCTAGGGACAGTTGTGCAGGATATATCAATCTTGGCTGGAGGTTGTTATCTTTCAAAGCTTGAATTATTTCCCCTCACGCTCTTTGTGATTTGATGGTTTGTGCCAAGAAGTCAGCTGTAATTCTGATGGGTGTTCCCTTGTAAGCGATCTGTTTCTTGTCTCTGACGGCTTTTAGTATTCTGTTTTTATATTGGATTTCTGGAATTTTGATTATTATATGCCTGGGTGTAGCTCTGTTTGGGTTGTAGGTGGCTGGGATCCTGGATCCTGTATGCCTCATACATCTGAGTATCTTTACCTTTTGCTAAATTAGGGAAATTCTCTTGGATTATTTCTGTGAATAGCTTTTGTAGTCCATTTGTTTGTGTCCCTACTTCTTTTTTTATGTTCTTAATTCTTAAGTTATAGATCCTCTTATCATCTTCTAGCCTTTGTATTATTGCTGTTTGTTTTCTTGTTATTTTTAAGAAGTTTTTCATTTCATGCTCCCAAATTACAAATCAGCCCTCCAGTTCAGATAATCTATCCTTAGTTTCTTTCAGGCTGTTATGCCAGCTTTCGATAGAGTTTTTAGTTTCCTGGTAATCTCTTTGAACCTGCTTCACGTATTCTATGTTTTCTCTATTTTCTCCATCAAACAATTCTCCCCTTTTTTTTCTGTTCTTCAATTCCACCATCTGTTTTTCCTTGGGCGGTGCTTAGCATTTCTCTAACTATTCTACTTATATCTTGCTTTATTTCATTAAATACTTCATTTTTAAACTCGTTTATGAGGCTCTGGAGATATCGCTTTATGTCTTTTGTACCGTATCTGATATTGCATGTTTTCTGTCTTCCTTTGTGTTTCCCTTTCCTGGATCAGTGTTCTCAGGATTTGGGCCTGAGGACCCTTTCTTGTTGCTTCCTCTTCCCATACTTTTTGTTCCTTCCATACAAGCGAATGTAAGAGGCCCAATTTTTTTCTCTTTGTTGGTTACGGTTTGTTTGAATTGCACCGGCTAGGTGTTCCTGCCCACTGCGTTATACTAGGGAGACACAGACCTGGGCAGCCTCTGCTGGGCCTGCCCCTCCAGGTCAACCTATCGAAGGCTTCACCGCTAGGGTGCACCTCCATGCACTGGGACCTGGTTTGGGCTAGCCTACTGGGTCTTAGTCAGTGGCGTCATGCAGACCAGGCACTCCCCACCAATCCCGCTTGAGAGGGGAATATGTGACTAATGTCACTGCAGTGTCCTGTTCTGGCAAGTCTGCCTGGTCCCAGTATGTCCTTTGCTGGAGCCTCCTACTCTATGAAAGGGTCCCCATCCGCTCACTCACCGCAAGTTGATGTAGGGCTCCCTACTAGTCCCGCTCTCAACTCTGTTCGCAGATTCCTGCTCTCAGAGCTTTTGCGCGTCTCTCTCCCTGCCCAGCAGACTTAGACGCAGCAGCCGCAGCAGGAAATTCAAATTGCGGCTTCCAGTGGCACGGGTTCTAGCTTCCGTGCTGAGATTTTATCTGTTCCTGTTATAGCACCAGGATTGGATTTCCAGTTGGTTTCTTTTAGCTTAGTTCATTCCTGGGTTGGCAGAGTGTATCTCCCCTTGCTTAGGACTCCTCGTACCACACCATTCCTGGATTTTAAGTGGGGTATCTCAGAGAGCCTCTGTAGCTGCTGCTGTCTATCTGCCATGTTCTTCCGGACGGGATTCTTCACTCAGCTGGTAATTCTCTGGGAATTCCTTCTCCATCACCACCTCCTCCTCCTGCTCCTTCTCCTCCTCCTCTTCCTCCTCCTTCTTCTCCTCTTCCTCTTTCACTCCTCTTCCCCCTTCTCTTCCTTTTGTTAAGTAATATTACAAAATTTGGATTATTGCGGTTTACTTATCCTTCACCTTCTGAGAATATGTGAGTTGTTTCTTTGGCTTTTGGGAAAAGAAAAGAGATGTTCATAAGTATATATATACAAGTTTTATGTGAAAATAAACTTTCATTTCTTTGGGATAAATAGGTCAAGTGGTGGGTTGTATGTTTAATTTTTAAACTGCCAGACTATTGCTGGAGTGCATATCACATGTCCACCTGCAAGATATGCATGATCTAGTTTCTGAGACCTTTCCAATGTTTGACTAATATGTGTGCAATGGTATCTCATCATAGTTTTAATAAATTTCCCTGCTGGCTAATGTTATTAAAACCTGTCTGATATACATAACTTCTTTATGATTTTTCTCATTTTTAAATCAAATTGTTTTTTCATTGTAGAGTTTTGAGAGTTATTAGAATTTTCCTCAGATATATGGTTTATAAAAGAATTAAATTTTGACTAAAATTCATCAATTAACCAATTTTCCCATATGTGTATTTGGAGTCAGTGTCTTGCTATGTAGTTCAGGCTAGCTTTGAACTTACTATATGGCTCAAACTGGCCTCAAACTCATAGTGATCCTCCTGCCTTAGGCACTTGAGGGCTGGGATTACAGGCATGGACCACACTATGTATGGTCAGTTTTTCCTGTTTTAGATGGTAAGGTGGTTTGGGATGTTAGATGTATGTTAAATCCTATCTAAGGTAACTCTGGTTTTTTGCAATTGACTCTTAATTGTTAAATTCTGTAATCATTGTGGATATAATTTCTTATCATTTTTAAAAATTAAACTTTTTATTATATAATTCATATATAATAATGATATAATAACTATATAATATATAATTCATATATAATTTTTATTATATAATGCCTTGCCTCCTCCTAGATAGATCTATATGGCATATGTAACACATGGAGGGGCCAGCAAAGGCCCTCAGATTTGTGTAAAAGCAACACTGTGTGGAATTTATTATGCTTAGAGTATAGGCAGGCAGAAAGTGGGATAAGACCATTGGCCCTGAGCAGAGAGAATTGTGTCCTTTTCCCAGGGACAGAAAGACGAAGGCAAGGACATTGGACAGGTAGATAAGAAGTATCTTTGGTCCAAGTTCCCTGGTAGTCTTTGCACATCAATGGGCAGCCTTTGAAATGTAAATTCTCAGGTGTCTTCCCATGTCCCCAAGACCTGCAAAATTCTTGTCCCATCTTCTCTCCTTTCCTGTGCTTGCCATGACAACTTCAGTACTGTGCTGAGTTCCCTACAGAGCACTACTTCTGCTGGCAAGCAGGTGGGGGGCTGAAGGAGTCTGTGTGTGTGTGAGAGAGAAAGAGAGTGTTTGTGTGGTTCTAGGGGTCAGACTCCGGGGCGCTTCACCACTGAGCTACATCTCCAGCCCTTCTTAGTTGTTTTTTTTTTTTTTTTTGAGACAGGGCCACACTGTGTAGTCTAAGTAGGACTTGAACTTGGATCCCGTTACCCCAGCTTCCTACAGTGCTTAGATTATAGGTGTGTGCCACTACACTTGTCTAGAATTAAGTTCATGTATTAGTCATCCTCATTTCATTGGGACAACATACCTATACCCACAACTTAAACAAGAAAAGGTTTATTTTAGATCATGTTTAAGAGGTTTCAGTCTATGATCAGCTGCTTCGGAGACAAAAACATCAGAAGGTCATAGTAGAGATAAACTTCAAAATATCACAGCCAGGAAACAGAGAGACAGGGTCAGGGACAGGAACAGAGAGAAGAAAAGAGAGCAGTACTCTTCAAAGGTGCATTATTACTCTCAAGTGGGCCTCACTTTCTAATTGTCTGTTCAGTTATGAATTCATCAGCGAATTAATCCAGTTACCTTCCTAAAGCTTTGCCTCTGAACACATGAACCTTTTGAGTGACGTTTTGGATATAAACCATAGCATTAGTCCCTAACCCCCAAAAGACTCTTGCCCATCATCTCACTGTGCAAAATATGTTCAGCCCATCTCCAAGAGTTGCCAAACTCTTAACAATTGCAAGTCAAGTCCAAAGTCTTCTTTTGAGACCTAAGGCAAATTTTTAGCTTTGATCCTGTATAAAAATAAAAAAGAAAGTTAAATATTTCCAGCATACAATGGCATGGAGTAAACAGTACCATTCCAAAAGGGAGGAATTGAGGCCTAGAAAGGAATTGGACCAAACCAAGACTGACACTCAGCAAGGGCAGTTGTTAAATCCTCTAGTTCATGTCCAGCACCTGATAGGAAGATGTGAGCTGCGAAGGCCACGGGCAACCTGACTCTTACCCCCTTGCCAGCTGGAGCCCGCATGACCTCTCTCATGAGCTTCCCCTGTTTGCTGCCTGCAGCTTTTTTCAGCAGACGTTTTCCTTAGATCTCAGCTCCCTGGGGTCCCCATTGCTTCATGTTTTTATTCTCATAGCTTCATGCTTTACTAGCTATATTGTTAATTCCAAACTACCTTTTAATCACACTTACTCACTGCCACTCAAAGCTGTAGTATAGTCTTCCACTGTTACGTCAGTCAATTTAGGATTTGGCCTCATTACTGCCTGAATCTTATACTAGCGTTCATTCCAGAAATGAGGCATTGCTGACGCAGCTCTCCTCCATATTTGAGGCCAATAGCGTTGTATCTTTGTGGTCCTCACCCTCTCTAATCACAGCTGGTAAATGTTCTCTCCTAAGGATTCGTATGATTAGATTGGCCCACTTGGATAATTTCAAAAAATCTCCCATCTCAAGGCCTGTAACCTTTGTTGTATCCATAGAGTCCCTTTGCCATGTAAGATAACATACTTACTAATCTTGGAATCAGGAGATGGATTGTGCCTTTAAGGGGGCAATTGTTTTGCCTATGTTTTACTTTTGATGTATAATTATATTTGAAATGAGTTTTTTTGCCATCCTTGTGTGCTGTTAAATAGCCATTGTGAAGCATGATTTCCATTTTTAGCCCTGCATCTCTCTGTTGAAGCATGATTTAGTATAATCATCTCCATTTTCCTTTAGTGTGTTTGGCAAATTTAGATGGGTGTTATTAAGTAGGCAAATGTACAGTCCACTTGTTGTTCATTAAATCTTAAAACTTGACCTATCTATATGCTAAAGTGTTTGCTTTTGTATTTGCTGTATTTTCCATTTCTAGGAATTCATTTACGCCCTTATCAACTGGAGGGAGTCAATTGGCTAGCCCAGCGCTTCCACTGTCAGAATGGTTGCATCCTGGGAGATGAGATGGGCCTGGGTAAGACCTGCCAGGTATGTTACTATGGACTGTGCACTGTTCCCTGCCCTGATGTACTTCCTCACAACTCATTACCATCTTTAGCTGGTAGCTGCGATATGTAATTTTATAGTAGGTTGTGAAATATGTAAACATTTAAGATGTCAAAACCTTGGAGTTGATTTTTATAGTTGTGGGGATGGTTGTGTCACTACCCTTGTCTTATCTGGTATCTGTGAGAAGACATTTATGGGTTAAAAGTGCATTTAATGGCTCAGGCACAATACTTTTCTCTATGTAAAGCGAATATTCCTTCCCAGGAATCAAGTTGATCCTGATGTCCATAGCAAAACTTTACATAGTTAATGGGATTGCTTATAATAATACCATACAAGTCTCCCTTCCTTGCTTGGGGTGTTTGGCATGAATTCTCTGGTGTTGCAAACAGGACAAAAGAAAACAAACTTTTGAAAGTTTCTTGGCAAGACAAACTTTACTTCTGCAGAAAGGTAAACAGCCAGATAACTCAAGCAGGCACAGAGTGGGCAGCCCATCTGGGTTTTATTCCTGATAGGCTATTGCCTCTGTGGGAATGTAGTCTTACCTGATGGCTAGTTTAATGAACTTGTGGTTGCTAGCAGTACAAATTCTGTGTTCTTAAAAGCCCTTTGTTACAGAGTTTTATGGAAGGTGGACAGGTAGGTAGCTCTTTGCCTCAGGTTTTCAAGGAACAGTAAAATAAGCATGTGTACATTTTACAAAAATAGCTTTTTTTTTAATAAAATGGAGATATTTGTATCTTCTTTGACAGAAAGGACTACTTTTTTCTCACAGGAATGGGGCTGTTTTTCATTTCATTACCATGGTAGAGTGGTACAGTAGAAGTACGCACTGTTTTTCCTAATATATCTTGACCATCTGCCTTAAAAGGAAGCGAGATAGAGCCTAAAGACCTGGGGAGTCCAGTGTGGCCTCTTGGGCATTACTAAGCAATTGGTATGTTGAGATTGATGTTTCTGTCAGGATGAGTAGCAGCACTGCTCTGGATTGACAGATGTTTTTAGTGGGCTTGGATGAATGAAAAGTCTAGTAGTCATGACATCTCTTAGGTTAATCACTCAAGGTTTACTTACCTATAGGATAGCAAAGAAGCCAATGCCTCAGAGGCAACTTGTTCAGGTGAAGTGGAGATACAAATTTTGCATTCCCAAAGAGGCTTTATCAGTGAAAGGCTTTAGCCAAAAAAAGCTTTAGAATGAGCCAAGATCTCATCAACTCAACTATCTCCTCTAAGGCTCACCTTATATACATAAATTTTAAGCTGGAGCAGTTCTGCAGATAGGCTAGTTTGACGATGTGTTTGAGACTATTTAAGCCGGGTGTATCTTGTCAACCACACACTGAGATATTTCACTTAACCACCTTTCACTTTCTCAGGCTAATCTGTCTGTCATTTGTACATTCCTGAACTGAGAATTGTGGAATTAGATCAAAGCTCAGTTTTTTGGATTTCTCTGGCAGCTCATTTAGGAGGCTCTTGGACCCATCAAGGGCCATTCCTGCACTCCTTTGCATCAGTTAGTAGCATCGTCCTGTTGACTTTATTCAGAGCCAGAAATTCTACATGTCCTTAGCCTTTCCAGCTTTCCTTCAAAAATCCCTCAAAATACCAAGTATAATGGCTTATACCTGTAGTCCCAGCAGGCTGAGGCAGAAGGATTACATGATGAGGCTAGCTTGCAATACATAGTGAGACATTCTCTTAGAACAAAACAAAATGAAACAAAACAAATCCCTAAAAACATACTACCTCCACATTGGTTTCATTTAAAGCTTGTTCAGAATTTTTTGTATCTATATCATAAACAATATTGATCAGTAATTTCTTAAAATATTTTTGTCTGATTCCAGTATCGAGTTAAAGCTGGCCTCAAAATGAGTTGAGAAATATTTCCTCTTCAGATTTCTGGAAAAGTATATATAGAATTGGTGTTGTTTCTTCCTTCCTTAAATGTTTGGTAGAATTCACTGGTGACTTCAGGTTGTTTTGCAAACAAATCTGGTTTATGGTAATGAAAGATAAACTTTCTCTAAATTGGATTCTCAGGGAAAGTGAAACAGAATGTTTTTAATACAGTTAAATCACTTATTAGAGGTTGCTGTAGGCATAGTTTGTGCTGGGAAGCTATAGATAATTTATAAAGAAAATTATTTTCATTATAAGATTAATACCATATTTAAAGAATTAATCATGTCACTCTAGACACAACTATAAGTAGCAATGTGTGTTACAACTATAGTGTGGTATAGTTCATATAGTTTGTGTTTTGTTAATCTAATACTGCTATTGAAATTTTACATTTCATTTACTCTTCACAATCATTATTTTCAGCTGCATATATATTTCATCAAGGGAACTTATTATAATTTACTTGAATGTTCTACAGAGGTGAACTGGTGAATTCTTCCCTTTTTTGGGGATATTTAATCTTGATATGAACATCTTTGTGCACATAGCTTTCTTTTTTTTTAAGTAAATACTTTTTTTAATGAATGAGGGAGAGATTGAGATAAAAGAGGACATAACAACATAACAATACAGGTCAAAGCATGATAGTGTCAGCTTCACCACCAAATAACCCGAGTAGTTACCAGAGTGTCTTTTTCCTTGAAATATTTGAATATAACTTCGTATACTATAGCTTCAAACATATCAAGTCAGTGTAAAACCATTCAAGTGGATAAAAGCATTGTAGGGTATTTAGAACCAGCTAACAGAAAACCAACAATGGTTTCTATATTGTCTCTTTGCCTATAACAATTTTTGTTTATACTATCACATATAATAAAATCCAGCAAGATACCTCATGATAAAACCAATGGAGACAGAAGAGCCATAGTTTGGTGGGGCTTTAAAACAAGATGATAGTAAATCAGCACTAGCTATTATGATGACTCATTTTCTTCAAAATAGCTGTTCATTTCATCACAGGCAATAATATCAAACAGCCCAGAATAAAGCCATTCCAGTTAATAAGTGAAAACTTTATAAGGCTTCAAGGCCACATAATGGGGAATCATGATTACCACATACTTTTATATATTTGAATCATTACTTACATTAGGGAAACTATTCGGTATTCACACATGCGAAATTGATTTATTTCACTTATGAGTATGGTCTCAAGCTGCGCCCATTTATTGATAAATATCTCAATGTGATCCTTCTTTATAGCTGAGTAATACTCCATTGTATAGAAATACCACAACTTTTTTAAAATTATTTTTTATTTTAAAGACATTAAGACAAAACAGGACATAACAGAGCAGATCAGAACATAACAATGTAAGTAACACAATATTTCACCAGAAGACAACCCATAATTAACAGTAACTACCATGATGTCACTTTCTTTGAAATACTTGAGTATCAAACATAACAAAATAGTATAAAAACATTTAAGAGAATGAGAGTATTACAGTGTTTTCAGAACCAAATAACAGAAAACAAACAATGGCTACTATATTATCTCATTGTCTATAGGAAATTTGTTTATACATTCACATGTAATATAATCCAATAAGGTACAACATGATAGAGCCAATGGAAATAGAAGAGCCAGAGCATGGTAGGACTTCAGAGCAAGATGATATTATATCAGTACTGGCTATTATAATAACTTGTTTCCCTCAAATTAGCTGTTCATACCATCACAGATAATAAAATAAAAACACAGGACAAACACATTATAACTGTGACCATTATAAGGCTTCAAAACAATGTAATGGGGATTCATGATTACTCTAAACTCTTACGTACTCTTACTGTTTCTTACACTAGGGAGACTATACAGTATTTATACATGTGAGTTTGATTTATGTCGCTTATGAGGATGGTTTCAACTTGCACCCATTTATTAGTAAATATCTCAATGTGATCATTCTTTATAGCTGAGTAGTTCTCCATTGTACAAAAATATCACATCTTTTTTATCCATTCCTAAGTTGATGGACACCTAGGTTGCTTCTAAGATCTGGCCACTACAAATTGTACTGCTACGATCATGAGTGCACATATAACACCGTAGTATGATGCCCTCAGCTCTCCTGGGAACATGCCCAGAAGTGGAATAGCTGGGTCGAATGGGACCTCCAATCCCAGATTTTTGAGGAATCTCCAGACTGACCTCCGTAGTGGATGCACCAGTCTGTACTCCCACCAACAGTGCAGGAGATTTCTTTTTTCCCCACATCCTCTCCAGCATGTGTTGTTGGTAGTTTTCTTGATCCTGGCCATTCTTTCAGGAATGAGATGGAATCTCAGTGTCGTTTTAATTTGCATTTCTCTAATGACTAACGATGATGAACATTTTTTCATGTATTTATTTGCCATTTGGAAATACCACAACTTTTTTATCCATTCCTCAATTGATGGACACTTGGGTTGTTTCCAAGATCTGGCGATTACAAATTGTGCTGCTATAAACATAGGTGCGCATATATCACTGTGGTATGATGCTTTCAGTTCTGGGAATATGCCTAGAAGTGGAATAGCTGGAACAAATGGGACTTCCAATCCCAGCTTTTTGAGAAATCTCCAGACTGACCTCCACAAAGGTTGTACCAGTCTACACTCCCACCAACAGTGTAGGAGAGTTCCTTTTTCCCCACAGCCGCTCCAGCATTTGTTGTTGTTGGTTTTCTTGATCCTGGCCATTCTTTCAGGAGTGAGATGGAATCTCGGTGTGATTTTAATTTGCATTTCTCTAATGACCAATGATGATGAACATTTTTTCATGTATTTATTTGCCATTTGTATTTCTTCATCTGAGAAGTGCGTATTCATCTCAGGTGCCCATTTTTGGATTGGATCTTTGAATTTTGGGGGTCTGAGTTTTTTTAATTCTTTATATGTTTTAGACAAAAGTCTCTTGTCTGAGGGGGAGTTCACTAAGATCTTTTTCCAGTTTGCAATCCCAATTTGTGGGGTTTCTTTTCTCTATGCTGGAGATTTCTTTTGACTTGCAGAAACTTTTTAATAAGAGGTGGTCCCAGTTATTGATTCTGGGAAGTATTTCCCATGTGGTTTGAGTCCTGTTCACGAATTCTCTACCTACCCCTATGTCTTCAAGGTTTCTACCCAATTTGTCTTCCAATAGATTTAGTGTTTCTGTTTTAATATTCATATCTTTGACTCATTTAGATTTTAATTTAGTACATGGTGATAGACATGGGTCTAGCTTTAGTTTTTGGCAAATGGAGAGCCAGTTTTTCCAACACCATTTATTAAAGAGACTGTCGTTCTTCCAGTGAACCTGCTTGGTTCCTTTATCAAAGATAAGGTGGTTGAGTGTGTTTGTAGTTGTGGTTGTATCTTCTAATCTATTCCATTGATCTTCGGTTCTGTTTTGATTCCAGTACCATGTTGATTTTACTACTGTTGCTTTGTAGTGTAACTTCAGGGATTGTGATGCCTTCTGCCTTGCTTTTGCTGCTTAGAATTGCCTTTGCTATTCTAGGTCTCTTCTGGTTCCAGATGAATTTTAGGAGTGATTTCTCTAGATTTATAAGGTATGTTGATGGTATTTTTATTGGGATTGCATTGAATCTGTATAACAGTTTTGGGAGAATGGCCATTTTCACAATGTTTGTTCTTCCTATCCATGCGCAAGGGATGTCTTTCCATTTTCTGAGATCATCTTCAATTTCTTTTTTCAGTGTATTATAATTTTCCCTGTATAGGTCTTTCACTTCTTTCGTAAGAGTAATTCCTAAATATTTCATTTTTTTGCTTACTAGTGTGAAGAGTGCAGTTTCTCTGATTTCCCTCTCTGTGATTTTGTTGTTAGTGTATAGGAATGCTATTGATTTCTGAGTATTGATTTTGTATCCAGCTACATTACTGAATTTATTATATCTAAGAGTCTTTCAATGGAGTTTAGGGGGTCTTCTATGTAGAGTATCATGTCATCTGCAAACAATGATAATTTAACTTTTTATTTTCCTATCTTTACCACTTTTATTTCTCTCTCTTCTCTAATTGCTCTGGCTAGTACTTCCAGTGGTGATGAAGGACATCCTTGTCTTGTGCCTGATTTTAAAGTAAAGGCTTTCAATTTTTGGCCATTTAGTATGATGCTGGCTGTTGGTTTGTCATAAATGGCCTTTATTATATTGAGGTAAAGACCATCTATTTCAATTTTCTGTAAAGTTCTTATCATGAATGAATGTTGGACCTTATCGAAGGCTTTTTCTACATGTATAGAAATGATCATGTGATTCTTACTTTTGGCTTTATTGATATGGTGGATTACATTTATTGATTTACGTATGTTGAACCATCCCTGCATTCCTGGGATGAATCCCACTTGGTCATGGTGTATAATCTTCTTGATGATTTGCTGCATCCTATTTGCCAATATTTTATTGAGGATTTTTGCATCTGTGTTCATTAGGGAGATTGGTCTATAGTTTTCTTTTTTAGTTGGGTCTTTCTCAGGTTTTGGTACTACAGTAATATTTGCTTCCAGGAATGACTTAGGAAGGATTGCTTCCCTTTCAATTTCATTGAATAGTTTGAGGAGTGTCGGCATTAGGTCTTCTTTGTATTTCTTGTAGAATTCTGCAGTGAATCCATCTGTGCCTGGGCTCTTCTTGGTGGGTAAGGACTTAGTTACATTTTCAATTTCATTAATAGAGATTGGGTTATTCAGCAGTTTTACATCCTCTTGATCTAGCTTTGGTACTTCATATGTTTCTAAGAATCTTTCTATTTCTTCTGTGTTATCAAACTTTTGAGAGTAGAGGTTTTCGAAATAGGTGTTGATGATCTTCTGTATTTCTATTGGGTCTGTAGTGATTTCTCCTTTTTCATTTCTTATTGCATGAATTTGAGCTTTTTCTTCCCTTTTTTTAATAAGGTTGGCTAGGGGCTTATCGATTTTATTTATTCTTTCAAAGAACCAACTCTTTGATTTGTTGATTCTTTGGATTGTTTTCTTAGTCTCTGTTGCATTGATTTCTGCTCTGATTTTTATAATTTCCTCCCTTGTTTTGGCTTTGGGCTTGACTTGCTCTTTTTCTAGCTGTTTGAGGTGTAGCATCAAGTTATTTATTTGTATTCGTTCTGTTTCCCTGATGTGGGAACTCAGTGCAATAAATTTTCCTCTGAGGACGGCTTTCATTGCATCCCACAGATTCTGGTAAGTTGTATCTGTATTTTCATTTTCTTGTAGGTATTGTTTAATTTCTTCTTTAATTTCCTCTGTGACCCACTGATTACTCAATAGTGTGTTATTCAGTTTCCATGTGTTTGTGGGATTTTTGCAGTATCTTTTATCATTAATTTCTAATTTCAAAGCACTGCACATGGGTTTCTTAATAGAGTTATAGCTTAGGATAGAGTTCTCATGGAAGTAGCTTGGCATTTAGGAATGGAAGTGCCTCACACATTTTTGTTTTATAAGAAGTGTTTTTTTTCTGTGTATCACAGCTATTTTCAAGTCATAAATATATGTGGCATCTCTTGACATATGCCCATTTGGCTTTACAAAGATCATTTTGTATCCATATTTCAGCTTATGAGGATAATTTATTGTCTGTTTTTGCTGTTTGAATGTATGCTCCAGGAGAGCAAGGAGTTTTGTTTACTGTTGTTTAGCAGAAGCTTAGCTCTGTTCAGCTAAGATGATCTTATACATGGGAGGTGGAAACATAGTAGGGGAAGGAGAGAGGAAATTACAGAGGGAAGAATTTAAGAATCGAGGAAAATATCTTTAACAGATGAGCCGGCAAGCAGCAGGCTTATTTTTAGGTCATTTTGGGGCGAGGGTCATTTTTACAACCTCTCTTGGCATATCTGGCTTTTTGTTTTTAGACTATTCCTAGTGTTGCTCATTAAATGCTTTGTTTTTATTGATTTCTATTTTTCCTTTGCGTTAAAGGTCCAATTATATAAATATCGAGCCTCATTTTTGTTAGTACTGAAATAACTTAAGAACATAAATTCCTTTGGCAAGTTTACTGAGGTTTACAAGATTTTACTCTAGGAACGGATTACTCTCCGAATGTGTAGAAGATTGTACATAATTTCTTTGTAAAGTGAGACATAAATAAGTTGTGTTCCCTGCAGCTACGAGAGCTTTCTGCTTGTTTCTCATGGGGAAATCTGATCAAAACTGCCTTCTTCTGTGTTCCAGACTATTGCTCTCTTCATTTACTTGGCAGGAAGACTGAACGATGAAGGACCATTTCTGATTCTTTGTCCCTTGTCTGTTTTGAGCAACTGGAAAGAAGAGATGCAAAGGTACAGAAGTAGATTTGGCTGAAACTTGAATGTTTATGTTGGCTAAAATATTTTTCTAGATGGTGTATAAAATATGATTAAAAAGTCACTTTGCCGTAATCAGTGAGTTTAGTGTTTCAGAAAGCTCTGAACTGAAGCAGTGTAAGTAGGCTCTGAGGATCTGATAGAGGGAGGAACCAGTTGATGTTATTGTTGTTACCTGGCAGTTCAAAAATCAGTGCTTATTTTAAAAATTTTGCTGAACTAATGGAGAAAGGAACCATTTTTTTCTTTGTAATGGCATAGGAAATAACATGGATAAAAATAGTTTTATTTTTAGAGCCAGCACAAGAGCCTCTTAGACTTGGCCCTTCTTATACAGGACTTTACCCCAAAGTTTAACCATTCCTATAGGTAAGGTTTAAAGCCTCAGGACTTTTTCTGGGTATGGGTTATAATAGTAAATTTTCTTTTACTGGGACAAAGTACCTGAGACCCACACTTGAAAGGAGAGTTTTCGATTGTCTTATGGTTTTAGAAGTTTTGGTCCACAATCACCTAGCTTCAGGGCAGGACCATCATGTTGAAGGAGTGGCAGAAGAAAGCTGCTCACTTCCTGGTAGCTGGAAACAGGAAATAGAGCCAGGGAACAGCACCAGGGAAGAGTTGGCTAAGGCTCAGATATAGTACCAATGGTCAGGCCTCTGGGACCCGCCTAGACATACATGTAAGTGTGGTCTTCCAATCCCCTAGGTGAAACCCAAAATCAATCAGGTTGACAATCCAGCAGTCAGCTTAACTGTCCGAGAGCACAGGAGGTCTTCACACTACAACGTAACTTTCCAGATACGCGTACCCTATTCCATGGCTGTGGTATTTGGGTTTATTTGCCTCTCTCTTTTCTTGGATTCAGATGTGCTCCAGGTCTTTCCTGTGTAACATATGCAGGTGACAAGGAGGAAAGGGCCCACCTTCAGCAAGACTTAACAGAGGACTCTCCTTTTCATGTGCTGCTGACTACTTATGAGGTATTCATTTGTTTCTCTGTGGCAGGAACTCCTAACCTGGGACCTTTATAAATTCTCAGATCCCACTGAAATTATATTTAACTTGTTTTGATAGCATACATTTTCTGAAAGGAGAGTCTGTCTTCATTATATACTTGAAGACAAACTGACAAAAAAAAGTGAAGGATCATTGTGCTTCAGTTAGGTTTCTTTTCTTCTCTTGCCTAGGCTCAAGGGGGAAGCTTTCCCAGAGAGGCAGTCCTTGAGTTGCTCTTGGTTAATGAACAGAAAGGCAGGCAGGATGGAAAGGGTTTTGTATATTGAGGCATCATATCTACTGGAGGATAGGAGTGGAGGACGCAAAGTCTTGATCTTTGGACTAAGACTGGGTCACTATAAGTGAGACTTTCTCCTTAGTCATTCTTTCTTTCTACTTGAACGGTAATGCTAGACATTATACTCAGGAGCTGGTGTGTGGGTGTAGTGGTTCATGTGTGTAATCCCAGTACTCAGGTGGCTGGGGCAGGAGAATTATGAGTTTGAGGCCAGCCTGGACTACTTAGTGAGACCCTGTTTCAAAAAAAACAAAACAAAAAAGAAAGTAAGAGGAAAAAACAAAAATTATGCTCAGAACTCTTTTTTAAAAAAACTTACTGAACAAGTAAGATATATTCAGTACCAGTGTTTTTAATCTGTCTTCTTTAATTTTTCAGATTTGCTTGAAAGATGCATTATTTCTAAAATCGTAAGTAAGTTGTACTACTTCAGAAATTGTAGACTGTGTCATGGAAGTCATCTTGCCTTCACGTGCTTCTTTCCTGCCTTCTTTTGTGTGTCTTCTGTGAGTTTTCTCTAAGAAGAGGCAGATGTTTCAGCCTCCTGTGTTGTGTAGCCTTTTACTCTTTCGCTGTGTGTGCTTGGGTTAGTTACTTAATCTCCAGGACCTTCAGCTTCTTCAGTTGTGAAATGAGGATAATTAAAGTTCTTACTGTGGGTGGCTTTTGTGAAACATAAAATGAAAAATGCTTGTTTGGTTAATAGATATTAGGTAGTTTATATTGCAACTTGCATAGACACAGGGACTGTTGTTCAGAGATTTTTATTATACTGTAGGAGGTGAATCATTTAAATCCTTTCATGGACATAACTAAGTGCAGTAGTAGACAGTACTACAGAATTAACTTTTTAAAAAGGGAATTTGAAATACATTTCTAATTACTTAATTTTGGGGCCTCGTATTCACTCACAAAGTACCAGAAATTGAGATTTAACTATTGGTTATATTATATAGTCACATTAGCAGCTGCAAAATTAAAAAGCTACGTTAAGTAAGAAAGAAAGATTCGTTGGCAGTTTCATTTCCTGTAACCTGTGTAGTTATGACATAGTGAAGTTGGAATTCTGCATCTTTAATGTTCAGAAATTATTGTCTTCAAAGTGCTTCATCAATATTTACATTTTTTTCTCATCCAGGTTTTTTGAGTGAATTTATGCTTGTATCACCTTGAAGTACTAAAGGTTAGGATGTAGATTTTGTGACTTCCGTCTAATATTTTGTTTTATCAGTTTCATTTAGGTGAGCATATTATCTTTTCTGAAGAGTATATGCTCTCCCTATATATTTATTTAAATTTTATTTGATTTTTGTGGCACTAGGGATCAAACCCAGGGTCTTACACATGGTAGGCAAATGTTCCACTACTGAGTCATTTCTTCAGCCTGTTTTTAAAATTCCTAACATCCTGCTTACACTTGATGAAGTCTTCCTGGAAAGGAACTGTTTTGGGAGTTATTGATAATTCCAGGAAAGTAAATCATAGCAGTATGCTAAGACGGCGTGAAGTCCAGTAGAGGGATAACAAGGACATAGATATTCACAGAACAATGCAATATGTGAGAAGTCTCCAAAGACAACAACATTGGGACATAAGTGTTGTAAAGTACATTATATAAATTACTCCATTTCAACTACATGAAAATCCAGGTAGGCAGGCAAGAACCTTAGGAACAGAGAAGCATTTGTAGAGTTGACCCACAAAATCCCAACAACATAGGTGTATTCTTTTAATGTGTTTGTCAAGGTTCTATGTTTATTACTGTATTGTACATTCTGAAAATAGCAAGGAAACACAATATAATTTCTGTACCAGTTAGAGAGTTATGGACAGTAAAGATGGCACATGATGATCATATGAAAACATTGAAGTGTATTGGACAGTAGACTTGTAAAATCTTTGGATCACAGATTAGGAGCTATCTCATTAGACTTCCCATTCAAACTTGGGGTTTCTTCCACTTCTTCCTCTCCATAGAGGGTTTCTCTCTTGTCTAAGTACTTATGCGTACTAGGCAGGTACTCTATCACTATACCGCATCTGGCTTTAAAGTGCCTTTTGATGATGTTTTTGACATACTTTCTTGTCTGTCTGTCTGTTTCTCCCTTCCCACCTACTTGCCTGCTTGCCTGGCTTCCTTTATGGCTTCCCTCCTGTCTTCCTACCTTCCTTCCCTCTTTTTTTCTCCCCTCACAGCTTGTCCCCCCCCCCTTGTCTCCTGTATCCTCTCCTCCCCTTTCTCTATACTGAGGATTGAACGCAGGGCCTTCTCACAGAGCAAGATCTCCGCCCTTTTTTATTTTGAGATAGGATCTTACTGAGTTGTCAAGGCTGGCCTCAAACTTGTGAACCTCCTGCCACAGCCTCTCAAGCATGAGATTTGCAGGCATTTACCACTTACATGACTGAAACTTCTTGAGTGATTGCTATTCTTACCCATCACACTATAAAATATGCTTTGGCAGCAGATACTCATGGCCTTTACATTTATAAATGCAATGGATATATCTTCATGGATATCTTTGATACTGTTCTTGATTGTGGTGATTAGTTCATCACTTCTCCACTTTGAAACCTACATCTTTTGCTACTATGACATCACTGTCTCTGATTTTTCTTGTCATTTTGTTCAGTTCTACTTTTAGGACCTTGAGCAAGTCACTTAATTTTTTTGAATTATAGTCTCCATGGTGGCACAATTATGTCTATTTGCCATATTCTTTTGGACCAAATAACATATAAAACTGTAAGCTCAGTGTCTGGCATGTGGTAGAAAGTTATGTTTTCTTTTCCTTCTGTCTGGCTCTTTTCCTTTTTGTATATGTCTTTCCCACCTTAGGAAAAATTCCTTTTACTACCTTTTCCAGATGTTGCCTTATGTACACAGCATCCTCTCTGATAGGTAGGCATTTCTTTCTTTCTTTCTTTTTTTTGTCTTTTTCCTTTTTATCAGTACCGGGGATCAAACTCACAACCGCCTGCTTGCAAGGCAGGTGCTTATGCCACTGAGCTAAATCCCTAGCCCCGGTAGGTATTTCTAAAAGAGGGCTTACTGTTAGTCTTTCTAACAAAGGTTGTAGTTTTGTTTAACACTTGGTTGTGAGATGTTTGGATGAGTCAGACAAAGCTGAAAGCTTGGATTTTCTTTCACAGCTTCTCTTGGAGTGTTCTTGTTGTGGATGAAGCTCACAGATTGAAAAACCAAAGCTCTCTGCTGCATAAGACACTTTCAGAGGTAAGTTTCCATGGTCATTTTAGTTTTTATGGACACTCCTCCCTTTTTAGTAGATTTTGCTTTTAGATTTTACTTTTAGAGCAGTTTTCGGTTCACAACAAAATGAAGGTGCAGAGAGTTCCCTTATCTGTTTACTTTTTACATTTTACTGTTTACATTTTCAATGTGTCTCTCCAGAGTGATAAATTTGTTACAGCTGATGAACCTACCCTGGACATTGGAATACCCCGTAGTTTAGGGGTTCACTCAGTATTGTGCATTCTGTGGGTTTGGACACATGTGATGGCTAAATCCATCATTTTCGTGTCATACAGTGCAGTTTCCTTTATTGTCCTAAACATCCTCTATGTTCCATCTGTTTATCTCTTCCTCTGTCTAACTCCTCTTTAAAAAGAAATACTAGTTTAGGTTTGTACAGAATCAATTTAATTGAACCAGTTTCTTTTTTTCAGTCAGATTTCAGCAATGACAAATGAACATTTTTTGGGTAACCAGGTAGTATTTAATATGACCCAACTTCTCTTTTCGTACATCCTTTCTATAAGAGACTGTGTTGCTAAAATCTGGTTATCAAATGAGTAATGCTTTACTCAGATAAAATGCATCATATTTTTGGAAATATCTCAGTTGTTTTTTTGTTCTCTATTTCTTTACAAAAATAACCTTTGTTATAATTCATCTGTTTATAACAGCAGATATATTGGGCATATGATGCCCTTCCCCCAGTTTATGTGTTTAAAGCTGACAGTTCATATAGAATCATGAAGAGATCAATTTCATACCATTGAATATTATATCTAATCTCTCTTGCTTATCATTGTCATATTTTTGAGTATGATCCAACTGCTCTCATTCTTTTCTTTTGATCTCTTGGATCATTCTGGCAAACTAGAAGAGAAATATGATGCTAGCTATATTTGTCCTATTTTCTGAGGAACGGTGGAGTGCAAACTGTGTCCCTTCTTGATCTGGTTAAGATTTGTTCCTTTGTGAAACAAACAATGTTAATTTCTGTGGTGATACTTGAAGTGTGTTCCCCATTTTGTAGTAAATCACTTAAATTTAGAGATCATTTGGAGGAAAACCTCAGGTCTAAATTCTGTAGTACTGGCCTAAAAATTGCAGTTTTTAGAGTTTTAATGCAAACATGGTCACTGTCTATTAGTCTTAGATTGTTATCCATTGGTAGGGCATCTTCCGCTCTGGAATTCTTTAGTGGTCTTTAATATGCCTGTTCTTAAGGGGTTGTTATGTTAGTCTGTTTTGGCAGCATTTACATGTGCCACAGACTTATATAATCATCAGAAATTTATTTCTGAAAGATCTGAATGTTGGGAAGTCTAAGATCAAGGTGCCAGCATTTGGCGAGAGTACAATGGGTAAGAAAGAGAAGAGAAAACTAGCTCACTGCAACAAGATGCCTTTTTTTTTTTTTAAATTGGTACTGGGGATCGAACTCATGACCGCCTGCTTGCAAGGCAGGTGCTTATGCCGCTGAGCTAAATTCCCAGTCCCTAAGATGCATTTTTGAAAAGGCACTTGGGAGGTCATTTGGAGGAAAATCTCAGGTCTGAATTCTGTATTTAGTGGCCTGAAAGTTGATCCTACTATAGCAAGCAGTCCACAGGCCTAGTCACTTCGTTTTTTTTTTTCCTGTATTGGGAATGAACGTAGGGTCTTCACACTAAGAGGTATTTCTAGCCACCTGTCCCCTGACCCTTTTTTAAATTTTAAAGAGGATAAAACCAAGGAAAATAAAATAGAGTAAAACCAATCAAAACAAACCAGTATAAGTGATGCAGGACTTCAAAACAATATGAAATCAACAACAGTTACCATAATGCCTTTTCTTGTCTTCAAAAGAGCTGCAGATACCTTTATACATAGTAAAAATCAAACAGAACAGAATAAAACCAATAAAAACAAAACAGTGAGTACAATAAAGGACTTCAAAACAAGACAATAATAAATCCAAAATAGCTACCATAATATATCTTTTTGTCTTTGATATAGCTGCTCATGCCATTAGATATAACAAAAACAAAATAAAACAGAATAAAACCTAAACCAATAAAACAATGAAAATGATATAGGACTTCAAAATAAGACAGTGGGGAATTAACAATGGCTACCGCCTTCAGAAGGAGATGCCCCAGGGATGCCACACTGCATACTACTATCCTCAGAATAGATAATCAGACCACTGGCCCTAGACCTTCAAGGTCACTGAAACACCAGAACACCACAAACACCAGATTGCACTTCACCTCAATCGCTGTCATCGCAGCCTGTGTTTCTCCACATCAGCTGGTTCCTTATGGTGGCGGGGATTAGGGTGGAGGGTGATTGGCTGTTCTTGTTTGCTAGCCCATGTGCCAGAAGGGACTTGGGTCTGGGCTGTCGCCCAGCTGCTGGTGGCCTACGCATGTGTTGATTCACAGGGAGGGCTTACCCTTCCCTTTTTTTTTGAGACAGTCTCACAGTCTTACAATATGGTTCAAGCTGTCCTTGAACTATGTAGCCCAGGCTGGCCTCAAATGTGTGGTGATCCTCCTGCCTCAGCTTCCTGAATGCTGGAATTATAAGTGTTTGCCATACTGCTTGGATTCTTGGCCTTTTTGTTTTATTTTAAGACAGATCGTTTGTTATGATTTAGGTTTATGATTTGGATTATGATTTGGATTTGGGTGTCCCCCCAGAGCCTCATGTGGTCATGTGCGGTGAGCTTTCAAAAGCACTGAGTCTAGTCTTTGTGATTCGCTTGTTGTCTAGTGCTGGGGTTGGTGGTATGAGTGATGTACCCACCCAGGGTGGGTAGCCGGTGGCATACAGTATAAGGGAAGGAAGGAGATGTGCTTTCCCCTTTTGCCCCTTTTGCTTTTGTCACTTAGGCCTCCATGCTGGTTACCCCTTAGCCATGCTACCCGCTTTGGAGCCAATTGAATATGGATTGAAACTTCAAACAAAACAAAACGAAACAAAACAAAACCCTGTAAGCTAAATAAGCCATTCTTTCCGTCAATTGGGGTGTCAAGTATTTTGCCTCAGCAACCAGAGAGAAGAAACCAAGGCAATGTTGTTTAATTCTCCAGGCAGGACTTGAACTTGAAATCCTCTAGGGTAGTGGATAACAGGCTTGTACCACCAGGCTCCACCTGATCACTTCTTCAGGCTCTATCTCTTAAGATTATCACATTGGTAATATCTGGAATTTGGAGAGGACACAGTCACATCATAAAATTTTTCTATTCCTAGTATATTTCTATTCCTAGTATATGATCTCAAAATGGATTTTACTTTGAAACAGCAAAGTTAATTTGTGTCATGGGATTGTAGTGACCCACATTGTTTACCATTGTGACTGCACTGTCTTTGATAACTTCATCTCTTATTTGGTGAGCACATACTATGAAAGTGTGAATTGGGTATTAAAAACATTTTGACTTTTACCTGTTCCCATAGTTGAAGAACTTGGAGAACAATGCTGAACAAGCAGTTAAGGCAAGAATAAGAAGAGTTTGAATAAACATTTTAGAAAGATGCAAGAAAAAGAGAGATTACAAAAATATTAAATTAGATTTAATTGATTACTTTGTTTCATTGATCACTTTTCTTACTACAAAATCAGTATCTTAGGACCACCCCCAAAATAAAATAAATGAACATTTACCAATAATCCTACTCCTTCATTAACACATTTCAGTCAGCTTGAACCACCTGTGGTATATGCATGACTGGTGGTGCAAACAGATCTAATCACTTTCATTGATGTTTTTACTGATAAAATTAATAAAAAGTGGCCTACTGGGACAATCATGTGTGTACCAGTGGTGGTTCAAGCCATCCAGCAGCAGTACATGTGAATTGGGCTGTGTTGTGAATGAGTTAATAATTTAGTGTTATGTGTCCATGCTGCCATATGCCTTGCCGTGCATGCATATACTCAGACTTAAGTATACCTTAGATCACAAATGCTTGTGTTTGCAAAACATTTGGTTCTCAAAAGCATTCAACAGATTCTACATTGGATGACAAATATAACGGCAGCCATCTTTCCCACACAAACACAAATATGGCCATCTTCCCTCAAATCATAAGCAAATGAAGTTCATGAACCAAGATACTGCTCTGCATGCATATATATTTTAAACGTCCAAATATTTACTATTCTAAGTGTCAAAATATGGTATGTATAGAAGTAGTCTATGTATACAAGCATCCTTATATGCTATATTTTATAATTAAAATCATTTACCTATATAAAATAAGGCTTTCCCACTTTTCTATATTATTCTGATAGAATAAGTACGTGTTAATGTCAGTTTAGAGTTTGCCCTTGCCTGACCTAATACTTGTTTTTATTGTTTTTCCTTACCTTTTGCTTCATTAGTCTTTATTCTTGATGTTTTCATCTGTTTCTGAAGGTTGAAAGAATTGCTTTCCATTTTGGGATGTATAGCAGAATGTCCAGAAACTATCAAAAATATTGATATCGTATATCTGATGAACATAAAGTTTTACAAAGGGATGTTCTTTTAGTGTAGATCGTATTTCTTGTTTGTAGTAAGAGTCTCAGCTTTGATGCTATAGTTTTGGCTTCTTAGCCTCCATGAGTATGTACAGTGTCTCTGATGCTTCAGCAAATTCCCGTATATAGCTTATAGCACTTACCAGTAGTTTGAATCCCCACATAGATTGAATAACAATAACCATATTGTTACATGAGTAATGTATTGCTCATGTAATACATTAGAGTTTACAAAGTGCCCTTCTTCTCCCTCCCTTCCTTCCTCCCTTCCTTCCTTCCTTCATCCCTCCCTTCCTTCCTTTTTCCCTTCCTTCCCGTTCTTTTCTTCCTCTCTACCCTCCTCCTTTCTTTTCTCTCTCTTCTCTGCCTTTTCTTTCTTCCTCCTTCTCTTTCCCTTTTCATAATGGAAATCAAACCCAGAACCCCTTCTACGCTCACATTCTTTTTTTTTTTTTTTTTTTTTCCTTTTTATCGGTACCAGGGATCGAACTCATGACTGCCTGCTTGCAAGGCAGGCGCTTATGCCACTGAGCTAAATCCCTAGCCCCTATGCTCACATTGTTATAACAGTGTCTTCACAGGATTATTACCCCCTTCTTGGAGTTGAAACTACAGAGATATTACTTCCTACATCAGGCTGTACTTGACCTGAGCCTTTTGATTTCATGTGCGTTGCTCATTCCATTAAATCATACTGCTTTTTGTATGGATAAAGGTTGGGATGGGTAACAGTCTTGCTTCCCATGATTTTAACTTTTGTTTATTTATGTATTTGAGTTCTCAGTGGTCTTCAGTCTCCTGTTGACTGGAACTCCTGTACAGAATAGCCTCCAAGAGCTCTACTCTCTCCTCAGTTTTGTGGAGCCTGATCTCTTTTGCAAGGAGCAGGTGGAAGATTTTGTTCACCGTTATCAGGATATTGAGAAAGAATCTAAATCAGGCAAGTTCCCTTTTAAAAACCTCCAAGAGGTCTTAGCACAGAAACTGTGCTGGTGCATAGCAGTTATAGATAAAAAAGAAAGAGAATTGATCATCGAAGACACCCTCCAGGAAGATAAAGAGCCAGGATGTAAGGCAGGTGTTGGATCCTTCATGTATCTAGTTGTGTGCGCTCCATAAAGGAATTATTCACTAATTATTATATGATTCTACATTAGGACATAGTTGGTTTATTTTTGAAAGAAGTAGAAAATTCCTGCTGATTTGTAGACCATTCCACTTGTAATATCTGTAAAACTTTGTCAATTTTCCTTACTGCTTCCTAGGATATACAATAGGTACTATAGTTCCAACCTGCTATTCAGCATTCTGCATTACTGGTGTTTCTTTTTAACACTTTACTGAAACCAAAACTGTGAGCTGGTAAATAAAAGTGAAGGATGGAAACTTTACCATTCATGCAGCTAGCTGCTTTCTTTAGTACCTTTTCTTTTCTGTTTTTTTTTGTGCTGGGAATCCAACCCAGGGCCTCATGCACGCAAAGCAAGAGCTCTGTCACTGAGCCACATCCCTCGTCTTCTTCAGTACCTTTGTCCCTCTGTTTTGTAGAGTTACCTGAATATCCCTATGATATTATCCTGTGATGGTAATTCAAAACAAAGGCACACATGTGGGCTAGTGATTATATGTGTGTTGAGTAAGTATAGTTTGGAGGGTTGTCTTATGACAAAAATCTCTTCATAGGCTAAAGATTACCTAGGGAATCTACTCTTAGTATTCCCATTTTTAAAATTGCCAGGTAAAGATGCCATATATTCCAAAACTACTCATTGTTTACCTGAAATTCAAATTTAACTAGTTACTTGTATTTTTATTATTTGTATGTGGCAATCCAATGTATAGTATAGCTCTAATCAGATTAGTTTTTGAAGTTCAGAAAACTTGGTGAAAGAACACAAGGATTTGAAATCAGAAGAGCCAAGTTTGATTGCTGGAAACATTTACATTCAGCTTGGATAAAGTTGCCTAGTTTTCCTGAGCCTCACTGAACTCTTATTAAAATAGTGACTGTATTATTTATTTGCTCTGTGTTTCTAAACTGTTTTGCCACTAATGAGTTTAATGCAAAAACCTAGAAATAAAACAGCTTCATGCAAATGAGATGATCAGTAAGAATCAGATTCTTTGAGTGTTTTTGGTTCTTGGGTTAAGAGCCAGGAGCAATTTCAGAGGGAATTCTTTCTAATTCTAATTGATCTTTCCCAAGCTAGATGCTAGATATGGGGTGAGATACTCCTGGAGATGGTGGTGGCAGTCGTGAGTCCGTCCCCAGTGAGCCAGGTGATCACTTGGGTAAATAACTGGTACTCCACAGGGTTCTGTGTTGCTGGTGTTGTTTGGAGACAGGTACTCAATAAATTACATGGAATGTTTAATACTTTTTAATAAACAAGCTTCATGTTAAATTATTTTTCCCTACTATAGATTAATGTAAGTGTTCCATGCACATTTTAAGCAGGCCAGTCTATAATGTTAGATAAGTTAGATGTATTAAATGCACTTTCATCTTTGAGGGTTTTTTTCCAGTTGTAAATTGACTTTTTTTTTATTTTAAAGGGAGTATTTTTATTTTTTTAGGGGAATATCAGCCTAGATTTTCAGCTCTGATGGATTTATAGAGAAAGACAGCTCATCTAGGAGCATCTGTATGTACTATAAAAATTTCTGTGTGATCTAGAATGAGAATTAGCATGAAAATGAGAAATAAAAATAGATTGCTATGTATTCTCTGGTATTTGAATACCTCAGTTATACTTTTATCTCACTCTTATTTTTTTTTCTTATGTAGCAAGTGAACTACACAAACTCCTGCAGCCTTTTCTGTTGAGGCGAGTGAAAGCTGAAGTAGCTACTGAGCTTCCCAAGAAGACTGAAGTAGTGATATACCATGGCATGTCACCATTGCAGAAAAAATACTACAAGGCTATTCTGATGAAAGACCTAGGTAATCGGAGCACACTTGTCCATTTAGAGACGAGAGGGGGATGTGATTTTCATGCAGAGTGGAGTCGTATGATCATACTCACTTTGCATTTTGAACATGCTCGACACTTGGGTCTGCTGCAGTGAGACCTAGGAGAGTCTGTTTTCTGTGACTCAGATAGGTGTGGCAGCAGTGAAAAATCTGTTTCCTCTCACTCAGGTTTCCTTATTGCCTGTAAGTTAAAATACTTTCAAATGCTCCTGATGTGATTTTTAGTTTCCCACCCTGTCAGATGCTTAACAGATAGTAACACTGAATCAGATTCACTGGGAGGAATTAGGAGTGGGCAGGGGGGGACAGGTGTGGGACAGTCTGATTTTAGTGTTTGTGAGTTTGTTTCAGTTTTGTCTCGTCTTTTGATTCCATAAAGTTAAAGAGGGAAATTTTGCAAAAGGAATATCAAAGTATCCTTAGTTTAATTTATAGTTTAGATTTCCTTTTCAAAACAAAGTGATGGCTAAGAATATTTCATATGAATGTGCCGTGAATTCTGAATGCAGTTCATGGCAGTTTGGGTAGTGAACATACATGTGAGGGATAGTCTGTGAAATGAGTAAGGTTATTCGTGGAAATTTTTTTTGGTTTGATTTTCCATTTTTCTGTCTCTTTAAAATTTCAGATGCATTTGAAAATGAGATGGCAAAGAAAGTTAAACTTCAGAACATTTTGTCTCAGCTTCGAAAATGTGTGGATCATCCGTATTTGTTTGATGGTGAGACAGTGCTCTTTTTCTCCACATTATTTGTCACTAATATTCCTGTGGCCAAAATCATAGCAAAATTCTTCAAAAGACTTATCTGAATTTACTGTCTACTTGGTTCTCATGTTCTGTATATTAATGTAATCTAATATGTTGTTCATAGATTTCTTCAAAGGCCACCCAAATGTCCTTATGACTTTTTCTTTTCTTTTTTTTTAATCCAGAAAAAGTCATAGAAATTGTCACGTCTTTATTCTCCTATAATTTATAAATATTCTTTAACTTTTGATGTTTGCCTTTTATGTCTTATGATAGTGACAATTTTAGAGATCAAAGCTAATCATTTTACATGATAGGTCATAAGGTGAATTTACCTGATCATGTCTTGATGATTATGTTTCCCTTTTTTTGAACCACTCATGACCACTATGTTGCTTCTTGTTTCCTGGTTCATTTTAGTTAGCTTCTCAGAAACCTTTGACATAGTTGGTCACTTCTTCCTGGAAATATTTCCTGTATTCAGGTGCTAGGGTAGCACTTTCTCTTGTTTTTCCTGTCCACATCTGTTCCTTCTCAATGTCCTTTGCTGCTTCCTCTTCATCTTACCAACTTCTGTAAATTTCCCTATCAGCACTGGTTTAGAGCAGGGCATGGCGGCCTTAGAGATAGACAGGATTAATGCCAAAGGTTTGCTGTGACCCTTGAAGGGTGTCTTTGTCAATAGTGCTATGAATTATTTAAAATACGCACAGAATCTTTTTTGGATGGTTGTGTAAGATAGATTTGAACATTAATCTTAGTTTATTTTTCTCTCTTTTTTTGATTAGTATGTTTGCTGTATATTATACATACATTAATTGTGTGGTATTAGTATGCATACCTATCATATCTTGGCCTATTTTATTTCTTTCCCCTTCCTGTCTCCTACCCATACCTAGATCCCCTTCTAATATCTACACTGTCTGTCTGCCTCTTGTCTTCTTTTATTTTGTTCTTTAATTATTAATACACTAGACTGCTCATATAAGAGAAACTACAGTATGTGTCTGATTTATTTCACTTCACATTGTTGTTTATAAATAAATCTATTTGCCTACAAATGACTCAAATTTAGCTTTCTGTGGCTGAGTAGTACTCCATTTTGTGTGTGTGTTTTTTAATCAGTCCATTGATGGAAAAAGAGACTGCTTCCAAGATTTAGCTATTGTGAATTGTGCTGCTATAAACATGACTGTGCATCTATTACTATGGTGTCTTTAACTGTCAGGGAAGATACCTACAAGAAGTATAACTTCATCAAATGGAATTTCTATTTGAGGAATCTCAATACTGATTTCCATAGTGGTTGTATTAATTTGTATTCCTGTCAACAATATAGTAGAGTTCCTTTTATCTCACAACCCTGCCAGCATTTGTTTTTTTAATCTTATCTTTTCTTCTTTCTTTCACAAGTCTTTCTGTAATTCAGGCTGTCTTTAGACTCATCTGTAACCTGTGGGGGCCTCAGACTCACAATAGACCCCATGCCTCAACATCCCAAGTGGAAAGATTACAGGTGTGCGATTTCTTGATGATGCTCATTATTTCTGCAGTAGGATAGAATTTCAGTGTTTTGATTTGCATTTCTCTAATGACAAAGATAAACATTTTTTCAGTAAGATAATAGTCGGTAACCATTTGTACTTCTACTTTTGAGAAGTATCTCTTCATTTCATTTCCCTGTTGTTTGACAGGATCTTTTATTTTTTATTTATTTTTCTTTTATGTATTCTTTTTTTTTATTGGTACCAGGGATCAAACTCACGACTGCACACTTGCAAGGCAGACGCTTATGCCATTGAGCTAAATCCCCAGCCCCTGAGTCTTTTATTTTTTGAAAAAAAATTTTTTTGAATTCTTATGTATTGTAGATAGATAGTCCCCTGAGAAATAGCTGACAAAAAAACTTTTCCAAATCTATGTATTATTCCTTTTGCTGTGTAACAGCTTTTCAATTTGCTATAATACCATTTGTTGATTCTTGGTATTCTTATATAGTTAAGGGTTCAGTTCAGAGAGTACTTGCCTATGTCTTCAAGAGTTTTATCTATTTTATCTACCAGAGATCCAGTGTTTCTATTTTAATATCTAGGACTTTGATCTATTTTGATTGATTTCATTACAAAGTGAGAGATACAGATCTTTTGTATGTGTATAACTAGCTTTCCCAGCACCATTTGTTAAAGAGACTATCTTTCCTACAGGTCAGATGGCTAAGTGTGCCTGAAGTTGTTTCTATTGTATGTTCTTCAATCCTATTGCATTGATTCACATGTCTATTTTTGTGACAGTAGTATGCTGTTTTTATTATTATAGCTTTGTAGTATAACTTGCAGTCAAGGATTGTGATCCCTCCTGCTTTGCTCTTGTCTAGGATTGCTTTTGCTATTCTAGGTCTCTTCTGGTTGCATATAAATTTAAGGATTGTTTTTGCTAGTTCTGTGAGGAATGCTGTTGGTATTTTGATTGGCATTGCATTAACTATATGTATTGTTGTTGATAATGTGGCCATTTTGATAGTATTGGTTCTGCTTATCCAGAAACAGAGGATGTCTTCCCATTTTGTGCTGTCCTCTTAGATCTTTTGTCAGAGTACTATAGTTTTCATTGTAGAGGTTTTTCACTTCTTTGGTTAGACTAATTTCTAGGTATTTAAAAAAATTTTTTTTGAGCTCATGTGAATTGGATTGTTTTTCTAATTTTTTCCATGGTGGAATCATGCTGCACTGCTGAACTTATTAGTTTCCAGAGTCTTCATGGCAAAAGGATTTTTATTTTGTCTTCTACATGAAGGATGATATCATCCTTTTTTATATGCATCCCTTTTGTTTGTTTTTCTACCCTGACTGCTTAGCTCATTTCAAGTACTCTGTTGAACAGATGTGGTAAGATTGGACACCTTTGTCTTGTTCCTGATTTTGATTTTGGTGAGAATGCTCTCAATTTTTCCCCATTTAGTGTGATATTGGCTGTGGATTTGTTGTAAATGGCTTTATCAGGTTGAGATAAAGTTCCTCTATGTATTTTCAACAAGGTGTGTGTAGTTTTTTTTTTTTTTATCATGAATAAATGTTGAATTTCGTCGAATGCTTTTTCTACATCTGTTAAAATGCTCTGTGCTTTTTGTCTTTCCTTTTGTTTATGTGATACATTTACAGTTTATATATTTTGAACCATACTTGCATCCCCAGGATAAGCCCAGCTTGGTCATGCTGTGTGATCTTTTTAGTGATCTGTTAGTTTGTTTTTTAGTGCATTCTGTGTGGCAGTATCTTGTTGAGAATTTTTGCCTCTATGTTTTTTAAGGATATTGGTCTGTGGTTTTCTTTTTTTTGTTAGACAGCTTCAGTGTTAGAGTAATACTGACTTCCAGGAATGAGTTTGGCAATCTTCTTCCCTTTCAATCTCCTAGATGAGTTTGAGAAGTATTGGTGTTATATCTTTCCTGAAGTTTTGATAGAATTCTATGGTGAATCCTTGGGACCTTGGCTTTTTTTTTTTTTTTTTTTTTTTTTTTTGTTCATAGTTTTTATTGCTTCCCCTATTTCATTTCCTTTCATTAGTCTGTTAATAGTTTTAATGTCCTCTTGGTTTAATTTTGGTAACTTACATGTTTCTAGGAATTTTTCCATTTCTTCTACATTCTTCAGTTTTTTGTATATAGTATTTTGTGATAATTTCTTATAATCCTTTATATTTTGGTAGGATCAGTTATGATTTCACCTTTTTTCATTTGTAATACATTGATAAAGGGTTTTTCTTTGCTTTTTGGGGGGTAATTAGGCTAGAGGTTCATCAATCTTATTTAATCTTTCAGAGAACCAACCCTGATTCATTGTATTGCTTTTTTTATTCTCAATTTCATTAATTTCTACCATGATCTTTTAGTTTGGAGTTTGGATTGTTACTGTTTTCTAGAACCTTGAGAAATATCATTAGGTTATTTATTTGGGATTAGTCTGTTGTCTTGACTTATATAGTCACAGCTATAACCTTCTCTCATATAGCTGCTTTCATTTTGTCCCATAGATTTGGTATTTGATTCTAGGAAATTTTTATTCCCAGATTTCTTCTGTGATCCACTGTTTACCCAACAATGCATTAATCAACCTCTTGTGCTTGCATAGCATCTGTCATTTCCTTTTTCTGTCGATTTCTGTCTTTAATTCTGCTGTGATTCAGTACTGTAGAGGGGATTATTTTAATTCTTTTGTATTTATTTAAGCATGCTTTGTATCTAAGATAGGGATTAGTTTTAGAAAAATTTTCATGTGCTGGTGAGAAAAATATTCTGTTGTGAAATAATACAATGTAGATATCTGTTAAATCTATTTGTTTAATGGTTTGTTTGGTGTCTCACTACAGAGGGTGGGACTTTTGTGTCCTTCACAACCCAAGCTTGTGGCTGTGTAAACTTCTCAGGAGGTGTGTGTCTAGCCTCCCCTTCTCTGTGACTTTGTTCCCTCCATCACTGCAGGAGTGTGACTCCAAAGACCCTGAAGTGTAGTTGTTCTGTGACTTCTGATTCCTGTAGTAGTTCAGTCTTAAACTGTAAACCCCTTCCCCAAATCTTGATCTTATCTCTCCCCAAAATGGCAAATGTTGCAGTAAATTTCTCTTCCCACTCTAGCCTAGCCACTCAGAAGAATTTCAGAGTAACCCCACCTCCGATTTGAAGCTTACAATCACCATAAACTTTGCTTGGGGCTAGAATGCCAGTTCAATCTGTTATTTATCACTGGGCTTCAGACCTTCTCTGGACTTAGCTAGTCTTTGTGAAAACAGGGCTTCCTTCTCCTCTCTGAAGGTTGGGGTTAGTGTTCCCGGCTGATTTATTCTTTTCTTGGCATTGTCTTCAGTGTCTAAGTTTCTCTGTGATTTCCAGATATCTCATCCCCTCTTTGTAGATTCCTGGAACTCTACATCTTTTTGTCTTAGTTTAATTGTTGTTTTCCAGGTATCTCAGTTCCTAGGGTCAGTGATTTGTGGCTGGATTTTACTCTGCCATCTTTAATCCCTAAAAATTGCACAGCATCTTTTTTTTTTTTTTTTTTTTTTTAAGACAGGTTCTCTAGGGGCTGGGAATTTAGCTCAGCGGCATAAGCGCTTGCCTTGCAAGCAGGCAGTCGTGAGTTTGATCCCTGGTACCGATAAAAAGGAAAAAAAAAAAAAAAAAGACAGGTCCTCACCATGTAGTTTGGGCTTGCTTTGAACTCACTATGTACTCCAGGCTGGATTGAATTGAGGTGATCCTCTTGCCTCAGCCTTCTCAGTGCTGGGATTATAGGTGTGTGCTACCACAACTGGCTGTACTGAATCTTAATTAGATGCACATTAGAAAACTTTCTTTTAAGGAAAAGGGAACATTAGAAACATGTAGATTTTAAAGGAAACTTTACAGGTAAACCTAGCTGCCTAGGAATCATTAGTATGTGTATCTAAGTGTGTGTTCTGATAATGGCTCCCTTTATATGTTTGTGATACATGATAAATACCTTCATCAGGGGAAATATATATATGTATATATATAAAATACATCTTGATCTTTTTATTTCTCCTCTCCTCCCTACTCTGTATCCTCAGAGCCCATTCCGTATAGTCTGTCTTCCACTATCTAGAGATTCTGAAGATTTCAATTTGGGATTTTCTTTACTTTTAGCATTATCCTGTGCCTCAATTTCCTGAAGAGTGGATTTGTTCCTAGATAAATGTCTGTTAGGCTTTTGGGTATACTCTGCTGTGTGATTGGTGTTAGGCAGCACTGAAACTATCACGCAAGAAAGTAACTATAAAATGCTGCACACATGATGAGCCTGGGCATATTTTCCAGTAGAAGGAGCTTGGGCTCTCTTGCTATAACCTAGCTGTTGGCTTTTCTACTCATGGCAACTTCCTTATTGGGGCACATTACTGTGAGTGGGGTCTTTCTTTCCCAGGTGTGGAGCCAGAACCTTTTGAAGTTGGAGATCACCTGATTGAAGCAAGTGGGAAGCTTTACTTGCTGGATAAGTTGTTGGCATTCCTGTATTCTAGGTAGGTAATGCTACTGGGAGGCGACTCCCAATTTGGTGAGATCCTAACACCATAAGGAACTGCAGCCCACCTTGATTATTTATGTTTTTTTTATTTGTGTTTTGGAGAGAGGGTCTTAATATATACTTCATGCTTACTATGTAGCCTAGGCTGGCTTCAGACTTTTGACAATCCTTTTGCCTCACCCTCCCCAAAAGTTCTGGGATTATAGACACATGCCACCACATCTGGCTTGTGTGTTTGATTAAAGATTTCACACAAAACACATAGGCATAGGAGTATAGGTAGAGTTTATTGCAGAATGATAGATTTTCATCGAACAAAAGAGAAAATATACCTTGAAGCATGAAAATGGGTAAGCACTCAAATAGTAGTTGTCCTGAGTAAGGTTTCAAGTCACATTTTATATTGATTAACTGGGTCTTTCAAAGCATATTCTTATTTCCTCTGAGGTCAGTTCTTTTTTTTTTTTTTTTTTTGTCTTTCTCATTTTTTTATCAGTACCAGGGATCGAACTCACGACTGCCTGCTTGCAAGGCAGGCACTTATGCCGCTGAGCTAAATCCCCAGCCCCCTGAGGTCAGTTCTTAAACAAGTAAAATGGGCTATGTTTAAACTACTTGAGAGAGAAGCGTGGTAGGTTCCTGTTTACTCATTTAGGTGGATGTCTCCATTTAGTTTTTTTTTAAAACTTTTTATTTTTTAGTAGTATATATTTGTCATAAGTATTGATCACAGTCATCATAGGGAATTTATCTTGATTCTTTTTTTTTTTTTTAACTTTTTATCGGTACTAGGGATCGAACTCACAACCGCCTGCTTGCAAGGCAGGTGCTTATGCCACTGAGCTAAATCCCCAGCCCTTTATCTTGATTCTTTTTCTTCCCCATTCCATTGCCCTCCCTTCTACCTTTGTTCCCCTCCCCATTTACAAAAGCTTTTTTTCCTCTAATTTTTTCCTTTTAAGTTTTTCTCCCTTTTTCTCTTCCTTACCTTCCCCTCCTTCCTCCTTTGTTCCTCTTCTCATTTGAATATGTTCTTCCTACTTCCCAGTGTCTGTTCTTTGAAATAAACATGGGTTTTTTTATATATCGTATATTATATGATGCTTTTAATCTTTTTATGAAGATATGTAGAAGGGGAATGGCTTGCTTAAGTGGAGCATCTACACCTAATTTTTTAAGGAATCTCCACACTGACTTCCACAGTGGTCGCACCAGTCTACACTCCCACCAGTCATGGAGAAATGTTCTTTTTCCCCACAGCCAGCATTTGTTATTGATTGATTTCTTGCTAATAGTCATTTTTTATGGAGTGAGATGAATCTCAGTGTTGCTTTAATTTGCATTTTATGAATGATCAGTGATGCTGAACATTTTTCATTTATTTATTTGTTATTTGTACTTCTGCATCTGAGAAGTATCTATTTCAGGTGCCACTTTTGGATTTAGTCTTTAATTTTAGGGGGAATCTGATTTTTTTGAGTTCTTTATATATTGTAGATATTAGTCCTTTGCAATACAGCTGACAAAATTTTTTTCTGTTAGTGCTTTCTTTTGCTTTGCGAAAGCTGTTTATTTAATAAGACAAGATCCTTGTTGGTAATTCTTTGTGATACTTCCTATGTGATTGGGGTTTTTTGTTCATAAAGTTTTTGCCTATATATATGTCTTCAAGAGTTCTGCCTGATAGCTGACTTAGTGTTTCTGTTTTAATATTTAGATCTTTGACCCATTTCAGTTTTAGTTTAGTGCACAGTAAGAGATATGAGTCTTGTTTTAGTCTTCAGCTTACAGAAAGCTTTCCAGTACCGTTTATTAAAGAAGCCATCTTTCTTCCAGTGCAGATGTTTGAAACATGTGTCAAAGATAAGATGGCTAAGTTTGTATATATGTGTCTGTATCTTCTAATGTGTTCCATTGATCCACAAGTCTGTGTTTTTCCAGTACCATGCTGTTTTTATCACTGTAGCTTTGTAGTATAATTTCAGGTAAGGGATTGTGATACCCCTGCCTTGCCTTTGTTGCCCAGAATTACTTTTGCTATTCTAGGTCTCTTCTGATTCTGAATGAATTTGAGGATTGTTTTCTTTAATTTTGTGAGGTATGCTATTGGTGTTTTGATTGGGATTGCATTAAATACTTATAACAGCTTTGGAAATATGACCATTTTTACTAGATTGATTCTACCTATTCAAGACCGGGGAAATCTTTCCATTTTCTGATATACTCTTTAATCTTTTTTTTAAAAGAGTACTGTAGTTTTTAATGTAAACACCTTTTCTTCCTTTATTAGGTTGATTTCTAAGTATTTCATTTTTGTTTGAATGCTGTTGTGAAAGATGTTGTTTCCCTAAAATTTCTGTCTCAATGAGTTTGTTGTTTGTGTACAGGAATGCTATTAATTTTTGAGAGTTGATTTTGTGTCCAGGTTTATGTCTGAATTTGGTTATTAAATCTAAAAGTCTTTTAGTACAGTTTTTGGAGTCTTTTATGTGGGGTATTATGTCCTCTGCAAATAATGATAATGTAACTGTTTCCTTTCTTATCCTTATTTTCTTTCTTTCTTTTGTCTAATTGCTCTGGCTAATGTTTCCAGAATTCTATTGTGTAAGAATGGTGATAGTGGACATCTTGTCTTATTCCTGACTTTAGAATGAAAACTTTCGGTTTTTGTCCATTTAGTATGATATTGGGTGTTGGTTTGTCATGGATGGCTTTTATCAGAATGAGATAAAGAGTATCTATTCCAATATTCTGTATTTTTTTTTTTAAATCACAAATGGGTATTGGACTTTGTCACATTCTTTTCCTGGATCTGTTGAGATGATAATGTGGTTTTTGTTCTTGGCTCTGTAGATACGGTGTATTACATTTACTGCTTTGCATATGTTGAACTATCCCTGTATCCCTGGGATGAATCCCGTTTGTCATAGTATAGAAATTTTGTGCATTCTCTTTGTCCAATATCTTATTGAGGATTTTTATATTTATATTGATTAAGGAGATTGGCCTATGGTTCTCATTTTTGGTTGGATCCTTTTCTGATTTTGGTATCAGGGTAATGCTTGCTTCCAGGAATGACTTTGGGAGTAGTTTCCCTTTCCATTTCAATAGAGCTTGATGAATAGTGGTATTGGATCTTCTGTAAACTTCTTGCAGAATTCAGTAGTGACTCTGTCACAACCTGGGCTTTTCTTTTTTGATAGTTTTTTTTTTTTTAGTTCTTGAATGTCTTTGACTGATACTGGATTATTTAGAATTTTTGTGTCTTCTTGATTTAGCTTTAATGATTTTTGTGTATCTGGAAATTTGTCCATTTCTTCTACACTTTCCATCTTACTGGAATATAGATTCTCAAAGAGGGTATTCATGATCTTCTGGATTTATGCAGGATTCATTATGATTTTAACCTTTTCATTCCTAATTGCATTGATTTTGGGTATTTTCTTTTTTTGTTAAGTTTGGCTAAGTGTCTTTCATTAAAACTTTCAAAGAACTAACTCTTTTATTTATCAATTCTTTGTATTGTTTTCTTAGTCGCCATTGCATTAATTTCTGCTCTGCTCCTTATAGTTTTCTCCATTGTACATATTTTGAGTTTCATTTGCTTTTTTCTAAAAACTTGAGGTTCAACATTAGCTTATTTATTTGAGCTCACTCTGTTTTTGTGATGTGATAAATTAACTGCTGTTAATTTCCTTCATAGGACCACTTTCTTTGTGTATCATATATCTGGTATATTGAACTGGTGTTACTTAATTGTAGAAGCTGTCTAATTTCTTCTTTAATTTCATCTGTGACCCATTGGTTCAGGAGGGTGTTATTTAAGTTCCATTTGTTTATGTAGTTTTTTGTGGTTTCTTTTGCCATTGACTTGCAATTTCATTGTATTGTGATCTGATAATATGCATGGGATGATTTGAATTTCTTTGCATTTACTTAACCATATGCTGTGAGTTTATATGTGGAGAAAGTCCTAGATGCTGCTGAAAAGAATGTATATTATGTTGCTGTTGGGTGGAACACTCTGTAGAATCTACGAAGTCCATTTGTACAAAGGTATCAGCCCTGATATTTATTTGTTGATTTTTTGGTCTAGTTGATCTGTCCATTTGTGACAGTGGGGTATTGAGATCCTTCATTACAGTTGTATTAGTGGTTATCTGAGTTTTCATATTCATTAGTGTTTGTTTTATGTAATTAAGTGTGCATGTATTTTATGATTGTTACCTCTTCCTCTTGGATTGTTCTCTTTAACAAGTATGTAGTGACATTCTTTTTCTCTTCTGATCAGTTTTGGCTTGAAATGTACTTTGTCTGCAAATAGAAAAGCTACCCCTGCTTTTTCCCAGGCTTTTGTTGCATGGAGTATTGTTTTCCATCCTTTAACATTCAGTCTGTGAATTTATTTTTGAGCTAACTGTGTTTCTTATTTGCAGAATATTGTTGGATTTTGTTTCTTGATCCATTTTGCCAATCTGTTTCTTTTGATTGGTGAATTGAGACCATTCACATTGATGGGTATAAGTAATAGGTATTGACATACCCTTGTTATATTATTTTCCTCTTTATTCCATTTCCTTCCCTTTTATTTAATTGCTTACCTTGCCTGATAGATGCATTCTATTGGGATTCTTGGAATTGTTGTCTTTTTTTAGAATGTTCTTTAGAACTTTTTGGAGTACTGCTTTGGTGGTCATAATTTCTTCAGTTATTCTTTATCATGGAAGTATCTTACTTCTCTGTCAGTTTTGAAACGTGATTTTACAGAATACATCAATCTTGTTTGGAAGTTGTTATTTTTTAGGGCTTGAAGTACTTCACTCCCAGCTCTCCTTGACTTAAGAATTTAAATTGAGAAATCTGCTGTGATTCTGATGGATTTTCCTTTATAGATGATTTGTTTCTGTTTTCTAACAGCTTTTAATATTCTTTTATGCTGAATTTCTGGAATCTTGATTATTAGAGATACTTTGGTGTATTTTTTTTTCTGATTATGACTGTGGAGTTCTATATGCCTCATTTATGTGTATGTCAAATTCTTCTTCCATGGTTGGAAAATTTTCTGCTGTTATTTCTGTGAATAACTTTTTATGCCCTTTGTGCTATCTTCTGATTCTTTATTGATTCTTATTACTCTTATGTTATTCTCCTTTGTGTTGTCTGGCATGTGCTGGACTGATTTTTTTGTGTGGTCCCTTGCTATTTTTAAGAGATCTTTCATTTGATAATCACCAGCTAGAGTCCTGTCTTATAGATTTGGTATTCTATCTTCACACTAGTTGAGTTGACTTAGTATACTTTCTTTTTTTTTTTAATTTTATTTAAGGACAAAAAGAAAAAAAAAAACAGAAAAAGGGTACAAGTTATACAGAATTTCAGAAAAAATAAACAGTAGGAAATCACTAGTTAATAGATTACATATTGTCATCTTAGAAACAGTTGTTTGTTATAAAATTAAAGCATATAAAGTGGACAGTCAAACAGTGAGACTGCAAACAGTTTTGTTCAGTGCTCCAACAAAACTCAGTAATATGGTTATCTATCTTATACACTTAAATATACACAATTATATCATTTAGAGCACTTTCTTTTCCTCTCTTTTGTACAATGGAAATTACACATTTTGAGTTTTATTACTCCCACTGTTCTTATTACTTTTTTTGGAAGAGAATAAAACCAAATGTGACATAACAGGACAGAGTCAGTCAAATCAAAAGGATGGGCATAATACATAATGTAAAAACAAAATACTAAGTGATCAACAATGGTTACCATAATTCCTCTTGCTATCTTAAAAAGAATTGCCTATATGATCAGTTATAATAAAATTGAACAAAACAGTAAAGAACAAACCCAATAAAACCAAAACATTGGAGACCTTTAGAGGACTTCAAAAGAAGATAATAGTCAAACCAGAATGGGTGTCATAATGAATCTTATTGTCTTCACAGTTGTTGCCTATACTCTCGAACTTGGTACTATCAAGCAAAACAGAATAGAGGAAAATCAGTCAAAACAAGATGGTGAGAGCAATACAGGGTTTCAAATCAAGTTAATAGGAAATCAAAGTGGGTTACTATAATACATCCTGCTATTTTTTATTTATGTTTCCCTTAATTAAAAGGATAAAAATGAAAAAGTAAATAATAAGAAAAGAGATTGAGATAAAAGAGGACATAACAACAAAACAGCGCAGGTCAAAACATAACCATTTAAGCAAAGTAGTGTTTCACCACAAGATAATCCAACATAAAAGTAGTTACCATAGTGTCTCTTTCCTTGAAATCTTTGAGTATAACTTCGTATACTGTAGCATCAAACATATCAAGACAATGTAAAACCATTCAAGAGAATGACAGTATTACAGGGTATTTAGAATCAACTAACAGAAAATGAACAATGGTTTCTGTATAATCTCCTTGTCTATAAAAGTTTTTGTTTATATTATCACATATAATAAAATCCAATAAGATACAACATGTTAAGACTGATGGAGACAGAACAAAAGCTTGATGGGACTTCAAAACAAGATGATATTAAATCAGCACTAGCTATTATGGTGTCTTGTTTTCTCCAAAATAGCTGTTCCTACCATCCATTCTGTGCCTCATTTCTGTTGAGCTCTTTTTCTGTCATTAGTTGTCAGTTTGTCTTCTTGATTTTGCTTTCTGCTCCATTCATTGTAGCCTCTCTGCCACTGTTTCTGGAATCTTGGTATTTTTCTTTTTTAGAATGTCCTGCAGTATCTCTGTAGAGTTGAATTGGTGGTTGCAAATTCTTCTAGTTCCTCTTTATCCTGGAAGCACCTTGTTTTTCCATCAATTTCTAGGGACAGTTGTGCAGGACATAATCAATCTTGGCCGGAGGTTATTATCTTTCAAAGCTTGAATTATTTTCCCCCACGCTCTTTGTGATTTGATGGTTTGTGCCAAGAAGTCAGCTGTAATTCTGATGGGTGTTCCTTTGTAAATGATCTGTTTCTTGTCTCTGATGGCTTTTAATATTCTGTTCTTATATTGGATTTCTGGAATTTTGATTATTATTATTATATTGGGTTGTAGGTGGCTGGGGTCCTGTATGCCTCATACATCTGAGTATCTTTACCTTTTGCTAAATTAGAGAAATTCTCCTGGATTATTTCTGTGAATAGCCTTTGTAGTTCATTTGTTTGTGTCCCTACTTCTTCTTTTACATTCGTAATTCTTAAGTTATAGATCCTCGTATCATCTTCCAGCCTTTGTATTATTGCTGTTTGTTTCCTTATTATTTTTAAGAAGTTTTTCATTTCATGCTCCCACATTACAAGTCTGTCCTCCAGTTCAGATAATCTATCCTTAGTTTCTTTCAAGCTGTTATGCCAGCTTTCAATGGAGTTTTTAGTTTCCTGATAATCTCTTTGAACCTGCTTCACGTATTTTACGTTTTCTCTATTTTCTCCATCAAACAATTCTCCCCTTTTTTTCTGTTCTTCCATTCCACCATCTGTTTTTTGTTGGGCGATGCTTAACATTTCTCTAACTATTCTACTTATATCTTGCTTTACTTGGTTAAATACTTCACTTTTGAACTCATCTGTAAGGCTCTGGAGATAGTGCTTTATGTCTATTGGTGCCGTGTCTGACATTGCGTGTTTTCTGTCCTCATTCTCCTTTGCATTAACCTTTCCTGGATCAGTGTTCTCAGGATTGGGGACTGAGGACCCTTTCTTGTTGCTCCCTCTTCCCATAATTTTTGTTCCTTCCATACAAGTGTATATAGGAGGCCCAGTTTCTTTCTTTGTTGGTTAGTGTTAGTTTGAATCCGCTGGCTAGGTATTCCTGCCCACTGCTGTGTACGAGGGAGACACAGACCTGGGCAGCCTCTGCTGGGCCCGCCCCTCCAGGTCAACCTACTAAAGGCTTCACTACTAGGGTACACCCCCAGGCGCTGGGACCTGGTTTGGGCTAGCCAGTTGGGTCTTAATCCATGGCATCACCCAGGCCAAGTGCTCCCCACCAATCCCACTTGAGAGGGGAATATGCAACTAAAGTCACTGCAGTGTCCTGTTCCAGCTAGTCTGCCTGGTTCCAGAATGTCCTCTGTTGGAGCCTTCTAGTCTATGGAAGGGTCCCCGTTCCTCTCACTCACCGCAGGTTGATGCAGGGCTCCCCACCATTCCTGCTCTCAACTCCGTTCGGCGATTCCTGCTGTCAGGGCTTTCGTATTCTGTCCCTGCCGTGCTGATTCAGTCCAGCAGCAGCGGCAGGAAATTGAAATCATGGTTTCCAGAGGCGCGGGTTCCAGCTTCGGCTCTGAGATTTTATCTGTTCCAGTTATAGCACTGGGATTGCATTTCCAGTTGGTTTCTCTCAGCTTAGTTTGTTCCTGGGTCGGCAGGGTATATCTCCCCTTGCTTAGGACTCCTCATACCGCACCATTCCTTGATTCTAAGCTGGGTTTCTCTGAGAGCCTCCATAGCTGCTGTAATCTATCCACCATGTTCTCCATGAAGTCGACTTAGTATACTTTCAATACAACTTTTGATCTGCTGGCTGTCCATCTGAATCTGTTTTATATAATTCAGGTCTTCCATGTTTATTATTCATGGTTAGTATACTTTCAATACAACTTTTGATCTGCTGGCTGTCCATCTGAATCTGTTTTATATAATTCAGGTCTTCCATGTTTATTATTCATGGTTTCCATTTCTTTTTTATGTTTTTTTTTTTTTTTAATCTGTAGCTCCTATAGATTTGTTCGTTTTCTTCATTGTGGTCATCATCTCTAATTATCTCTGTTTTGTTTCTGTCATGAGACTTATTATTCTGTTTTGTTACTTTAACTGTCATTTCAGAAAATTCAGCTGAGTGACTTAATTTCTCCTACGTCATTGCCCCCTTGATTTGCCTTAGGTGAATTATGGATTATAGGTTGCATCTAGCCTCCACATTTTATTTGCTTGCTCTTTCTTTCTTTCTTTCTTTCTTTCTTTCTTTCTTTCTTTCTTTCTTTTTACTTTGTTTTCTGTGTTGAGGCTTCTAAATTGCTTGTGGTAGGTAGTGTTTCTAGTACCAAGACTTCTTTTTGAAATGTCTGCTTTTCAGAGCTATTTTGTAGGCAGAGCTGGCTTTTGGTTTTTGAGTCTGTTCTAGGGTCCCGCCTAGAGCCCTAATCGCATTCTTGACTTAATCCATGATTTTGCCTTCTTTCCTGTCCCCTCCCTACATATAATATTTTTTCATGCCTTGGGGAGTCAGCTGCTTCTTTTTCTCTAAAGTGATGCTTCTCAGATTTTCAACCACTATGCCCATATGCAGTAATGAGTTACATTCCTGAGTAAGGAGCTGCTGTAGTTAGCTTTGGGGTCTCAGTGTGTGTGTACATGTGTGTGCATGCATATATTTGAATTTCACTGTTTACTGTTCATGTGTGTGTATTTAATTTGCTGTTAAAGTGAAAGTTTATATTTTTTTCCACTGAGTAGATTGACATTCCAGGAAGGAGCTGCTTATTTATTTTAGGGCTTCACATACCCCTTGGTACAGTGATGTTTGCCTCTGGGAATATCTCTGCTCTGGTTTAAGAACTGCCTCTTTGAAGGATACAGCTGTGTGTAGAAGTATATTCTTGTATAAAGCATTCAGAATTTCTGAAAAAGACTGTAAATTATATCACACATTTCTACTTTATTTTCTTGGCAGTTTCTCCTTTTTGTTTTCTTTCCCAGGGGCCATCGGGTTTTACTTTTCTCCCAAATGACCCAGATGTTGGATATTCTTCAAGACTATATGGATTACAGAGGTGATGCTCCTTGACCATTACATTATCTGAACCTTTTTTAGATTTAATAGTAGGATGGGTCCCTGAAAAGTGATGTGAGGTATGAGACTGTTAAAAGAGGAAAACAATGCAAGAAAATTACTCAGAATCAAAAGAAAATCAAAAATAAAGACTGTAGAGAGTGCTTTGTAAAGCAAGGATTGACAGCAAAATAGAGACACATAAGCAGAAATAAATATCCACATTATTATCAATTATGGGACTTAACATTGTGGACACTGGAGCAAATGTTGCAAAAATGTTTTGAAAATGTATGATAAGGAGTTTCAGTAACAGGGACTTACATGTGTTATAACACCCATCTCAACATTTGAGCACTTGAGATTAGTAAACAAAATGAATATTAAAATTATAGAAGTTCCACTAACCAAGGAAGCAGAAAGATAAGATCAGCTATGTCTGTATAGGTAATAGGGAAGATAGAACTCTGTGTAATATATAGTAAATTTATGTGGGATAAAGGGGAAAAGCTGTAACATTTTGGTTTAACTTGAGCCCAGTGATGAAGTATTGGCTCTAAATCTTACAGTTTAAAAATTTGCTGCAGAGTAGGTCTCTCAAATCCACTTCATGGCCCCCAGAACTACAGTGTGCCTAATCTAGCAAACACAGGCAGCAGTGCTACAGCAGCACACTGAAGAAACTCCAAGGCACAAATGTAGTCTGCATTCATGTCTACCTTCCCGGTATGGCACCTAGTGATAAGTGGGGGACTCTACGGCTTCACTGGACAAAAGTCACTTGTTGGGCCTTCGGGCAGGCTCACTCACTTGGTCTCGTGTGCTTGTCTTACTGATTGCCTTAGTAAGAACTGTGTCTAAGCAAGTGCAAACGCCATATATATGAACCTGAAAGGTCATCAGGGAATGGTCAAAGCTGAGCGTTAACTCCATAAATCCAAAGACCTCAACAGTATATATTTAAAAAACACAAGAATAATATGTTGTGGTGTGTTCTTCTATAAAATGATGAATTGTCCCCCTAAATTTTGATTTTTCACATGAGAAAAATTCACATAGACCATACCTACATAGGGATAGGGACAAAGTTTGCATTCAGGTTTCTTTTTAAGACACAGTCTCGCCATGTAGTTCAGAGTTACCTTGAATCTCACTGTGTAGCCCAGGTTGGCCTTAAACTCACAGTGATCCACCTGCCTCAGCCACCTGAGTGCTAGAATTACAGCCATGTGTCACCACGCCTGGCCTGGATTTGGTTTGGACTGACTTCTTATTTCCCAGAGTCCGTGAAAAGATTTAAGATTTTTCTGTGTTTCTTCTCTTTTTTTTTCTGTGTATGGAAAGGCTACAGCTACGAGCGTGTGGATGGTTCTGTGAGAGGAGAAGAGAGACACTTGGCCATTAAGAACTTTGGACAGCAGCCCATTTTTGTTTTTCTCCTGAGTACCAGAGCAGGTAGGCCACATCAGTATTGGGGAAAAAAAGATTTTTTAGTGCTTTCACATCCCAGTCATTAGGGCAGTTTTCTGAAAGTTGAGGTTATTACCAAAGGTTATTACCAAACAAGGGCCTGAGGTCATTAACATGATTTATCAAAGTGTTGAATTTATAGCATGGTGCTCTTTTCTGTCCAAGCTATGGTCTCATTAGACAATTGAGACTGAAACCTGGTAGTATTGGAAAGTACTTCTAATCTGCTTTACTCCTCAACCAAGAAATGTCCTGAAAGATTATTAAAATTTTGTGGAAAGTTTTTTTTTTACATTTAATGGAAGCAGTTCTTTCCCATGAATTTGAGAAATAAGGTAAACTCTTTGCTAGTTGCCTTTCTCCAGAAGAACAGTGTGACAAAAGCTTAATAAACATCTAGTTATTTAAAATGTGACGATCATAATGAAATTGCCAGCCATTCAAATTATTTGTGACCTTGTCTATGTGAAATTTAAATCATAAATATTATATATGATAAATATGTTGCTTAACTTGCTAGAAAGTCCCTTTCTGTACTATAAAACAGTTTGAAATCAATTTATGGACATGAGCTTTATGGTATACCCTGAATTAAGCAGATTTAAATTAGTTTTGAACTCATAATGTAGTTTCATTATTTTTGCTTTTGTAGACCCAAATTGGGATGGAGTAGTTGCCAGGACAAAAAAGAGATGTGTCATTTACTACAGAGAGATCAGTCATATTTAGGAAGTTTATTAAGTACTATAAAGGCTTATAAAAGAATATTAGATACAGTTCCAGTCCATGAGATCTCTTTTACCACCGTGTGTATTGTGTCTGTAGTAAAATCAGTAAGTAATACAGAATCATAATTCGTTTGGCTTCACTCCTCCAAGGTCATGAGCTGTGCTCCACATCTCAGTCATTTCTTCATTTGAACAGCTGTCTTGGCTAATCTTTGGAAAAACTAGAAGGATCAGGTGCAGTTATGCTTTAAAAATTTTTATCATATTCAAAGAACATTATGTTTGAAATGTCTAAAATTAAGAGAAAAATGATCTCTACTTTTCAGTTAATCTCCTTGTAGGACACTAGTGGACAATTTAGGAACTGAAACAGATGCAGACATTAGTCTTTTCCAAGTGCTGTTTTATTTATGAACACATTTTTCTAGAGTTTTGCAGCATTTTCAATTAACAGATTTCCCTCCAGCTTTCAGATATTTCTGATTGAGTTGTATTGCCACCAGGTGGCATTGATAGCTCATGAATATGTTGAAAGCTACTAACCATAGCATATTTATAAAAATAAATACCACTGTTACTGAACAAGAGCTAGATTCTTTAAACAATGGTAGCCCAAGGAGAAGGTAATTTTTATGGAATATGTTTTTAAATGAAATAGTGCCTAGGGAGTATGAAAGTAGTATATAAAAACGCAGGGTCTTGGGCCAAGTGCTATGGTATTCACTTGTAGTCCCAGTTACTTGAGAGGCTTTTGCTTGAACCTATAAGTTAAGGCCAGCCTGAGAAACATTGCAAGACCCTCATCTTAAAAACAAATAGACAAAAACCACAGATTCTGGAGGCAGATCATGTGGAACTGAATCATGGCTCTTTTGTCTTCCGCTGTACAACTTCAGAAAGTCCTTTAACTTTTCTGTATTTCCTTTTTTTTTTTGATGCTGGGTATCAATCTCATGAACTTGTGCTTGCCAGTCAGGGGCTTATGCTGCTGAATTAAATCCCTGGCCCTGTGTTTCTATTTCAATGTCTAAAAATAGGGATAATTAATAGAAATGATTCTAGTGTTCTGACCATGGTAGAAAACTTTGCTTACAATAATGCTTGGCAAGTAGTAAACCACATAAGTGTAGCTGTCGTTATAAGACACAATATTTAGCACCTCTTAGTAATCAATCATTATTATCTCTATTAGAACATTAGTTTTATGTGAAGATTTTAATAAGAATGTTTTTGTCTGGGGCCAGAGATAGAGGTCAGTGGCACAAGTGCCTGCGTGGCAAGCACAAGGTCGTGAGTTTAATCCCTGATCCAAAATAAAATAAAATAAAATAGTGCTTGTCTGACTTGCTTTGAGATCCAGGTGCGAATTGGTAGTCCTTCTGAGAAGCAGTCCCTCATTGTAGCTCTTAGAACAAATTCTTTCAGGCTTGCTGGTTTTGTCAGTGAGCTCTAACATCCCTGGCAAGAGTGCGTTTGTTTTGTACTAGTTTTCACATTAATCAAAGAGAAGGCTGTAATTTGTTTCATGATTCTCTTAATTCCTGGAACTCAAGACACCCATTCAGCCCTTTTCTTGTAACACTGGAGAAAGATCAGAAGGGTGTTGCATGAAGTGTTCTCGTCTTGAATTGGTTTTGTTTCTTTGCCTTTGATTAATGTGATAGATAGTTCAGCAAGACTGGCTGAGGTTTCTCTAGTGAGAGGGAGGGAGTTTTGCACTCTGTTCAGGGTTATATCACCCTTCTTCTCATTAAGCTGTTTTAAGGGTCTTCTTAGTTATAGCTTGCAAATGTGGCTAAGTGCCATTCTCTTAGTAATGCTCACAACAGACCTGGCTCATATGTAGAGCTATTTTCTGCAAGAACATGGGTCTTTTTTCCCAGACTATTCTAAGCAAAATACAATTGATATTTTTAAACAGAAGACATGGCACTAAATTAAGCACTTTTTTTGCAGCATACCCCTGCTCCCCTCATTTTGTAGTTATTTGTTATTTTAAATTTTATGACACATTTTAATTTCTCTTTTTCCTTTCTTTCCTCTTCCTTCCCCATTCCATCCATTTCTTGACCCCCCCCCCCTTTTGTACATGTTTGCGGTACCTAGGGTTTATATTCCTGTGGAGTTGGGACCTGTACACTACATAGCCCAATTCTTTTACTCTCCCTGCATCTATTTGTACCTTCCCCCTTTGAGAAAGAGCTTTCTCCCTACTTCCTATTATCTTTTACTTTGCTCTTTATTTATACTTCGGTTTTCTCATACAAGAAAGACTATGTAGTATTTAAGCTTGTGTGTGTTTTATTTCACTTAACATTATGGTCTCAAGATGCATCTCTTTCCCTACAAATGACTCAAGTTTATCTTTCTGGCTGAGTATTATGCTATTGTTGTTGTACTGGATTAAATGTTGCCAAGTCAGACAATATGAAATTGGGTAGCTCTTTGGATCACTGTGAGGCTGTGGAGTTGGGGGTGAGCATGTCATTTTGAAGGGTGAAGCTGGTTGACTTGACTGATTGCACTTTATTGGCATGACCCAGGATAGCCTTATCTGTATTTTCCAGTTCCTCATTTGTGTGCTGCTGACCATTCTCCTTTTTTGCATTATTTCAGGTGGAGTTGGCATGAACTTAACGGCAGCAGATACCGTTATTTTTATTGACAGTGATTTTAATCCCCAGAATGACTTGCAGGCTGTTGCCAGGGCTCATCGAATTGGCCAGAATAAGTGAGTGAGTTATGCATTGGCATTTTTGTGCGTCCTTAACTTGTTTGGGTCTAGTCTGGGGAAGAAGGTGAACATTATAGTACTGGTGGTGATGTCAAACTGGGATTCAAGAGACTCCTGGGTCCTGAGTCAGCTTTGATGCTGACTCTTCACGTCATGTTGGGTGTGTCACATTATCAATCCAGACCAACTTTGTTGAAAAGAGAAAAGTTAAAATTGTGAAAAGATTCAAAGGAACCTTCAAAAATTATTAAAATTCATTTCTCAAAGTAGGGGCTAACTCAGTTTAAAAAAATGAAGTTAAAGGATTATGGGCAAGCTAAAAGATAGTTGTTATCTTTTGACCTGAGATGGTGAATTTGTGCCAGATAAGAAATTTTGCCACAGATAAGGAATCCTATATATGGTCACCCTGCTGGCAGTTAATGTAGAGTTAAGAGGAGAGCTTTGATCTGTCTAACATGGGTTCATAGGCAAGCCTCATTACTTACTGTGATGACTATATGACTCTGAGCACATATGTTAACCTCCTAGACTTGTTCTAGTTTTGCTTTTCAAAAAACAAAGATGCCACTAGTGATGCCAGCTCTCTCTCTAAAAAGTGCTCCAGTCCAAATTCAACAGTCTTTTTAACTGTACCCTGAACATGGTATTTAGTTTTGCATACCATTAGGTGTTTTTACTGGCATGCTTTCCCTCAGCTTCATAGACTTTTGGGATGGGCTGGAGGTTTGAGATTGCATTTTGGTCTTTCATCTTATCATTTTCCTATATTTCTGTGTTTCAAGTGATGTTCCAAAACTTCCCCTGGGTGTATTGGAAATCACTTCCTATGCCCTTGGCTCCTAGGACTGAATGGAGGTTGCTGAGTATGGTCCAGTCAGGCTCACAGGACCTCCCGTGCCACCTCTGGTGTTCGAGGAAACTGGGCAGGCTCCTAACCACTGTGGGTGATGGTCCAGAGCTCTCCCCGGGCAAGCACTGATGTGCTGGAACTCTCTTCACATGCCCTCAGCTCCTCTGATTGAAGAAGGTCGCTGGGCGTGGTCTAGTCAGCCCACAAAACCTCCCAAGCCTAGTCTAGTGTAGCTAAATGCTGGGGGGGTCCTTAACCACTGGGAGCAATGATCTTAAACTCTACCTGGGCCCTCGCTAATGGCCTGGAACTCACCTCCGGCAGCCCCAGATCTCTGGATTGAAAGAAGGTCACTTGCTTCATAGACTTTTATAGCACACTGTACTTGTTTGATGTATGTACAGGTCTGTTAAAGTTATTCGGCTGATTGGCCGAGACACCGTGGAAGAAATAGTGTATAGGAGAGCAGCCTCCAAGCTGCAGCTCACGAACATGATCATAGAGGGTGGACACTTTACTCTGGGAGCCCAGAAGCCTTCAGTTGATGCTGACCTCCAGGTAGAGTATGTTGTCCTCATTAGAATAGTCATGAATTATAGTTGGTGCTGTCTGTGGATAAGTATGTAAGTGAAAGACACCAGCATTAAACATCTACCATCTTCAGCTATGCATTTGTTTTCTGAAATCATACCTGCCATAGTACCTACTATGTGCAGAGTGCTATGGGAGGTAAAAATAAATAAGGGAAGTAAAGTGGTAGAACACGGAATGGAGAGGATGAACTGTGAGCCATCACATTTGGACTTGAATTGAAACCTCATCATTCATCACTGTGGCTCTGAATAGGCATGGATCCACTCTTTTTGTTGTTTTAAAAATAAGGATGCCGCTGTTGCTTCAGAGGGTTACTAAAAATATTAGCTTGAATAAAAGAACTGAATGTAATCAATAATGATTAATTCCTTTCCTCAATCCCAGACCCTTTAATCAGTGATTTACAATTCTCATTTCATACTCAGAGGGAGATGAATAAGACCAAGAGCTGAAAAACATTCAGTAGAGAAATAAATGAAAGATTTAATTTGCATGGAGAAGGGAAAATCACAGCAAATTAAGTGCTGGTGTTGAAGATTCTGGAGAAGACTTCCTTTTGGAAGAAGCACTCTATAGCACTCCTGAAGTTAAAATTAGAACCCATATGTTATAATATATCCCAGGTCTTTTTTGAGGTGTTGGATACAAAGAGACCAACTCCTAAGGTTGTAGGAAGACACAGGCTTGAAGTAAGATAAATGTCTGCTAAGAGTAGTGGCAGAGGAAGGTCTGGTGTGGAAAACTTTGCAGAGAAGAAATGATAGAAGTTGTCCTGAGGTGGGCAGCTAGGGACATAGAAGACTCGAAGGTGGCCGTAAGGCTTTAAACCTGGATAATGAGAACAAAAGTTAGAAAAAATAGACAGTAGGGCAGAGTTGCAGAAAGATGAAGACAGTGTAGGCTTTATTCAGTGGGGTTTGTGGAAAAACAATATAAAGAAATTGTTGTCAAAGGGAGACAAGAAAAAAGGATTTCATTTAGAAAAATTTGCACGAAAAACCAGGCTTTAGAAGGAATAGCTTACTAAGAAATACAACAGGTAGGGGAAAAACTTATACAATATTGATAGTAGGCAGAGTAGCTCTTGCCCATACTTACAGCCACATGGACTAGTGGGTGGTGGACAGGCTTCCATGAGTCTTTCTTCCTGACATGTGGTTGTTGGAAAGTTGTATTCTGCCTCCACTGTCTGAATTCTCTTCCTCATCCAGACTGTGAGTTATTTGTCGTTGCTAAAAATATAGGTACTAACCCAGTACCCTCATCTCAAAAAAAGGCAAGAGAGTTTTTAATAAAAAGAATTTAATAGTAAAAAAAAACCACATAGTTTTTAGCATGAAGCAATTTTAAGCCATAAGGAGTTGGAAAGCCATGAAAAGGTGAAGCAGGTTCATCCTACAATAGCAACAGAAAAGAGAGATGTAGATATAAAATATTTATTGAATGATTACTGTATACTAATTACTATCTCATGTGCTTCTTTCCAGGTGTTGCATTGAATAAAAATAATAATGGCTAGGCACTACCTTTATCCCCATCTTTAGTAATTTACCTAAAATCATTCAGATTTAGGATGAATCCAAGCCTTCTTTAAACTCCAACCACAGTCCTTAATTTCTTTAATGTACTGCGTCTCTTAAAACACAGGTGGTTCCCTAATGACTAAGCATATTGTAAGAGAGTAACAGCAAGGGAAGCCAGGAGGCAAGTATCAATACTAGCATACTGAAGGAAGGGTACCACTGTGTACTAATCCTTACCATAAATAGATGGTTATGTTCTGTTTTTGGTACCAAATGTGTCTTGGTGATAGCAGGGTTAAGCATAAGCATATCCAGGAATGCTCATGCTTAGGTGAGCTAGCTAAGGTTTAGTGAGTTGTTACAGAATACCTGAAGGTTTGCAAGTTATACACAAAATAGGCAATCTAGAGATGATTAACTCAAATGTAAAAGAACAAGATGCGAATGAAGATCCAGGATGTGAATCCAGTTTAGTTCAGAATTTTTGATTCAATGCTTAGAAGGAGAGTCACAAGGGAAGTAGCAGTTGAAAGGCAGAGTATATTAAGCTCTCTGGGTGGTTCCTGTAGTAAAAAGTAGGCTGAGGGCACCCTAGGGAGGGATAAAGGGAGACAGCAGGATAGTGAGTGCTGAGGAGTAGCCAGAAAGACACATCCTGGGAAAACCTTTCTGGTCTGGTGATCAGTTATTACTGGTCTTTGTCAGGGGGTTTCCTTAGACCACTAGGATAGAGAAGCAGAATGCCAAAGGAAGGAGTCAGCTTATGATGAGGTGAAATACTCTGTGGAGCTTCCTCTTTCTAAGATACCTGGCAGTGGGAGTGTTGGGAGAGTAGCCACCAGAATCTCTGGCTTCTCTTGTGGCTGCTCAGAATGCCTGTGCAAAAGAATTCACGAGTGCTATAGAAAACAAATGAAATCAGTTTTATTTTTACCCTGAAATAAGTAAATATACAAATAAATACATAAATAGAGGAAGGCTTATAAATTTTTTTGTTTTGTGGAGAATTGTCAAAACAGTGGTTGTCATCATCATTTGTCACCTGTCTGCCTACCCAGTGTCCAGCTATGAAACACCCTGGCTGGAGTTGTCTGTGACAGGAGAGAAGAAAGGCTGACTGTCCATTAAGGAAGGAGAGTGCCTATGTTGTTTACTTAACAAATTGCTGATAGCCCAGTGTTTGTTTTCAGGAGAACTAATCACATTCTTTTATTTTATCCATTCAAGTTGACTGAAATACTTAAATTTGGCTTGGACAAACTGCTGTTCTCTGAGGGGAGCACTATGGATGAAATCGACCTGGAGTCCATCCTTGGAGAAACGAAAGATGGCCAGTGGGTCTCTGATGCTTTGCCTGCCGCGGGAGAAGGGAGTGAAGAGCAAGCGGAAGGAAGTGAGTGGTTAAGACAGAGCAAGTGGCGCAGTCCCCTAAACTAGGGCATGGCAGTTCTGGGTCCTGGTGTCTGGGACATCTTTTCCTTATCCAGCCCTGTTGCCATCTTGAGCATAATCCTCAAGATATTTTTGGTCTAAGAACCTGTATTAAAATAACTGGAAATGTATCTGCCTTTTCTCTGGTAGCTGAACTTTGAACTCAAGATACTAGTGCTAAAGGTCATATCAGTATCCAGGATTAAATTTGTATTTTTCCTCCCTTGGTAGTATCTTCTCCTTTACTTATTAGTAAAGCCAACTATTTTTCTGTTTTTAAGCATTTAAAAGTTTACCCCACAGTTACTGAGGCAGCACGTCTGTTTATGTACTGACTATCCCAGATGTCAGTCAGGCAGGTGTCATTTCAACTGTTTGATTCTTGTTTACACAAGATACACTTGTGCGTATGTTTATTTGTTTTATATTGACTATTGTATGCATTTTTTATATAGAACATTATATCCACTTTTGGTATTTGTTTTTGTGAAATATAATAATGTTTTGGTTATTTCCTTTTATTAATTCATATGTGTGAAAAATAACATACAATTTTGTGCTGCAGTTTATAAAAACTTTTGAGTGCATTAGGTATAATTTTTATACTTCTCCAGAACTCTTTTTTTTTTTTTTCAGTGATACTCTTTTACAATACAAAACAGACAGATTTAGGACCTGAGACTAAATAAGAAGGAAGTGCCAGAAGTCTGAAAAAGAAAATACTGAAAAGGGAAAAATGTTAGCAGAGTAGAGAGGAAAAGTCTGTGTTATGAAATGGAAAGATAAGAAAGACACCTCCTTCTTGTCAACCATTCATAATAAAGAAATGGCAGAGCTTACAAGGAGAAACAAAATTGAAAAAATTTCAGTAGTGAGCAGTGATTATAATAATGCTAATAAATGGTATGACAAAGTGGACCAACATTTAAGAAGCTATACTGTAATTAAAAGCGAGGAAAAAATCATTATAAAATACATGTGTACCTTCTGGACCAAACAAGATGGAACTCATTTGTTATTAAAACAAGGGGGTTCAAAAAGTCATTTACAGTTTAAAGTAGGTCTAATAGAACAAATAATTGAAAAATATAGGATAGTAAAACACCATCCAAGATCCATCATTTATGTCTTCATCATTACATTTAGTGGGTAGACATTGTATTGAAAGCATACCACCCACAGAAAGGACAGTGTAAAATGTGTTGTTCAAAGAAAGACTGGGGATATAGCTCAGTGGCATAGCACCTGCCTGACAAGCACAAGGTGCTGAGTTTGATTCCTGGTACCAAAAAAGAAAAAGAAAAATGGCCTAGAAAAATTCAGAAAACTAGATACTACTATCCAGATTGTAATGTATTATGTATTTAATGTTTTAAGATATACCATACACAAAAATTACAGAATAAATTTAATAAAATTGTCACTTTTATATTTCCTGCAATATTATCTTTATAATTAATGAAAAATATGCTATTTTTTTTTTATCTTGTATTTAAATAATTGGACTGCTAAATGATTAAAATGCTGCTATGCATGAATTGATCCTTCTTATGCATAGATGAATGACTTGTTTAAATTACAGATAATTAGAGTTAATGTTGAGCATTTATTTGTGCACAGCCATAGTGAAGACTCTGTTATGTGCTTTGTTCTTCTTTCCATTTCTATGTATGGAATCACCTAAGGTATAAGAGATGGTTTTGTCTCTTTCTCTTTCTTTCCTCTTTTTCTTTCTGAAGTTGGTCAACATTTGTCTGTCTCTTTCTACTCTGTGTTTTTTTTGTTTTTTTTTTTTTTATTTGTACTGCTGGGGACTGCACTCGCCCTCACACATGATCAGCATCTATTCTGAATTTTTGAAGTTGGAATTTGAAGTGTTGCTTATTTATTTATTTATTTGTCTTTTTGAGACAGGGTCTCTCTATGCAGTTCAGGCTGGCCTTGAGCTCAGTTTGTAGCCCAGGCTGGTCTCGAACCCACAATGATCCTCCTGCCTCAGCCTCCTGAGTGCTGGGATTACTCGAAGTGTTATTTTTCACATAGTAGCTTTGTAAGAATGTTTCCTAGTGTCTCATGGTTACTGTGAAATGACAGTTTGCCTGTTCTAGGAGCCCTGGGAGTCAGTATAGACAGGCTGACAGATGTGGCAGGCTCACCAGGTTTCTTAGTTCAGCAGTACCTTCTTCTGGAAAGCATGATGTCTTTCTAGATGGTGTCTTCTTGTTTTGGTAGGAAGGGCCTGGCCCTGCCTTCGGGTTTTTTCTTTCTCTTTTGTTTCCATAGAACTTGAATTTTAATCACTTCTGTCTTTCTCTTTGTCATAAAACTGAAGTGATCTCTCCCTTTCCTTATCTACCTTTCTGTCCTCAAAAAGCAGTGCCTTTCCACATTTCTGGTTCCATCTGTGTTCTAGTCCCTTCTGTTCCAATTCTCTGATCTTGCAGATCTCAGACCCCTTGTTGTCTCACTTAGAGTGTGATCCTCATTTCAGGGGACAGAGTTTATCTGTGTGGTGCTGCTAGAACACTTTGTCTAATCTCTCGTTTGTCTTTCTCTCCTCTCGTGTGGGTTTGAAGTTGACTTAGTTGGTTCTGGATGCTCATTTCTCTGCTAACCTGAATAATGGAAGTTTTATTCCCTGGCTCCTAATTTTGTCGTAGATATGGGTTAGTGATTTTGTTATGATCTTTGTGATTTTTATAGAATATGTGAAAAAACTAGAATTTAGATAGCTGATACTATTTTGTATGACCCTGCTGTTTGACTTTTTTCATACTTTAGCCTTCAAATTCTTTATAATCCAATTTATATTCTGTAAGAACCCTTTTTGTTTTCTGCTTGTTTTACTTGTATTCTGTTTTCACTTCAAGAACATAACGTCCTACCTTGTGACTGTTATTACAGCTTTTAAAAATATAACACATGGAGGATATTTATTGTATCTTTTTAAAACGCCTCCTAACTGCATTGTGTCTTTTTCCTCCAGTTGCTTCTTCTTTTTCTTTTTATTTGAAGTTTGTTTTGGAATCTCTCTTTTTGTTGTTGTTGTTCATAGTTTTCCTAAAATGCCAGGTGTGCTCTGGCTGTCTCAACACAGATGCTGGTAAAAGCCCACAAAATGGAAGGGCAGGTCTATGGTGAGTAGCTCCTTTTCTCCAAAGTCAAGTTATTTAATATCTTCCTTGGAAGAGGCAGGGATTAGAGTAAAACCTGTCTACTTGGATAAAAAGACAATCCAGATATAAGCACATTCCTATAATCTTAACACTCTGAGCACTGCAAATTCAATTTCCCCCTGAACAATTTAGCAACTTAGGTAGGCCCTGTTTCAAAAAGGAGCCTAGGGTTGTAGCTCAGTGTTGAGGCCAAGGGTTCAATACACAATTAAAAAAAAAAAAAATGGAGAGAGGGAGAAAAAAGGATAGGTTGGGGGCTCATGGTATTTCTATTATATTTGATGTGCAGATCTTCTCTGAGTCCGTGTATTTGTAAGGCCTAAGCTTTTGGGAGAATTGAGAGGGTCCATGTTCTCAGAATCACCCCTTAGCTAGGCACCTATGCATCCATTGTTCTTAATCTGTTGTTATTCTTTCATTCACTTAACATTTTGCAGAGAGCTGTTGAGTTTTTTTTTTTTTTTTTTTTTTACCATTGCCTCATACACTTTTTTAAAAATCCCTTTACTATCATTTTGTAGTTTTAGACGAGGGAAGAAATAGATGCATGTAGTCATTTTTAATTGATTATCTTAAATACTAAAGTTTAAACCCATAACTGTATTCATCTAGAATAATTTCAATTTATTCACCTAACATGTACTAGAATAAGATAAATTTGCAGTGTTTTCAGAAAGATGATTATATTTCTTAACCAGTCCAGCTGCCAAAACTTCCCTAGATGGATTAAAATTTGGAATGTTGTCTTTGATGAATGGGTCTGGGTTCTGTCCGTGGTGGATGGTTCTGCTGGCAGGATATGGAAGCAGATCCAGACCTGTGGGCTCTAACTTCCTATTGACTGCACATTGAAGCCAGGGAGGAAAATTAAAGATAACACGAGTGAATGTGAAACCTAGTAATTTAAGCAGTCCCAATCAAAATTAAATAAAAAATGAGATTATTTTATCTTGAATGCCAAGGTTTTTTAAACATGTTTTTAAAACATGTGTTCATTAAGTTAAGAAGTTCGTGCAGCATGAAGCTACGTATGTTGATCATATCTGACACTTCTCAGCTCTTTTTCTCCCCCTACTTGTTGATTGAGTACCTCATTGCAAGCCCCCTGCTGATTTAATTAGCAAATACCAATTAGAATTACAGCTGGTTAGATTTGGGTACAAGTGTGAAGCTGTTGATCTCTTGAGAATGAAAATGTTTTGCTTTCATGCTCTCTAGGGAAAACATACTTAGAGCTGATTTCATAATGCTGTGAAAATACATTACTTGGTAACATGGGCTATTAAATATACTGCACTATAGAATCATTGTCTTAACCTGTCCGTGGTTGCTGGTCGTGGCTGGTTATCATTTGATTCATGGTCTTAGCAGATCTCTAGCCTTACTGAATCTTTGTGTTCTCATCTGTAAAATGGTGTTATTAATGTCCACTTTATCTTTTACCCAATTGCAGAATTCAAGCATGAGAACAGAAGTGAATGTGCTCTGATAGCGTAAAGTGCTATTCAGGACTAGACAATTGTCCTTATTGTTACCACCACGATCATTGTTTGCCAGCCTGTTCTCTCTACTTTTCTATAGATGGTAATCTGTGTACTGAAAAGAGTACACTGGCATTAGAGTCAGCAAGTCCTGCCTTCTTCATTTATTAGCAGTGAGAATTGAGTTTTTAACCCCCATATGAGCTTCAGTTTCACTTTTCCAAAGAGGGATTACCAGTTATATCAGGACCGGGGCAAGGATCATGGAGAAGCCTTTTAAGATCTGTAGAGTATTGTGAGTCCAAGGAACTATTTTGTGGTTCTTCATTTTCTCATAGACTTCATATTTATTCCTTTTAATATGATAGAAAAGGGAGTAAAGTGTTGAGTATTAACAGTGTTTGAAATTTTAAAAAATTGAAGATTGTGTTTTTAAAAATCGGTGAGGCTGGGCATATAGCTCAGTGACATAGTGCCTGCCTGGCAGGTACAAGGTCCTGAGTTCAATTCCTGATACCAGAACAAAACAAATTTTTGCTGAGGAGTAGTCGTGGAATGAGCATATACTGTAATTTGATTTTTGCTGAGGAGTAGTCGTGGAATGAGCATATACTGTAATTTGAGGCTCAACGAGGTAGAAGGATCCTGCAATTAATTCATGGGTCATCTGGGTAGAACAAAAGGGGTTTTATTTCAGTTTTTTCCAGTTCTGGAAATTAAACCCAGGGGACTTCTACCAATGAGCTGTATCTCTAATCCTTTTTTTGCAGGGTGTGGGGGCGTATACCAGGGATCAAACTCACAACCTTGCGCTTGTCAGGCAGGCGCTTATGCTGCTGAGCTAAATCCTTGGCCCCTCTAACCCTTTTTTGAGACCAGGTCCACTCAGTTTATATGGCTGTCTTTGATCTTCCTGCCTCAGCCTTCTGAGTAGCTGGGATTATAGGTGCATGCCACTGTACCTGGCTTCAAACATGTTTTAAGCCATGCTTTGTCCTCTGAAAACTGAATATATGAATTTTCATGCAGAAGCCAAAAGTGATGGGAAATGAAATATCTTTGTCACAGGCTTGTCTTGGCCTATTTAAAATATGGTCTATTCTTTTGTTTACCCTAATTACTACTTTGAATAATATTAATCTGTCTTTTAGTGTCTGAACATTTTACCCTTTGTGTTTTACATTTTTAGAAAACCATATGTACTTATTTGAAGGTAAAGACTATTCTAAAGAGCCCACTAAGGAAGACAGAAGATCGTTTGAACAACTAGTGAATCTTCAGAAAACCCTTTTGGAAAAAACAAGTCAAGAGGGCCGATCACTCCGAAATAAAGGCAGTGTGAGAACTGATAATTTATCTAAAAACATACGTATTTCCAAACTGTCATCCTAAGAGAATAAAAAAAGAAGCTGGAATCATTTTGTTCTCTTAGGATGATTCATTAAGAAATAAGTTTGTGTTTGTTGAAATGTGATCAGTTAACTAAGTCTTAGTATAAAAACTATGAAAAACTGGCATAAGAAACATTAAAAAGGTGAGTGTGTTATATGATCAACACTGATAAAAAGCAGCCACTCCAAAGAAATTGCTGTATTACACCAAAATATACCAAAATCCTGCTGTTGGTAATCATGACCCTAAGTCATTAAGAGAGGATGGCAGTCATAAAGATGTATGTAATACTCACAGTGTTTGGTGCTTAATGTGTGCCCCCTAAATGTTAGCTACCATGAAGATAATAATGATGTTGAAATGTTCTGGTTTAGAGGGAATTGTATAATACATTTGCTGAAGATTTGCATTAAAATTGGTTAAATTTAACATGGCATCCTACAGGGTATGCTTTCAATCAAGAAAAAAATAGCTGCTATTCTGAAGTTCCTTATTCCTAATGAAATGAATCAAAGTGACTGTCCCAGTCCCTACCAGTGCTCTTGCTGAGTGCACGGCACAGTGGCTACCATGCCTGTGAGATGTGGTGTATAAACAACAAATTGCAGGCTCTTGCGGCTAGTTGCCACAGGCTAGGTAGCATGCAGGACAACATGGAAACATAGTGTTTTTGTGGAACACTAAGCATGTTGCTTCTGTACAACGTGTGCTTTAGCAATGAATGAATTTCATGGAGGAACAGGCAACTCCTGGCCTTCTTGGCTGTAAGTCTTGTTCCTCCTACAGCTTCTTATTCCAGGCCTTGTGGAGGGGTCTAGCAAAAGGAAGCGGATTCTGAGCCCTGAAGAACTGGAGGACCGACAGAAGAAAAGGCAAGAAGCAGCAGCCAAGAGAAAGAGACTGATAGAGGAGAAGAAGAGGGAGAAGGAAGAAACCGAACATAAGAAAAAGTATGTCTGTTGTTAACCAAGCTAAGGGTCACAGTTAGAAAAGTACGGCTGCCCGTAAGTTTAAGGACAAAAACTTTTATCAGGCTGGTAGTTCCTGTTGGTAATAGAATACTTCTTAAAATATTTTACTTTAACATTTAGTCTACTTTAGTGAAAACTGTGAGTTTTTCAGAGAAGATACATTCTGTTGATACAAGAAAATCTGAAGATTTTATTATAGCTGTCTGACAAGGAGTCATTTATTTTAAGAGTCCCTTTGAGTCATGTTCTTAAAAACAGGGACATTTGGTGGGTGCTCATTATTGAAGAGGCAGATAGGCTAATCAGGAAGACTTGTTTATTTACAAATTAAGCACAAAACTTCAGTCAGGGTTAGCTTCTAATTGCATTTCCACTTGGCAGTTATTATTTGTGAATAGCAGTGTAAAAATGTGCTTTAAAAGGAGGTTGATTTCCTTGTCCGTCTGGCTTGTTGAAGGATGGCCTGGTGGGAGTCCAACAATTACCAGTCTTTTTGCCTACCCTCCGAAGAGAGCGAGCCAGAGGACCTTGGGGATGGGGAAGAAGAGAGTGCTGCTGAGCTGGACTATGAAGATTCTCCCTCCATCAAGTATGTCAGCGGTGACGTCACCCACCCACAGGCTGGGGAAGAGGATGCTTTCATTGTGCACTGCGTTGGTATGAGAAGTGGTATGGGACTGGGGTGGGTGCCTCAGACTTCATGGTGCTAAATGTAGAGGGTGGGGCAGAATTATGACTGAAGTGTTATGGCCTATTGCTGTGTTGTATGGTCAAAAGAGCATGGATTTTAGAATCAAGAGATGAAGATTTAACTTTTGGGTCTTTCATTTACCTGGTTGAGTTACCCATCCTTTCTGAGCCTCAGCTTCTTTATCTATAATGGGGTAATACCAGCCTCACCTTCTGCATAAAATTTTTAAGAGGGTGAAATGAGATCACATTTAGAAGACAGATGCACCCTTTTAGAAGAAGCAAAACTCCAAACTGGGTTTCCCTTCATGACCTTTGCAATTTTTTGCTTCCTCTGCTTAAATAGTCTTTCTCCAAATAAGAAAGTCAAGAATTGTTCTCTCAGTATCTTCTCAGAGAGATCTTCCCTCATTACTTCATATAAAACAGTCTCCATCCTCACCTATTATCCTCTTTTGTATACTATTTTCCTTTGTCATGAACATCACCACTTGGTTTACTAACATGTATTTGTCATCTAGACTGTCTCTCATTGATTAGAAAATAAGTTTCATGAAGGCTGTTTTTTGTCCCCGTTTTAGTTCATTGCTCTAAACTGTGTTTAGAATGGTGCCTGACATCTAATACCTATGAACAAATACATAATAAACTCAACTATGTGAGCAGATGCTAACCAGCTATGTTAGTACCAACTTGAATAAGTCATTTAACTTCCCCTCTTCCTCACCTGTAAAATGGGACTTGTATGGTAAGGAGTCAGAGCTCATTTACTACTGAGTCTCATGTAGTCTCCATCCTTCCTCAGTCATTTCCCTAAAGTTACAAACATACCAGAGTCTAGATGCTTTCTTGTAAATGATGATCTATTGTCTCCCAGAAAACCTGAACATATTTAGGCAATCCAACTGGAATATTTGTAACTTTTTTTTCCTTTTAAAAGTTACTCCTCCAAGCATATTTTGAACGTCTTTGGTTTCTAACTTGCGGGCTAGAATTTGCTTTCTGTGGATAAAAATTTTCTTCCTTCTATCAGATGACTCTGGCCGCTGGGGCAGAGGTGGTTTATTCACAGCTCTGGAAAAACGATCAGCTGAACCAAGAAAAATTTATGAGCTGGCTGGAAAAATGAAAGGTAAGAAGCAAAGGAGAAGGGAAGATCAAGGATGGAGTAAGACAGAAAAGAACACTTAAAATGATATCATGTGGGTTATAAAACACTGGGTAAGGAGTCAAAAGAACCAATTGGAGTCTGAATTCTATCATTTATTAACTAATTGTATGACTTAGAGCAGTACTGTACTGTTACTGCCCTGTCTTCTCTGTTGTAATTTGTAAATAATACTTACCTATTTCACATGACTTAATTAGGATAATGAGTGGGCAGGTACTTTGAACAATGCCAATCACTGCATGTATCTTAAAATATTAAATGAAAATTATTGCATTGTCCAGCTCATTCCATTTTCTTAAGGGATTATCTCATAAACATGTCAGAGTCTTTGGAAGAGAAATTAGATACACTGTTAGTAGCTCTGGTTTGGTACTGAGGGGAGAAAGATATATTATAAGGTCCATGCAGCCTGGGGTACAGTGTTCCTTGTACACAGAAGTAAAGTTGTTTGGAACTAGAGCAGTTTTGAAGGCTGCACAGTACAGTACTGTCCTTTGGCACAAAGAAGGGGAAAGAACATTTCCTTGTACATGTGGAAACCTCAACCTGGCAAGGAGAGTAAAATTATCATTGTTGTTATTTTGGGGGGAGTTGAGTATTTAAAAGACCTTGTTCAATAAAGGCCCTCCAGATTTTTTCCGAATTGTTTTTTCCTAATTCTTCTCCCAGTTCTCTAAAGTGTAAAGAGATACAAGAACATAAAGTGAAATTTTTTTGTAGTAAAACAGATTTCTGAAAGAAAGGCTTAATATGTGTTGAAATAGATAACCCAGATCTAGATAATGATTTGATAGCTGGAGAAACAGAGAACATAGGAACCTAAGAAAGGTCAGAACCAGAGATAAAGACTGAGGAGTCTTTTTGAAGTTCTTATTTAAAGCTATGAGAGAACAAAAATTAAAAATAAATAAAATTACGTAGTAAATGAGAAGACACAAAACAAAACATGGAAAACATCTCTGTGCAGAGTTAACGTAAGAAGAGGAGCCAGCAAGGAGTATCAGGAAAATGAGAGAATCTAGAGGAGTTGGTGTTTGGAAGTAAAGGTTGAGTAGCCCTTACCCAAAATGTTTAGTACCAAAAGTAGTATTTCAAATAATCAAATGATTTTATTCTGGAGTATTTTCACATAGAGAGACATTTTAGGGATAGGATCCAAGTCTAAACACAAAATTAAGAGAGACCATATTACCTAAAGGTAATTTTATGCAGTATTTTTAGTGCACCTGTGTTTTCATGGCACTCCATGCCACCTAAACCCAGGTGTAGAATTTTCTACTTGTGGCATCTTGTCACTGTTCAAAAATTTGGAGTTTTAGCAGCATTTTGAATTTCAGGTTTTTGGATTGGGAATGCTCAGCCTGTACATGGGAAGAACAGATATCAAGAAGACAAAAGTGGTATGCAGTGTCAGACCAAGGTCATCCCCCCTAAAGTGAGAATTGAGAAAAGGTCACTGGATTTGACCCTAGTTTAGTCACCTGACCATGGAGTACTTTGAGAGTACTTGTGGCACAGACTTAAGTGGTCAGTAGGAAATGGAGTTGGGAGTGTAGATTCTTCTCTGAAGCAAGATTGAAATAACAGAGCAGATGGCTGGGATGGAACTTGGAAGGCTTCATGGAGGTTATCTTAGGTCTAGAAAGAGTTATCTTAGGTCTAGAAAGATGAGCTGAATTTGAACAAGTACAGAGAAATGGCAAGAGGATGCCTGATGGCTGCATTCTTGTGATATCCCTACAGTGTCTCTTGTTTCCAGTATATGATTATTGAAGACCTGGTCAGTGACACAGTTCATGTGCACGGGCCAAACAGGCTGGGATACAGGGTTTAGACCAAGGAAAAGAGGAGAGCTGGATTTTAAAGGGATGTTTGTCTGCATGATAGAAGCCTGTACACAGCTCGTCCAGAGAGTCAGTGCTAAGCAAGACTATGGCCCCTAGATAATGACTAGTTATTTGGGAAATAGGACTAGAATAAAGGCATAATATGGTCAGTATTTTCTGATGACTTAAAAGATGGGAGTGTGCAAGATGCCTATCATTTTTATTTGGACAAAAAATTCAAAGTAAGTTATATAAAGCCCAGAATTAAATTAGCACATTTGTCTAGAGCATGCATTCAGTTTGATTTGGATGTGATAGTGTGTTAGTTACCTTTCCAGCTCTAGGACAAAATACCTGATATTTGCAGCTTAACAAAGGAGACATTCAATTGGCTCACTGTTTCAGAAGTGTCAGTCTGTAATTGGTGGTTCTAAAGCAAAAACATCACAGCAGAGGGGTTTGGTGGGGGGAAGTTGCTCAACTCTTGGCGGCCAGAAAGCACAGAGAAGGAACAAAGAGGAAAGATTCGCCCTTCAGGCGTACTCCTGAGACCTACCTCCTCAGCAGGAGCCTACCTTCTAAGAGCTCATTATGCTACGAACTCATCAATGAATTCTTTTTTCCATTAGTAAAGATTGAACTCAGAGCATATGTACTGAGCTACATCCTAGTTTTTTTGTTTTTTGAGACAGGGTTTTGTGAAATTGCCTATGTGGGACTTGAACTTAACATCCTCCTGCCTCAGCCTCCCAAGGCATTGGGATTATAGGCATGAGCCTTCAAATCCAGCTTTATTAATAAATTAATCCACTGATGAGTTTAGTGTTCCTATGATAGTTACTCCACAACTTCACCTCTGAACACAAAGCCTTTGGAAGACATAACAGACAGAAAAGTACACAAACACAAATAGAATAGCAGTAGAGTGCTATATTTGAATGATTTAAGACAAGATTTCCAAAGAAGTTTTTTTTTTTTTTTTGGTCTTTTTTCTTTTTTATCGGTACCAGGGATCAAACCCACGACTGCCTGCTTGCAAGGCAGGCGCTTATGCCACTGAGCTAAATCCCCAGCCCCCTTTTCCAAAGAAATTTTAAGCTCATAGGATTCTTACCCTTTTCTTTCCCCAAATACCTCCAACTTTTGTATTCACTTTCCAAAGCCTCCAGGTGCATTTGAATTAAGGAGGGAAACAGATGAATACCTAAGGTGATCACTGAGGTCAGGAGAGTCATAAAAATATGAAAGATTCTAAAGTGACCTGGAAGTCAAAATCTAATTGGAGTAAGGAAAAGGAAAGCATAAAGAGCATGCAGAATAACCTTTCAGAGTTCTTAGTAAATTTAATATTTTCTTTTCATTTTTTTTTTTTAATCTTAGACTTGAGTTTGGGAGCTGTCCTTTTATTTCCTATTGATGATAAAGAGTCAAGAAACAAAGGGCAAGATTTGGTATGTAAAAACAAAACTAGAAGATTCATCTTCACTAGAATTAAAGTTTGATTCATATCAATGTCTCTTGAAACCTCTCCATCCCTTACTGCTGTCCCTAGTATTATAGTAATTTTGTAAGGATACCATATCAGAGAACCACAAACTGGGAAGCTTAAATTATAGAAAAGTGCTTTGCATACTGTTTTGGAGGCTGCAGTTTCAGAATGAGAATGTCAGGAAGTTTGGTTTCTCTGAGGCCTCTTTCTGTAGCTTATATATCTGCATATCATCTTTCCTTTGTGCAGATCCCTGGTGTCGTTCGGTGTCTAAATTTCCTCTTACAAAGATACAAATCGAACTGTATTCAGTTACACTGTAACAGCTTAAATTTTGATGGAGTAATCTCTGTAAAGACCCTTTGGAAATGCAGTCACATTCTGGGGTACTGGGAACTTCAGCATGTGAATATGGGAGTAACATAGTTCAGCCCATAATCAAGAGGGGCCCCATATTCCATTTCTCTCCCCTATTCGACACTGTCCTGTACTTACTCCTTCCATCTTCTGGCATAGGCAACGTGTCCCTCCACGTGCAGAGACTCATACTCTATCTTGGTCCTTAATACTCCTGCAGTACTGGCTCAGAAATGCTCAGTGAACATTCAGTGCGTCAATAAAGAAAACATGACCGAAAACTCTGGGGGATTCATTATTTATCATATGAAAATTTCTGTAAAAGATTGTGTTTCTAGTCAACTATATATAGAGGAGTAGAAATAACCCACATTTCCTCTGCTTAATATCAAACCCTTCCTTTTTTAACTACCTCTTGTTTGTAATTTAGAATCCTGGGAGTTTTCTTTCCAAAGCCTAAATTCATGTTTGAATTTTGAGCCACATCTTACTGATGTAGAAAAGAAGAAATTTAGGCTGAAGGTTCATCATCTTGAAGCTGGTGGTCTGTGTGGCTTAGTTGGCAGAGGGGTTCCTGTTTAGTCATTTATTTCTAAAATGCTAAAACAAAATAAAATAAAACAAAACCAAATACCCAAAAACACCAGTGTTTGTGCAAAAGAATCTCAGAGTTGAATGACTCAAGAAAGCCATTTAAAGGCTACTGGACATCATGTCTAGGATGTGACTACAGTTATGTTGATCCCAGAAGTGCCTTTGCCTCTCTCTAGCTCTACCCAGTTAGGATAGCATGGGAGCTATGGCACTTTGCCCTCATAGGGATTTTTGGGACAGAGATTGAACGACTGTATGTTCTGGGTGATAGAGATGGAGCAACTGCATATTCTGGAGCTGACTAAAGCCTCAGAGGGCTGGAATACAAGAACCTTTAATGTCTCCTTCTAAGATTCTGAAAAATCCTTCTTTACCCTTGAGAGCATTTAGAAAGTATCAAACTGTCAAAGTCCAATCAAAGTTTGGACTTTGATTTTAATATTTGTATTCCTTCCCTTCCCTTCCTTTTCTTTCCCTTCCCTTCCCTCTACTTCCCTTCCCTCCCCTCCCCTCCCTTCCACTTCCCTCCTCTTCTCTCCCTTCCCTCCCTTTTTGTCTCTTCCCCTCCCTTCCCCTACCCTCCCCTTTTCTTTCTTGAGACAAGGTGTCAAGTTACCCAGGCTTAACTTAAATTTGCCATCCTCCAGCCTTATCCTCTTTAACTACTGGGATTATAGGCATGTACTACTATGCCTAGCTACTTTTACCAAATACATCTTAAAACATAAGATAGAAAATATGAGATAGACCACTTAAGATGGGGCACAGAGTCATACATTTAGTGGGCATTGTTGTTCATGAAGAACATCCATAGGTAGAGCCAAAGTCTAAGTGACCCATGCACAACTGTGTTCCCTGCAAGAGCAGGTCACTTAGTGGATAATGTAGCTGTCTCATGTCACTTCATTTTTTTAATGGTTGTTCTTCTTAGTTGGCTCTGATTGTGGCTCAGCACCGTGATTGTGCCAATGTCCTGTCTGGCATAAAGATGGCAGCCCTAGAAGAGGGCCTAAAGAAGATATTTTTAGCTGCAAAGAAAAAGAAAGGTAAGTTTTTATATTTGTGCTTAGGAGGAGCCAGATTTCTGTTTCTAGACATTGCAGTGACTTTTGAAGAGAGGTGAGAAATGCTAAGACTGCTCAATTTGTGAGGCAAATGTAAACACCAGAAGTAATAACCACGCCATATTGTATTTGTGTAGCCTTTTTTTCCTTTTTAGGTCACTTCTGTATCCATTACCTCTGTGGACCATGTCCATCCACTGGATATTTTTATCATGATTTTATAGATGAGGATACAGGGCTAGAGACATAGCAGCTTTGTCATGTATGGTTGGGAAATGTTTCTTATGTCTCCTGTTAGAGTCACAGTCAACCTTAGTGGATAGTTTACTGCCAAAACATTTAGTTTTGTTTTCAGACTTAGTATGCTGTAGTGTTTGGTAATTGCTTATTTAAGAATCCTTTTAGATTATGACTCCCCCACCAAACATTCTTTTGCCATTGCACATACTTATTTCTGGGGCTGTAGGTATTTATGTTCAACACAATTAACTTTTCCCTATTCCAACCTCTTCCCAGAATATTTTTGACATTTATAACTTTATAATCTCAGTGGAACAGTCAACAGTGATTTTCTCCTGTATATATTTTATATCCGTTAGTCAGTTTGAGATGAGGGAAGACATCTTGATCTTGATCTGTTGTTTTTGTTTTAATAGCAAGTGTTCATCTTCCACGTATTGGATATGCCACAAAGGGTTTTAACTGGTACGGTACTGAGCGCCTTATTCGGAAACATTTGTCTGCAAGGGGCATCCCAACTTACATGTATCCTTTTGTAGTCTTAATATTTTGTTCTGAAGAAAGAAAATGTGTTATATTTTCTGTTGTCGCTGGTTAATCCACAGTCATGTTCTTTCCTGCACATTCTTTATTCTGCTTCTCTTCAAATGAGACAAAATTAAGAAGCATTTTCTATCTTGTGTATATCTGGTGTGTACACCAAGGAGATAAATATACTAAAGGAGATAAATACACCCAAGCATTCTGGATGCCAAGGGAAAGGTTAAAAAGATATAAAGTGGAGAATTTATCGAACAATTGCTATTTGATAGTATTTTATTCTCATCACTTCTTTAGAGATCCTTCAGATCTGTGGACTAGGATGTAATTCTAAGATCTTTATGTTCACTAAAATAAACCAGAGAACTATTTTATTTTGGAATCTTTTGATATTTTCTTTGAGGCAGTATGAAATTCATTCTAACCATTAAGTCATAATCTAGCAAGGCTACTATGTATTTCTCTCTTTTTTAAATTAATCAGTACTGGGATTGAACTCAGGGCTGCACACTTGCAAGGCAGGCACTTATGCTGCTGAGCTAAATCCCCAGCCAACCTACTATGTATTTCTCATGCCCTCCTTGCTGTATGTTAGCATTGTTAGAACTATTATACTATATCCAAATGCACTAAAAAAAAAGCTAAATTAATCCTCAATTGCAAAAATCATACAGAATTCCATCTTTTACATAGATCTTTATTGAAATTAGTTCACTCAATGATAGTCTTCTACTTAAGTCACTATTTAAATAACTTACAGAAAAAAGAAGTTACAGAAGTCATGTTTTTTATACTTGCACAGTTCAAGCAGAATCTGAAGAGTTTAGTACAAGACTAGCAGTAATTAGTCCTAACAATATGGGAAATGTTTTATGATACAGAGAAAAGTAATTAAAGCATACCACTTTTAACATGATTGTTTCAATATTTATTAAAATAGGGAACTCATAGTTTGGATAAAGTAGAGTTTAAAGTTGAAGTATGTTTTCCTTGACCATCCTTACTAGATACTACTTTCCCAGAAGCAAGGCTTCTCCTGTCCTTCATTCACAGTCCCCATCTTCCTCCTCAACACAGCCGGTGCCTTAACAGTTGGCCAAGTACCACACCTGGTCTTTAGCAACCAACTAGTAAGCAGTTTGCTTAGAGTAACTGTCAGAGGGCTTGAAAAATGTATCAGGATCTGGTGGATGTCTGAGATGGTCTGTTTTCTAGATTTGAACTTTGTTCTTCTGGATGTGTTACTCTGATCTGGTACCTATAATACAGGGATGCGTTACTTGTTTGGGAAAGCCCCTGGGCCTTAGTTTACATAAATATCTGCTTAATAAATTTTGTATTTCTGATAGTTTTATGGTCATTGTTTTTTTTTTCCTCTGTATCTAGTTTTCTTCCTTACCACCAGACATTCTTTCCAGAGGAAAGACTGTCTAGATTAAAGAGATAGGAGAGGTAATAGAGCATAGCAGTTCTGGGAAAAGGAAGCATCTTCAGAAAACAGTACTCAGGGGTAGAGTCTAAGAAATAAAATTCTTGATCCAGTCAAGTGGAGCACCTGCCCTTTGTGCATTACCCAGCACCAGGGTCCAGAATAAAACCCATTGGCTTAGAGGCCTGTTCAGTATGACTTCAAAAACACCAGAAAATCTCCATTCTCTGACCTTTCAAATCTAAGTAAGCTTCAATACAAGAGAGAATTGCAGAAATAGCATAAAATCTGTACATAATGACTAGTAGTGTTAAAGAAGGCCAAGGATCAAGAACCACTAGAGGAAGAGTTGTAGAGGGAAGACTGTATAAGTAGTGGCTTCTCACATTTCTGTGGGTGAAATCTCACTTTTGGACAACTGTTGTCAAGCAGCCTAATCTCTGTTCCTTTGAGGCCTCCACACTACTAAGGCTCAAGGGAATTCATTAGAAGCTTAATGTAGGGAACCTAGACTACTAGAGTACAGAGCTAGGACCATGACCTGAGGAAGCTAGTGCCTTTAGCACCTGAGTTTTACAGTTCTGTATGGTTCCTTGCCCACAACATTTCCCTTCAGAAGTTTAGCATCTATTAGATTCCAAATTTAGGATTCCTTTTTTTCTTCTAAAACCTCTTTCAGTGATTCCAGTTGCTTCCTGTCCACTATTTTTTTTTTTATTTTAAAGACAATAAAACAAAACTACTGTCCACTATCCTTCCCACCAGCCTTTAATGTATTCATTAGTTTTTTAACTGACTTAAGATGTCTGTACTTATTTATGGAGTACAATGTTAGTCATTCAGTACAGGTATACAGTGTATAGAACCAAGTAAGATTGATTAGCATTTCTGTCTCCTAAAATGTCATTTCTTTGTGGTAGAAACCTTCAAGCTTCTCTCCAGTTATTTTGAAATGTATAATTAATTGTTATAGATTATTTTTGCTCTACTGTTCTATAGACTATTAGAACTAGTCTTCCTACTCCCTGGTATTATGGTGCTTATTTGCTATCCTTTCTAAAGCGCTACTTTTCTTTCCTTGCTACTCTCTGTTCTACTATTTTTATGTGATCATCTTTAGCTTCTACAAATGAGAACCATGTGATATTTTTCTTTCTGTACCTGGCTTATCTCATTGACTGTGATGTCCCCAGTTCTATCTTTTTTATGCACAGAATTTTACTCATTTTATGACTTAATAATTTTCCATTGTGTGTATATACAGTAAAACTTTGGGTAGTGAACACTTCTGTTTATAGACAATTTGGTTTGCAAACAAGCATTTGCTTTTGTTCCCAAACTCTTCATTGGTAACAAACATAGCCACGATCATCTTCCCCACACTAACACAAATGTAGCCATCTTCCCAAAATCATAAAACAATTTAAGTTTATAAACCAAGACACCACTGTAAAATATTTTTCTGTATACATTCATCCATTAATAGACATCTTGGTTGATTTCTTATCTTGGTGATTATAAATAGTGCTGTGGGGAACATGGGTATGTAGGTTATTAATAACCTCTGACTTGTATATGAAGTCTTTCTTACAATTAAACTGAATTGGATCTCCATAAAATGGAGAATACAGTGAAATCTAGCCTATTGCACAGGTAAATTACTGTTCTTTTCAGACACAAAGTACACATGAATGAGATATTAACAAATATAAGGATGGCTTGATTGGCCCTATGCAGGGGCTATGCAGACCCTTTTGGAAAAACTGTATTGATATCTGACAGCAGAGTACATTGCACTAGCAGGGAATGTTTCTGAACACCTGAGAGATGCTTCACAAGGAACATACTCTTAAAGGATCACAGGCAACGTTTTCAGGGGCATAGTGATTTTGCAGTGACAGAGGGGCTACTTTTTCACCCTGAACTGTCTACCATACCCTACCCATGTAGGTTTATCTATGGATGGAGCCTGTGTTAATCAGGATCTTCAGAGAAATAAAACTAATAGCATCTATAAAAGGAATTTATTAGATTGGCTCACATGATGATAGTAGCCAAAAAGTTCCCAGTGGCTACCTGAAAAACTCATAAAGAGCCACAGGAGTCAAGCAACAATTCAGTGCAAGAATTAGAAAGCCAGAAAAAGAGAGAATGATGATGCAGCCTTCATCTTGAGAGTGAAGGCCCAACAGGGCTTTTGGTGTGAGCCTAAATACAAAGACATAAAAACTTAAAATCACATGTGCAAGGGCAGCAGTAAAGAATATGTTTTCTCTGAAAGAGTTAGGACAAGAGAAAAATAAATTTTCCCCTTCTGCTTTTTGTTAATCTGGATTCCCACCTATTGGATAGTGCTTCTGATGTTCAAAATGAGTCTTCCAAGTCCAATCTTCCCTAGAAATAGTCTCATAGACATTCAGAATTGTTGATACCCATAATTAACTTTCAACAGGCCCTGGGCCATGCACCACTGTCTTCTGATAAGCTAGGCCAGACATCACAGAAGGAGATCAGAAATCTCATAGAGCATATTATCCCTTAAATGTGGGGCACGTCTCAGAGGTGACCTGCCTTGCCTGTTTACCTCTTAACTCAAAGTCAAAAACACTGTCCTCCTCTGGAAACCTTTCCTGTCTTATAATCGTTTTATTCCTCCCATTGAGGGGGTATTTTCTGGGAAGGGAAAATGAGAAAAGCTACTATGGTGTTTATCCCAAGGATTTGTTCTATTTTTTTCACATATATTTGGTGCCACATAGTTGTCCCCTCTGAGGCTGGAGTCAAGAGGACATATAGTATTTTATCTGAGGATTTATTGTGGTATTTGAGGCCTAAACACTTGTATAAAAACCCTACTTGTTGAGACAGGAAGCTAAGCCTTTTAAATGTTTTCCAGACAATCTCATGTTTTCTTGACTTTCAATAAAAATTTATCTTGTAACAAGCCTACAACTTATATTTTTTTGCCCCATGGATTTCAACTGCATTCTATTAATTAATCTCCTTTAAAAATAACTTGAGAGGGGAGTGTGGTGGCACATTCCTCTAATCCCAGCACTCAGGAGGCTGAAACAGGAGGATTGCTACATAAATTAAAGACCAGCTGGGTTGTGGAGTGAGTTCAAGGCTAACCCAGACTACAGTGTGAGACCTTGTCTCAAAAAAAAAGGAGCTCTCATAGAGCCCTACACTATCTGCAGACCATATGTTTTCTCTCTTGTCTAGTAATTAAACTATAAACTTACATTACCTTCTACCATAATCTGCTTTTTGACATATTTCCCAGAGAATCTGTTGTTTCTCGTTTGGGCCTTTGCTTGTGCTGATACCTCTCCTTGGTGTGCCTTAACCTCTTGACTCCTCTACCCTCGGTTGTTCGCTATCAAATCAAGTCTATAAAAATGCAGAAAAAGGTGTTACTACATTCCCTTTGTAATATCTTTGTACTACAAATGACAACTGGATGTATAACACTTACTTTGTTGGTCTTTCTATTACAAGGTCATTGGGGACTGGACTCAAAATGGTGGGATAGAGATACCCAGCCCTTGCACGTCTTCAAGGAAGAATCAGAGTAGCAGGTGTATGCCTGCATTTTGACATGAGTGACTGGGAGAATACTGGACATTAGTAAGACAGAAATTGGAACTTTTAAGAATCAGAGACCTGAGACAGAAGCATTGTAAAGGAAACAAAGCACCTTGGCATTTGCCACCTCAACTCCACCAGGGGAGCAGAGTTTCTGCTACACATGTGAGAGCGTGGGAGTCTCAGCAAACGTTTGGCAGTCGATGGCAAGCCTATCTACTAGAAAGTTTCACAATCCTCACAGGCTTACAACCCGCCTAGGTGAGTAACCTGAAATCAGCAAGGTAGCTTCACTTTGGAAGAGGATTTCACATCTCCTAGTGATCTCTAGAGTACTCTAGCTAGGAGCTATCTTGAGAAGTGGGCTGTTGTCTAAATTTGAACTGCTCAACGGCTAGGAAATCCCTGCACATCCCCATTTCTGGGACTTCATGAACCTGTACTGCACTGGCTTGAGTGAAAATCATCCTGTGAGCTCAAGTTGTTCCAGCAGTAGTAGAAACCAACCTAAGCCTAGGTGGGGTCTTCATTATAGGGGACAGGTGTGACATAGAGGGGAGCTTCCCTCTAGAGCAAGAAGATGTAATTACCCTCTGAGATTAAGGGTGAAGCAAGCTGAGTGGATTGTTCTGCTGGTTCCATGCCTGAAGGCAGATGACCAGTGTTCCCACTATTTCTCCCCACTGCATTGGTTTCAAGCACTAGATACTGAAAAGGTGAGGCAGGAATATCTTGGTTTGTACTGCAGCATCACCCATGTAGATGTGCTGAGATGACCTTTAGTAACTCTGTAGTTTGAACTTTTGCTTTGCCCCAGAGCTTGCATGGCTGGGAGCACTGAGAGCAACTTTGCCCAGCTCTGGCCAAGGTCCCACTTCCCAGGAGGCATTATGACAATTAGCAGCAAAGTGGAATATCACAATTCCTACTTTCCTATCTACTTTCTTTACCTCAAACCCCTGAGACATAATTGTTATTAACATATTTCTTTTTCCAGACAACTTCTCCCATGTTTTTAAATTCCACATACTTAGCTCCCTCACAGTGGTTCCCATCTTTTTGAGTGTCGTTCCTCATTCCTCCCCATCCTAAGCCTAGCTCTTAGATACCTAACTTACTGTCTTGTCAGCAAGCTGTGACAACCATATAATTCCTCAATCACAACTGAATCCCCTTTCCCCATATGTTGCTATTGCTCCCACAAAATATCCTCTGAAAACTTACAGTACTAACCCTTCAACTCAAATAAAAGTACACCAGTAAAATCAGACTCCACATTGACCTTTTCTTCTCATCAACCACTATTTTCTCCTTTAACCTCTACCTTGGTGTCTAGCACTCCTCTCACCCAACCATTGTAGAACAACCACAAATAATAAATTGTCATGGTGTGCATAGAGAATAGATAAGAGAGGAAAGTGAAACAGGAGCACCTATCTTTATAAAACAAAAACTGCTGAAATTAAAAGATCAAATAAACACAAAGTCAGGAGGGGATTGTAACAGTCCAGTTTCACAAAGAGATCAACTAAACAACAAAACAAATTGCAGAGCCTTGACCATATGCAGTTAATAGAATATACATTCTTTTCAGCAGCAGATGGTGTTTTTACAAAATAAATCACATTCTGGTCTACAAAGCCAACTTAAATGAATATAAAATAATAATAATACAAGTTAACCAATGTATACTGTCAGTTCTCTGTGCAATAAAAATAGAAATCAGTGACAGGAGTCTTATAAAAGGCAAAAGCACCTGGAAAACTAACAGTATGCTTCTTTGATTTTAAAACAAAACAAAAGACTTCATGAACTTACATTGCACTGGCTTGAGTGAAAATCATCCTGTGAGCTTAAGTTGTTCCAGTAGTAGTAGTAGAAACCAGCCTAAGCCTAGTGGGAGTCTTCGTTATAGGGGACAGGTATGACATAGAAGGGAGCTTCCCTCTAGAATCAGAAGATGTAATTACCCTCTAAGGGTGAAGCAAGCTGAGTGGATTGTTCTGCTGGTTGCATGCCTGAAGGCAGATGACCAGTGTTCCCACTTTTTCTCCCCACCGCATTGGTTTCAAGCACTAGATACTGACGAGGTGAGGCAGGAATATCTTGGTTCATACTGCAGCATCACCCATGTAGATGTGCTGATGATGCAGATGTATGGTACAGAATTTCAACTCAACATAGCAGGTGTTTAACAATGGTTAATATATTGCATATTGTTATCTTCTACATAAGTTGCTCAGATTACAAGATAGAGGCATGAACAAATGATCAAAGGAATTGAAATTATCCCATGCATATTACCAGATTTCAGTGCAATGAAATTGGAAATTGATGGCAAAAGAAACCACAAGAACTTCATAAATGCATGGAAATTAAGTGACATCCTACTGAACAACCAATGGGTCACAGAAAATTAAAGAAGAAATTAGTTTTTGTAATTAAACAGTAACGCCAGTACAACATACCAAAACCTTTGGGACACAATGAAAGAAGTCCTATGAGGGAAATTTATAGCAATAAATACATATATCAGGAAAACAGCTCAAATAAACAACTTAATGATGAACTCTTCAGGCTTCTAGAAAAAGAGCAAGTCAAGTCCAGCACTCCTACAGGAGAAGTTATAAAGATCAGAACACAAATTAATACAGTGGAGACTAACAAAACAGTACAAGAAATCAGTGAGTCAAAGAATTGGTTCCTTGAAAGGCTAATTAAAGTTGACAAATCCTTAGCGAGTCTCATTTTTAAAAAAAGGAAAGACTCAAATCTACACAATTAGGAATGAAAAAAGATTAAATTGCAAAAGATCCTGCAGAAATACTGAAGATTATACATACTTCAAGAAATTATATTCTAATAAGGTGGACAATGTAGAAAAAATGGACATTTCTATATACATCAAGAAGTTGTATGCCAGTAAGGTGAAAAAATGCAGAAGAAATAGATTTCTAGATACTTATGAATTACTAAAGCTGAATAAAGAAGATACAAAAATTCCAAACAAACCAGTATCAGTGAATGCAATTGAAGATGTAACCAAAAATTTATCAACAAAGAAAAACCCAAGCCCTTATGGATTTACTGCTGAATTCTAAAAGAAATTTAGAGACATAATACTGCTACTCTTCAAACTCTTTAATGAAATAGAAAGGGAAGCAACTATTACCGAGATACCCAAATCAGAGAAAGACTCAACCAAGAAAGAACTATAGACCAATCCCCTAATAAATGTAGGTGCAAAAATCCTCAAAAAAGATAGTGGCAAAATGCAGCAAGTCATCAAGACAGTTATACACCATAACATGATTTATCACAGGCATGTGCAAATGGTTCAACATATGCAAATCAATAAATCTAATACACCTATTAACACAGTCAAGGACAGAAACCATATGTTCATCTCAATAGATGCAGAAAAGGCATTTGATAGGTCAACATCCATGTATAATAAAAGCCTTACAGAAAATTGCAATAGATGTCTTTGTCTCAATCTGATAAAAGCCATCTATGACAAACCAACAGCTGACACACTAAATGTACAAAAACTGGGAGCTTTCATTCTAATATCAGCAACATGACAAGGATGTCCACTGTCACCACTCGTATTCAATATAGTGCTGGAAACATTAGCCTAGTAATTAGATAACAGAAACAAAAGGAATAAACACACGAAAGGAAGAAATTAGATTATTTGCAGATAATACTCTATATATAAGACACAAAATTCCACTAAAAGACTAGATTTAATGACCAAATTTGTAGCATAGCTACATACAAAGTCAGCACTCAGAAATCTATAGCATTCCTCTATACAAATTACAAATTACAGACTCACTGAGAGACAAATTAAGGAAACAACACCTTTCACAGTTGCACCCCCCCAAATTGAAATACCTAGGAATCAATTTGACCGGAAGTAGAAGATGTCTACATTGAAAACTATAATACTCTCAAGAAGGAGATCAAAGAACTATAATACTCTGAAGGAGATCGAAGAGGATACCAGAAAGTGGAAATATAGCCCCTATTCACGGGTAGGAAGTACCCACAATAGCTTTTCAAGTGAGCCTGCAGAAATCCAATGGGTAACTTAAACAAGATGATAATGCTTGGCATCTCTGCCTTAGTATTGTGTCTGTCTCCTTAGTTGCTTAACCCTTATATCAGTTCTCATCTGTGCAGACATGCTGATCATTTTGATACAGGGAAATGAAACTTCCAACCTATTATATGTCTAGTATGAGTTTGTGTTCTCTAAAACTGAAGAATGAATTTTAGGAACATTGGAGATTGTCTTAGTTACTGTTTACTTATTGCTGAGACAAAATACCTGATGCCAAAAATTTGGGAAAGAAAGGTTTATTTCTTATAGTTTTTGGAGGTTTCAGTCCATACTCAGTTGGCTCCAAGGCAGGGTGACATGGCCAGGCCAAAGTTCATGGCAGCTGCAAACAGCAAGGTGGAAACTGGCAAAAGAGAGCCAGACACACCTTCTTCTGCCATTATATCACATCCTGGCTCCACCCCTGTGTGGGTGTAGCACTGACACCATCAATCCAAGCACTATACAATGAATCAATCACAGGTGCATAATGTAAATGCATGAGGCCTGGGGGCCAGCAACATAAACCAGGACATTCCACCCCTGGCCCCCAGGACTCATGTACATCTTTTAAACAAAAGACATTTAGTCCATCTCCAAGAGTTGCCAAAGTCCTAATAGTTTCAGCATTGCTGAAAAGTCCAAGTCCCAAGTCTCCTACAAGATCTATGACAAACTTAACTGTAACCGCCTGTACAAATGAAACAAGATTAAGAATTTCTGAAATTCAAAGGCACAAGATAAACATTACCATGCCAAAAGTTACAAACAGGGAAATCTATAGCATTGGGAATAAAGCAAGTTCAACATCCAGCAGGGCAAACATTAAGTCCTAGAGTTCCATGCTCAGCATTTGAAGTAATCTGGTTGCAAGCTCCAAAAGGCTTGCGTGATTCCATCCCCTTGGCACTTTCAGGGATTTCAGCTCCTGCAGCTTCTCTCTTAAATACTCTCTGCTCACTTTTTGCGGCTTTCCTTGGATGATCCATGTTCCTGGCTTTTCCAAACTTCTGGGGTCTCCACTGCACCTTTGGCTTCACCTTTACATCTTTATAAAATGCCCACTCAAAGGCACACTGCTTGGCTTCCCAGGCCCTTTGCAGTCGAGGTGGAAGCTGTCTTACCCTCAGAATTTGTACATTTTCCTTGTACCTAAAATCAGCACCATGTGGATACTGCCAAGGTTTGCTGCCATCTGGAGCAGTAGTCAGGCTTTTCTCTTTCTTGGCTGTAAGGGTTGATTGCCTGGATCACTGGGCTCCTTGAACCTGATTGTGAAGAAAAGCTTCTCTATGTTGCTGCCATTCTGAAACCTCATGTGGCATGGTGCTCTGCAGCTTTCTCTTCTGAACAAATTCTTTCACTTTGCAGTTTTGAGGCAAAGAGTGGAGACCTGTGGCTTCCTGGGTTGCCCCAGGTACATCTTTCTTATCTCTTTGTTTCTCCTCAGCAGTCAAAGTCTTAACCCTGTCTTTACAATCCACAGCTTTCCTGGAATTTTCCTCCTGGCCAAATTCACAGTGTTGTAAATTATCCTGCTGGGCTCTTTGCTTTTCTGCAACATAAAGCTGGCTAAAAGCCCCCAACAATAGCCATGCCACAGCTTCAACATTTGACTGCTTTGAAATTTCCTTTTCTAGATTAATCAGTCCATTGCCCTTTGTTTCAGTCTCAGGCAAAGTCTCTGGGCATAAGCAAAATGCAGACAAACTTTCTGGCAAGCTATAATACACATGGTGGGGAGTCCAACAACTGATGCAGTCCTTCCCAGCAGAAACCTACCAAGCTTGGTCTTTACCATGAGGCTTTCTATCAGTCTTCTGGTCTCCTGAGTTCTGACCAGAATCTCCTTACAGAATAGCCTGAGCTGCTCCAGCTCTCTGCATCCAGGTGACCTGTCTGAACCTTTCCAAACTCTGCCCATAAGCCATTTCCAAAGCCTCTTGAAAAGCATGGTCACATATAGTCACAGCAAACGAGCCCACTCTTGGTACCAAATTCTGTCTTAGTTACTTTTTACTTGTTGCTGAGACAAAATACCTGATGCCAAAAGTTGGGAAAGGAAAGGTTTATTTCTTACAGTTTTTGGAGGTTTCAGTCCATACTCAGCTGGCTCCAAGGCAGGGTGGCATGGCAGGGCCACAGTTCATGGTGACTGCCATTACATTACATCCTGGATCCACCCCTGTGTGGGTGTAGCACTGACACCATCAATCCAAGCACTATACAATGAAACAATCACAGGTGCATAATGTAAATGCATGAGGCCTGGGGGTAACCGACATTAAACCATGACCAGAGATTAAAAGCAGAATATATTTACTGAGAGAAAGAAAGCTTCAGTCCGAGAGAGAGAGAGAGAGAGAGAGAGAGAGAGACAGAATAGGACCAGAGTGGGTTACCAAAGATTGTCTTTTCTTGGGACTTTTATAGAGTAAAACCACAAAGTGAGGCAGGTCTAAGGTGGGGGAAACATGGGAACTCACAAGGCAGGTGGGTATGAGGTAGGACAAAACTATGATCAATCAGCAAGATTAATTGCTCAAGTAAAATTGACTGAATTGGGGACAAATGGAGAAGTGAATCATGTAGCAAGTGGATATCCTTAAAGAGGAGAGACTCTTGTGGTAGGGCGTTGGAATGGTGACTCCTGGTTTCCTCGGGGTGATAGAGAACTATTTAGAATGTCAGTCCTTAGGATGTGGGTGTATTTTGTTTGATCTTTTGTTTTGAGGCCTGGCCCACAGAGGGAGGTGTCCGTCTTCTCCAAGATTGCAAGGTATAAGCCTTCTGCACTGGCTTTTTTTTCTTTTTTTTTTTTTTTTGTACTGGGGATTGAACTCATAACTTTGTGCTTGCTAGGCAGGAATTGTGCCACTGAGCTAAATCCCCAGCCTCTGACACTGGCTCCTTCAAGGACCTAGCCCTGCCTAACTGCCTAAAATATTTTTGTCTAACTCAGTTGCCTGTAACAATTTGAGAGCTGTTTTGTCCAAAATTCTAAGAAAGGTTAATCTGACCTAGATTTGCTTAGTCTGTCTCTCCCACCCTCACTGTTAAAGACACCTATCGCTGCCATGACCAGTGTTATGGTTTGTGTCTGGATGCCTCTCCAAAGCTTCATGCAGTCATGGAGGCAGGCTTCTAGCATTTGTGACTGATTCATGGTCTAATGCTGGGATTATGGGTGTGGCTGCTACATTCAGTGGGTGAGACTTACATATAATATTAGGGACAGAAATAGTCTCCTGTGCTCCTCCTTTTTGCTCTTGCTGCTTTTGCTGTTTCTGCCACCATGAACTGTTGCTTTCTACCATGTGCCACCCTACCTTGGACCCAGCAGATTATGACTGAAATCTCCACAGACTGTGAGCTAAATAATTCTTTCCTGCCTGAATTTTGAGCATCAAGTATTTTGTCTCAGTAATGATAGAAAAGTAACCAAGACAGCCAGAAATATAAGGCTATGAAAGGAGTCAAAAAGGCTGGCCTCAAGTTCTTGAAAGATCTCTGCCTATTCCCAGAAAAGACAAGAATATTCCCCCCTTTATTAGCCTGTCTCTCGCCCTCATTGTTCCTATCTTATGTTTGCAGTTCTCAGTACCCTTGGAGTACAGAGGCTGATTTGTGAGCCAAACTCCCTCTTCTTCACTCTTCTTTGACTAATGAATAAAGCAATTTTTTTCTCCCCAATATTCATCTCTTGGACAGCTTCCAAACCTGAGTTTGGTAGTTAGAGGAGTGTCCTGGTATTGAACACATTGTTGGGGGTGGGGGCTGGCATTCCCTGATCACATGGGAGAGGGACAAGAGGACTCTGTGGCTGTGAATCTTTTTATTTGCATGTCCGTGATTTGTATCCTTAATAAACTATGGTGTGAGGATAGTGATTTCAGTGAGTTCTGTGAGTCATTCTCCTGAATTATCAAACCTGGAAAGCTTCATATAAATTCATATCTGTAGTCTGACCTGGAAAGCCTGGCAACCCCCGTTTATGGCTGGCATCTGACAGTCTTCAGATAGTGCCAGAATTGAACTGAATTGTAAGATTCCTACTTGGAGTCAGAATATAAGATGTATAAGGACAATTATACTAAAACTAGACAAAATGGGATGAAAAGTTAAAATCACCAAACAATGTAAAGACAAAATATACAATTTTTAGAAAAACATAGCACAGAAGTCCATTTGTATCCACAAACAGAGTAGGTAAATATGTAAATAAAAAATTAGAAATCCAAGGAAATGGAAAAGAAGTCTTTTAGCTTTAGCTACAGCTATTGGGCAAATTCTTATATATTTGTCTTATATATTATATAGAATATATAGAATCTAGCATGCCTTAAAGAAAGAATGTATGAGTTTTTCATATGTCACGTGGCATTTACAAAAAATTTGGTTACATTACTGATTCCAGAGAAACTAAAAACAAAATGGAGGAGAAAGAAGGGAAAGAGAGGAGAGAAAAAACACAAGAGAAGAGAAGAGAAGAGAAGAGAAGAGAGGAGAAGAGAATCCCTTTTAAAAAGCACTACATCTCTAATTATCTCCTATAATTGGAAACTTTTTAAAAAATGGGATGATAAATTAAGTCATCCTTAAGATAATAGTCATTCCTTGTTATCTGCAGGAATTTGTTCTAGATACGAACATCCATGAATGTTCAGGTGTCTTAAGATGGCATAAGGTACACGTAATGCTTTTGTACTCTTTGTCATTTCTAAGCACTAATAGTAGTGTAATATAAGTGATGTATGCATAATTGTTATATTGTGCTGTTCAGGAGGAAGTGGAAATGCTACTCTAAGAGTTTCAAAGTATACTAAGCATTATTACATTTTTAAAGACACTGCACTAAGTCAAAGGTGCCTTTTTGAACTGTTCAGCAGTGCTTGCAAGTGGGAATCTTTGAGCCATAAATGTAATTTGAAATTTTGTAGTAGCCACATTAAAATCTAAAAGTAAACAAAATTAATGACTTTAACTTAATCTATTCAAAATATTATCATTTCAGTAAAAAACAAAAAATATTAGTAGAATATTTTTTCATGCCAAGACTGAATTCTGGTATGTATTTTATACTTTCAGCACATCTTAATTTCACTGAGATGTAAATTTTCATTGGAAACACAATCTCTATATGGATTTAATAGAATTAGTAGTTGAAAAAATATATGCCTTCCCATGAAGTAAGTGCCACCAGGCTGATCTGAAAAGAGCCCTATCCAGAAGAGAAACTATGTCTTCTTGTGAGCCAGCCAGTCCATGGGCTGAGAAACCAGTGAGGACTCAGGATGAGATGATAGCAACTGAAGGGAAGGGAACAGCTCAATGCTTGTACTGTTTGGTTGACTCTGTAGGCCTGGGCTGGTGGTCTGGGCATCTACCTGGAGGATAGCAGTGTGCGTGTCAGCTGTGGAGGATATCCTCTTGTATTGTTTTTGAAATCCAGTGTGTTGTTCCATTTTATTGTTTTGTTTTATTCCTGCATCTGGTAGCCTGAGCAGCTATTTTGAAGATAACAGTGTGTGGTATTGTTCTCACTGTTTTGTTTTGTTCTAATTTATTGTTTTATTTTATTCAGTATTATGTTTTGATTGGTTTTATTCTGTTTTGTTTTGTTTGATTTTGCTGTGTCTGATGGTATGGACAACTATTGTGAAGATAGCAAGATATATTATGATAACCATTGTTGATTTCCTATTGTCCTGTTTTGAAATTTTGTGCCACTCTCACTGCTGTGTTTTGATTGGGTTTATTTTGTTTTGTTGGGTTTTGTTCTCTTTAAAATAAAAAAAATAGTTGAAAAAATAGATTCCCATACTCAAATTATACTAAACATACTTAACATTTTTAAAATTTTATTTTGAAGATAGTAAAAATGCAACAGCACAAGACAGAACAAAGCCAATTGAGACAATGCAGTGAAATTGGTACGGGATTTCACAGTAGGATACTGGGATAGTAGTAATAGGTACTATGGTATATCTCTTTAACTTCACAATAGTTGTCCAGTCAATTAGGTATAGCAAAATCAAACCAAAAATAGAACATTATAAAACCAATTGAGAATACTGAATAGAGCAAAAGAAACATAACAAAACAAAACAGTGAAAACAACCTTTGCCTTCAAACAGAAGATAGAAGGAAATCCCCCATATTTGCTATACTGCATATGGTCATCCTCCCAAGAGATACTAAGACATCTATCCTCAGTAGCTATGGGGAGGTCGGTTGGGGGAGGGTGCTTGATTTTCAGCTCATGTGGCAGTAGGCTCACAGGTAATGGTTCTCCTCCAGGCCCTCACTGCAGGTGCTTACCAAGAGGGCGGGTGAATAAGCTGCCTGAGTCCCACCATGGCCGGATCTCGGGAGTTCTCAATATTCTTAACATTTTTAAGTAACTGAGTCACGTATTAGTTTTTATGCTTAAATTAACTGATGCTAAATACACTGGACTTGCTTTTTTTAGCTCTAACATGTAAAGAGTTCAGAAATAGTGACTCCCATTTTAACAATAAGGCAAAACCTAAAAAAAAAAAATCCTATAAATCACTTACACCTATCAGAGAACCAAAGTGACACAGTGAAATCCCATGGTGATATCTGGAGAGAGGCAAACAGAACTTGTCTGCAGTTCTGTTTGCCTCCAGCAGATGCCTCTGTACTATTAGAAATCTTTAAATAGTAATTTCAATGAGTTTCTGGAGGCTGAGCATGATTTAAAGTGAGTCAGAAACTCCTGGAGGCAACAGACTTAGGGCCTCTTCCACCCATATTTTCATGGGTTTTACTTTTAGATACTCTATTGAGTTTCTATGTTGAAAATTCAAAAAAAAAATATTTTTTCCTGGAAGGCTGCAGAAAATGGAGGGAATGAGTAACCATTTTGAAACATTTTCAAACATTCTCCATACAAAGACATATGGTCTAAGAGCAGAGCCTTATCTTACCTAGAGAAAACTTTACCTCTAGTCTTCCAATCCCACCGAAGAAGCTAAAAAATACTGGGGGGGGGGAGTCATCACAGAGACACAAACCTACTAAAACATTGAGATTTAATGCAGAGATTTTATGCAGAACATTGAGATTTTATGCAGAAGGCTGCAAACATGTTTCTCCTCCCTCATATCTTATCATACAATAGAGTTGCAGTATAATAACCATAGATTACAGCTGGAAGAGCTGCAAGGTACAGCCAATATTTAAGGGGAAAAAAATTCCCAAACAGTTCATTTAGCTATGGATTTATCAGTGAATAATGCAGTGAGGAGTTTGGCACCCCCATGATCTAATTGCCTTCACATGAATGAAGCTTCTGGGGGAACAGTTTAGTTCTAAACCTTAAAGCAGGTATACATGTGAAGACCTTTTTAGATTACTTTCTAAGGATATAGTGCTAACTAAACTTGTTAAACCATATTGTTGCTGTAGTACCAAACTGAAAAGAAGATGCTATGCACCAAGGAGTTGGAAGGCAACATTTTATTATGTCACTGGGTTGGTGAGAACCAGTTCCAAATCACAAGTGCTGAGTCAGTTTTGGGTTTAGCTTATATAGGTTTTTCAAGCAGGAAGTATAGAAGCTTGAAAGTGGTGGGTTTTCATTGGGTTAAGTTAATCATTGCCTGTTGCTGGGTAGAAAGCATGGGAGATATGATAGCAAAACAGAATAGTTTTAGGAGAAAAAGTACAGATAGTGCAGCTATATGTGGTCAAACTGACCTGAGTCAGACATCTATTTAAAGCAATTGGGTAAGGCAGTTTAGTGGTCCAGTCACATGGTGGGCAGGATGAGTATAACTTGTCTTGATGTGCTATCAGGCTCCTAGTTAGTTTTAAACTTTTAAAATTTCTGTCACAATTCAGTGCATTCATTTTTAAAGCTTGGATTCCTATTGCCAATTTGCTATACAGAAATGCCAATTTATATTTGCAATGGAAATTACGAGAATGCCATTTTCCTATATCTTATTATCCATTTTTAATATGAAAAGGTCAGCCTTAAAAAGGATATCTTTCCCTGTGGCATGTGGAAATAGTCAAGTAGGTGGCATCTGGGGGTAGAACGTTTAAGGAATTCCTCATAAAAGATGCTAGTGTCTCTTTGAAATAAACAGGCAAGGCTTAGAAGGGCTAAGCTCCTAAAGATAGGTGGTAGGTTTGGTTTACATGAGGATTGAAATCACCATGTTATCAATTGCTAGAGCAAACCAGAGAGTATAAACTGTTTAAATCTCTCTTTCCAGAGAAGATTTCTTTTAAGGGACATCTTCCACCTTCAAAGAATCTATTTTCCTGTGTTACAAAGATATGCAGAAGGTGAAGCAAAAACATGCTTGATCTACCATCCTAAAGCTGGAATCTCAATGAACATTTGTATTCTTACTGGGTTCCTTGATTGATTGATTGATAAATGAAAGCTCATAGATACTTCTGTGTTACATTCTAAGTGAAAATCTTCATAAATAAAGACAGGAGGGATGTTTTAAAAATATAGTGGATAAACAAAGGAACAGGAATTTATCAAGAATTATTTAGTGAATCCTGGAAACTGGGCAGCCAGAAGTGAGTGTCCACGCACCATCCCGAGACCCAGGAGTTTGGCATCATCATGTTGGTCAATGAATTTCCCAGCTTCCCGCCACACTCGATTGGCTCTGCAGGTCTTGGGGCTGCCTGTGCCAACTTCAGAGCTTCCTGACACGCCTAGCCCCCCAGAGGTCTTTTGCCTGACTGTGCCCTCGATTCTGGAAACTGGGCAGCCGGAGGTGAACGTCCCCGCACCATGCCGAGCCCTGGGAATTTAAGATCATCCTTCCCACCAGCCAAGGAACTTTCCAGCTTCCTGCCACATTCCACCTGACTGCTTCTCCCCCAGTGACTCTCAATCTGGGGAACTGGGCAGCCAGAATGCCAGAAGCTAAGGGGATAGAAGACAATTTCCAATAGGCCCAGGGGAAGCCTTGGAATGACACTTGAAACACGGAAATATAGGAAAATGACAAAATGAAAGATCAAAATATAATCTCAAACCACCAGCCCATCCCAAGAAACCTCAGGATCTATGTACATAGAAGAAAATCTATGCCATACACCTGAAATATCTGAAATAATAGCACTGAAGTAAAGAAGCAACTTCAGGAAGCTTTAAAGAAATTCAAACTAGAAATAATCTCCCAGGTAAAAGAAGAAATGATAAAAGAAATGGAAGACATGCTGATCACATCTAAAGAAGACACAGTGAAAAATTAGAGGAACAAAACAAAAAGATAGACTCCCTGAATGAACAGTATAAGAAACAAACCATACATGAAGCAGATTCAAAGAGATATACAAGAAATCAAAAACTCCATTGAAACTTGTTAAAACCACCTCAACGAAAGTGAAGATACAATTTTAGACCTTGAAGACAAGATTGCAGCTAAGGAATAGGAAGGAAAGATCTTTTAAAAAATAACAAGGTATCTGGAAATAACAATTCAACAGCTGCAAGTTGATGCAAAGAAAAACAACATAATATTGATAGGGATAAATGAAAAAGAAGGAGACAACACAAAGGATATCAAGAGGATATTTAGAAAAGTAATAGCTGAAAATTTCCCAAACAGGAGAATGGAAACTGACATCAGGATCAGTGAAGCATATAGAATTCCAAATAGCCATAACCAAAATAAAGCTACACCCAGACATTTAATAATCACCATCCCAGAAATCCAACATAAGAATAGAATATTAAAAGCTGTCAGAGAGAAAAGACAGATCATCTATAAAGGAAAACCTATCAGAATCACAGCAGACTTCTCAGCACAAAGAATAAAGTCAAGAAGAGCATGGAGTGAAGTATTTCAGATCCTAAAGGAAAATGATTTTCAACCTAGAATGATGTACCCTGCCAAACTGTCCTTCAAAATGGATGGAGAGATAAGATACTTCCATGACAAAGAACAGCTGAAGAACTTCATGATCACCAAGCCAACCCTGCAAAGAATACTAAAATACAGTTTAGATACACTTAGGAAAAAACCACTAAGCAAGACAGATAATTAAACAATGGAAAAATAAAGATGCAACATAACATGTCAACAATAAACCAATATATAACAGTTATAAGCATTAATGTAAATGGCCTCAACTCACCAATTAAAAGAAACAGGCTGGCAGAATGGATCAAGAAACAACATCCAACCATATGCTGTTTACAAGAAATCCATCTAACCCAAGAGGAAACTCACAGACTGAAAGTCAAAGGATGGAAAAATACTTCATGCAACAGGAAACCAAAAAAGTAGGGATAGCAAGTGAAAAACAAATACAACTTACCAGAATCTGTGGGATGCAATGAAAGCTGTCCTCAGAAGAAAATTTATTGACTGAGTTCTCACATCAGGAAAACAGAATGAATACAAATGAATAACCTGATGCTACACATCAAACATCTAGAAAAAGAAGAGCAAATCAAGCCCAAAGCCAAAAGAAGAGAAGGAATTAAAAAATCAGCAGAAATTAGTGCAATAGAGACTAAGAAAACAATTAAGAATCAATGAATCAAAAAGTTGGTTCTTTGAAAGAATAAATAAAATTGTCCTTCAAAATGGATGGAGAGATAAGATACTTCCATGACGAAGAACAGCTGAAGAACTTCATGATCACCAAGCCAACCCTGCAAAGAATACTAAAATACAGTTTAGATATACTTAGGAAAAAAACCACTAAGCTAGCCAACCTTATTTTAAAAAGGGAAGAAAAAGCTCAAATTCATGCAATAAGGAATGAAAAAGAAGAAATCACTACAGATTCTGTAGAAATACAGAAGATCATCAACACCTATTTTGAAAACCTCTACTCTCATAGGTTTGGTAACACAGAAGAAATGGACAGATTCCTAGAAACATAGGAAGTACCAAAGCTAGGTCAAGAAGATGTAAAACTGCTGAATAACCCAATTTCTATTAATGAAATTGAAAATGTAATTAAGTCCTTACCTACAAAGAAGATGGATTCACTGTGGAATTCTACAAGAAATACAAAGAAGACTTAATGCCAATACTCCTTAAACTCTTCAATGAACTTGAAAGGGAAGCAATCCTTTCTAAGTCATTCTTGGAAGCAATTATTATTCTAGTACCAAAACCTGAGAAAGACTCAACTAAAAAAGAGAACTACAGGCCAGTCTCCCTAATGAAAACAGATGCAAAAATCCTCAATAAAATATTGGTCAATAGGATGCAGCAAATCATTAAGAAGATTATACACCATGACCAAGTGGGATTCATCGCAGGCGTGCAGGATGGATCAACATATGTAAATCAATAAATGTAATCCACCATATCAATAAAGCCAAAAGTAAGAATCACATGATCATTTCTATAGATGCAGAAAAAGATTTTGACAAGGTCAAACATTAATGATAAGAACCTTACAGAAAATTGGAATAGAAAGTCTTTAACTCAATATGATAAAGGCCATCTATGACAAACCAACAGCCAGTATCATATTAACTGGCCAATAACTAGAGGCCTTTACCTTCAAATCAGGCACAAGACAAGGATGTCCCGTATCACCACTCCTATTCAACATAGTACTGGAAATACTAGCCAGAGCAATACAACAAGAGAGAGTAATAAAAGGGGTAAAGATAGGAAAAGAGAAAGTCAAATTATCATTATTTGCAGATGACATGATACTGTACATAGAAAATCCCAAAACTCCATTGAAAAACTCAGATATAATAAATTCAGCAATGTAGCTGGATACAAAATCAATACTCAAAAAGCAATAGCATTCCTATACTCTAACAACAAAATCACTGACAGAGAAATAAGAGAAGCCACACCTTTCACACTAGCATCCCACTCCCCAAAAATGAAACACCTAGGAATTATTCTCACAAAAGTGAAAGATCTATATAGGGGAAATTATAATACATTGAAAAAAGAAGAGGAACTCAGAAAATGGAAAGATATCCCTTGCTCATGTATAGGAAGAATAAATATTTTGAAAATGGCCATTCTCCCAAAACTGTTATACAGATTCAATGCAATCTCAATAAAAATACCATCAATGTTCCTCATAGATCTAGAGAAATCATTCCTAAAATTCATCTGGAACCAGAAGAGACCTAGAATAGCCAAGACTGTTCTAACAAGCAAAGGCAAAGCAGGATGTATCACAATCCCTGACTTGAAGTTATACTACAAAGCAGCTGCAGTAAAATCAATATGGTACTGGAATAAAAACAGAGTCAAAGATCAATGGAATAGATTAGAAGGTACAACCATAACTACAAACACACTCAACCACCTTATCTTTGATAAAGGAACCAAGCAGGTTCACTAGAAGAACAACAGTCTCTTTAATAAATGGTGTTGGAAAAACTGGCTCTCCATTTGCCAAAAACTAAAGCTAGAACCATACCTATCACAGAAATTAAACCACACAGGAAATACTTCCCGGCATCAATAACTGGGATCACCTCTTATTAAAAAGTTTCTGCACATCAAAAGAAATCTTCAGCATAGTGAAAAAAACCCCCAAAAACTGGGAAAAAATCTTAGTCAACTGTTCTTCTGACAAAGGATGTCTGTCTAAAACATAAAGAATTTAAAAAGTCGTACCACTAAAATTCAAAGACCTGCTCCAAAAATGGGTATCTGAGATTAATGCATAATTCTCAGATAAAGAAATACAAATGGCAAATAAATACATGAAAAAATGTTCATCATCATTACTCATTAGAGAAATGCAAATTAAAACCACACTGAGATTGCATCTCACTCCTGAAAGAATGGTGAAGATCAAGAAAACTACCAACAACAAATGCTGGAGAGGCTGTGGGGAAAAAGAAACTCTCCTATACTGTTAGTGGGAGTGTAAACTGTTGCAACCACTGTGGAGGTCAGTCTGGAGATAACTCAAAAAGCTGAGATTGGAAGTCCCATTTAACCCAGCTATTCCACTTCTGGGCACATTCCTAGAAGAACTGAAAACATCATACCACAGTGATATTTGTGCACCCATGTTTATAGCAGCACAATTTGTAATAGCCAGATGTTGGAAACAACCTAAGTGTCCATCAACTGATAAATGGATAAAAAACATTGTGGCATTTTTATACAATGGAATACTACTCAGGTATAAAGAATGCTCACACTGAGATGTTTATAAATGAATCGACACAGCTTGAGACCATACTCAAGTGAAATAAATCAAACTCATATGTATAAATGCCAAATAGTCTCCTTAGTGTAAGAAATGGTAAGAATACATAAAAGTATGTGGTAATCGTGATTCCCCATTATATTGCTTTGAAGCCTTGTAATGTTCTCATTCATTATTTGAAATGGTTTTATTCTGGGTTATTTGATTTTATTGTCTGTGATGGTATGAACAGCTATTTTGAAGAAAACAAGACATAATAGTTAGTGCTGATTTAATATCATCTTGTTTTGAAGTCCCACCAAGCTTTTGTTCTTTTGTCTCCATCAGTTTTATCATGTTGTATCTTACTGGATTTTATTATATGTGATAGTATAAACAAAATTTCTTATGGACAAGGAGATAATATAGTAACCATTGTTCATTTTCTGTTAGTTGGTTCTGAATACCCTGAAATTCTTTCATTCTCTTGAATGGTTTTATACTGTCTTATTATGTTTGATACTATAGTGTATGAAGGTATACTCAAATATTTCAATGAAAGAGACACTGTGGTATCTACTGTTACATTGGGTTTTCTTGTGGTGAAACACTGTGTTGCTTAAATTCTTCTGTTCTGACTTTTGTTATGCCCTCTTTTATCTTAGTCTTTTTTTTTTTTAATAAAAAATGAATTATTTAAGTAACCATATCCTTGTAGGTTTGGTAAAGGTCACTATGCATCACACTCTTAACTTAGCAGACCTTGGGGACAATAAAGTGAGAATTCAAATGCTCTTAATACATGTATACCTAGGTACAAAACTTTAGAGATGTGGAGTCTTTGCTATATTCATTTAGATTTCTTCACTTCTTAACATAAATCATAGTGGGTTCTAAGCACAGAGTCTCTACTCAAAACTTACACAATGTTCACATTTGTGTTTTTCATTTAAACAATCAAAATATAAAAATAAGTCTCTCAATGGAAAGAAACCCACCAGTGAAATCTCCTGAGCCTAAAACCAGTCTCAAAAAAATTTCTAACAAAGAGAGGTGATGAGCTTTCAGAGAGTCGTGTCTACTGATAAGAACTAACTAACTTTTACAGCCCTTCCTGTAGCACAAAGTATCTGCTGTCAAGATAGAAATCAAAGGGGTCCAATGGCTGTACAATCACAAGACCTGAAATTTAACTCCATTCAGAAACAGCTATGATAAAGGAAGAGGAAAGATAAAACTTTTAAAATAATGTTGCTAAATGTATGAGGTTTGGGAGAAAAATATATTTTGGATGGAAAAACCGAGGAAGTTGGAGCTTAAGACTGAGCAAGGCTTGATGTTGATCCTTTGGTAGTATATTTATAATAGTAGTCTTTCCATATCCAGGAGTACCTGATAATAATAATAAAATAGCTTCACATTGTTGTGGTTGCCTTTTTTTTAGTCCTGATTTTTTTATTCATACATACTTACCATATATAATAATCATATTCATCATAGGGAATTTGTACCTGTACGTAATATAATCTCAATTCTTCTCTTTTTCCCATTTTCTTCCCCTCACTTTAATCCTGATTCCTCTTTCCCTCCTCATTTACAAAAGCTTTGTTCTCACTTTTTGCTTTCATTCTTTTTTTAATTTTATGGAAAAAAGGTAAGACAAAATTTCACAACAGAGTAATAGAATAACAGTAGTTAATAGATGTTATCTTTAAAGTAATTGTTCATGGTACAAGATAAAATCCCTTTTTCCTTCCTTTCTATCTCCCTACCTCCTCCCTTATTCTCTTTACTATTTCAACATATTCTTCCTTCTTGCCAATATCTATCCCTTATGTGGCTCCTTATTTCTCCCTTTGATCTCTCACACAAGAAAAACAATACAATATTTAAATTGTATGCTTGATTTATTTCATTTATAGTTATGGTCTTGAAGTGCTTCTGTTTACTTAAAAATGACTCATTTGTCCTTGAGAATAGTACTCTTTTGTATATAGATACCACATTTTTCCAACTTTTTTATTTAAAGAAAGAAAAAACAAAAATTAAAGAAAAAACAAGACAGAAAAAAAGAGAAAAAGGGTAGAATAATACAGAATTCAAAAAAATTAACATCATAAAATCACTAGTTGATACATTAAATATTGTTATCTTAAAAATAGTTAAAGTTACAAAATCAAAGCATAAAAGTGGCTAGACACTCAAATATTGACAGTGCAAACCCTTCTGTTCAATGATCTAACAAGAATTTAGTAATATGGTCATCTATCTTACACACTATACATATCATTATATCCTTTATAGCACTTTCCTTCCCTTTCACTTTTACACTATATATTATATTTTTTTGGATCCCAAATTCTGTCAGTTACCATTTTTTACACTAGAGAGACCATGTGATATTTACTAATCTGAGTCTTGTTTATTTCACTAGTGAGGAAGGATATTCTCAAGTTGTCTCCATTTACATATAAAGGTCTCGAGATCATCCTTTATTTACAGCTGATTAGTATTCTATTTCATATTTTTTTCATCACCTGTGGTTGATGAGCATTTTGGTTGTTTCCAAGATTTAACTATCAAAAAACTGTGCTGCGATGAACATGGGTGCATGACTGTGACATGACCTTTTCAAATTTTCTGGGAAAATACCCAAGAGGGGAATAGCTGGATTGAATGGAACTAGTTTTTTGAGAAATCTCTACACTGATTTCTACAGTGGTTGCACTAGTCTACACTCCCACCAGCAGTGGAGCAGTGTTCCTTTCTCCCCAAATCCTTGACAACATTTGTTATCAGTTTTCTTGATGGCAGCCATTCTTCCCAGAGTGAAATGAAATCTCAATGCTGTTTTAATTTGCATTTCTTGAATGACTAGTGATGGGGAACATTTCTTCATATATTTATTTGCCATTTGTATATGTTCATCTGGGAACTGTGTTCATCTGGGAACTGTGTTCTTCTCAGATGCCTATTTTTGGACAGGATCTTTGAATCTGGGGGCTTCATGTTTTTCAATTCTTTGTATGTTCTGGATATAAGTCCTTTATCTGAGGTGTTGGTGGCTAAAATTCTTTCCGATTCTGTGGATTTTCTTTTCATTTTGTTGATGATTTCTTTTGAAGTGCAAAAGCTTTTTAGTAATATGAGATCGCAGTTGTTGATTCCTTGAAATATTTCCTGTGTAGTTTGCATTTTTTTCATGAATTCTCTCCGTACCCCTATGTCTCCAAGATTTCTGCCTACTCTGTACTCCAGTAGATTTAGTGTTTCTGTTTTAATGTTTAGATGCTTGATGCATTTTGACTTTAGTTTAGTGTATGGTGATAAGAATGGGTTTATTTTCAGTCTTCAGTATGTGGAAAGCCAGTTTTTCCTACACCATTGATTAATGAGGCTATCTTTTTTCCAGTGAACATGTTTAGCCCCTTTGTCAAATATAAGGTGGCTGAGTGTCTTTATAGTAGTGTTTGTATCTTCTGAGCTGTTCAATTGATCCTCAAGTCTATTTCTTGACAGTTCTATGCTGATTTTATTACAGTGGCTTTGTAGTATAGTTTCAAGTCAGGAATTGAGATGCCTCCTGTCTTGCCTTTGTTGCCCAGAATCACCTTTGCTATTCTAGGTTTCTTCTGTTTCCAGATGAATTTTAGGAATATTTTTTCTAGATCTGTAAGGTATGTTGATGGTATTTTGATGGGATTGCATTGAATTTGTATAATAGTTTTGGGGAGTATGGCCATTTTCACAGTATTGGTTCTTCCTAACCAAGAGCAAGAAATATCCTTCTATTTTCTAATATCCTCTTCAATCTCCTTTTTTAGAGTAGTATACTTTTCAGCATATAGATCTTTTACTTTCTTACTTAAGTTGATTCCTAAGTATCTGATTTTTTAGATGCGATTGTGAAAGGCAATATTTCCATAATTTATCTCTCAGTGAATTTTTTGTTTGTGTACAGGAATGCTATTGTTTTTTGAGTGTTGACTTTGTATCCAGATATGCTGCTGAATTTATTTATTACCTCTAGTAGTCTTTTAATGGAGTATTTAGAGTATCATGTCAACTGCAAATAATGATAATTTACCTTCTTTTCCTATTTTTATTCCTTTTATTTCTCCCTCTTGTCTGATTGCTCTGGCTAATATTTCCAGAACTATATTGGTGATAGTGGACATCCTTGTCCTGTTTTGATTTTAGAGTGAAGGCTTTCAGTTTTTGTCCATTTAGTATAATGTTGGCTATTGCTTTGTCATAGATGGCTTTTATGAGATTGAGGTACATACCATTTATTCCACGTTTCTGTGGGGATTTTATCATGAAAATGTGTTGGACTTCATCAAAAACTTTTTCTGCATCTATTGAGATGATCATGTGATTTTTATTTTTGGCTCTGTTGATGTGGTGTTACATTTATTGATTTGCATATGTTGAACCATCCCTGCATTCCTGGAATAAATCCCACTTGGTCATGGTGTATAATCTTCTTGATGATTTACTGCATTCTATTTGCCAGTATCTTATTGAGATTTTTTCATCAATATTCATTAGTGAGATTGTTCTATAGTTCTCCTTTTTGGTTGGGTCTTTCTCTGGTTTTGAAATTAGAGAGATACTCCCCTCCAAGAATGAGTTAGGGAGGATGGCTTCTCTTTCTATTTCATTGAAGAGTTTAAGGAGTATTAGTATCAAATCTTCTCTAAATTTCTTATAGAATTCAGCCGTGAATCCATCAGGACCTGGGCTTTTCTTTGTTGGTAAGTTTTTAATCACATTTTTTATTTCAGTAGCTGATATTGGGTTATTCAAAATTGTTATGTCTTCTTGATTGAGTTTTGGTAGTTCATATGTTTCTAGAAATCTCTCCATTTCCTCAAAAAACCAGCTCTTTGATTCACTAATTCTTTTTTTTTAGTTTCAATTGCATTAATTTCTATTCTAATCTTTACAATTGCCTCTTTTCTATGAGTTTTGGACTTGACTTACTCTTCTTTTTCTAGAAGCCTGAGATGTAGCATTAGGTTATTTACTTGTGTTTGTTCTATTTCCTTGACATGACTATTTATTGCTATATATGTACCTCTTAGGACTGCTTTCATTGCATTCCTTAGGGTATGGTATGTTGTATCTGCATTTTCATTGTATTATAGGTATTGCTTTATTCTATAATTTCATCTGTAACCCACTGGTTGTTCAGAAGGTGGTTATTTAATTTCCATGTTTTTATGAAGGTTTTGCCAGGGATTTTTTTTATTTCCAGTGTTAGTGTGCTATGATCAGATATTATGCATGGGATAATTTCACTCCCTTTGCATTTAATTAAGAATGTTTTATGAGTTAATATATGGTCTATTTTGGAGAATGTCCCATGTGCAGCTGAGAAG